TTTGACTACACGTGCTCTCAATGACAACGTCACAACAATGCATTGAATATCAAACGGAAAGCTTGATTTCACTTATAATGTTATGGTTTTGCATAAAAATGTAACAATAAGAAATGCATGCTTCATAATTGTAATTTTATAGGCCTAATGGACGTAAAAGCTCACATTACTATAGTCTACTCTTTCGCATTCCCATAAAGTTTCTAAACGAAGCATCACATTCTAACAAGTAAAATATTCTGCTTTTCATAGGGACTCGTAAATTTGTATAGGTAGAAAACAATCTCATGGTGTTTTGAAGTGATGTTTTATGTTCCAATTAAATGCAATATTCATGAGTGTACATATGCTATGCATACCATTACAATGCGTAAGAATAAACAAAAATCTAAAATTTCCCCCTGGTTTTAACATTTAAATGTTATTGTCAGAATTGAATGCTTCATTTGTCATTTTATAGGTTACATGTAAAGCGTTGACCGTATGTTCATTTTAGTAAGAAGACTTGCAAAATTTGCTTTGGTCAATGATGTTACACCAGAATACAAAGACGCCTTTCTTTTAATCTATGGGCATAATGGTCATTCTCAAAATGCATAGGTGTCCCTTAGATAGTGTTGCCAACAATTGATGCTTTCGAATTTCCATTGTCTGAGTACGAACACGGCTAATGAAAAAAAAATTTCAAAATGATGCAAAAATTCAAATATCAAGTTAATTTCAATGTATGTCCGTTTGTAAAATTTCGATACGGTACATTGGGAAATAAAATCTCAATTTTAGAGAAAACGCATTGTCATTCAAAATAAATGTTGAAAAAATGCCATAACTCCCTCCTTAAAACCCTTCCAAAAAAGGTAAATCATTTTCACAAAGCCAGCAAAGATTGTGGAGCAGGATCTGCTTGCCCTTCCGGAGCACCTGAGATCACCCCCAGTTTTTGTTGGGGTTCGTGTTGCTTAGTCTTTGGTTTTCTATGTTGTGTCATCTGTACTATTATTTGTCTGTTTGTATTTTTATTTTTGGCCATGGCGTTGTCAGTTTGTTTTCGATCTATGAGTTTGACTGTCCCTCTGGTATCTTTCGTCCCTCTTTTTTTGCCCCTCATGAGTCTACTACAAAAGTATGGGTGTATGTATATGTTGATCATAAATATCTTCACGTATTCGGGTACCTAACAACTTTTGCTTTTAAGGATGTTCGCTCCTCATGTTTTTGAATTTTTGCCAGATATTCGGAATCCTCTGGTTTTATCCATGTAGTGCCATTAAACTTTTTTGCCCACTAACCCCTACTTTTCTTTGCAAAATTTGATTAAATATAGTTTAAAATGCCATCTTTGAAAATCTTATTAAATCCTTGTTATTTTTTCATACTTTTAGACAGAAAAAAAGGTGCCAATGTTAAATGTTTGAAAAATCTAGAGAGAATCATTTTCCGCCAAATTTTCATGGCTTATATCTCGAAAACAAGCACACGGACCCTTCATTTTTATCTGCTTTTTAAGTTCCTTTATTTATATACTATCAATTTATAACAGTCTTTTAAAAAGCTTATTATTTTGAAACAGAGTAGCGAACATCCTTAAATTTAGGTCTGGGCGTTCCAAATGACTGAATATCAAGAAAAAGAACTTCGGACGCACCTAATTTATAAAGTGTTATTCACATTAACCAAAATGTATGGAAAGGTGCTTTCCTTTGCCTCGTTTATCTTGATCTTTTAACCTATCTTTCTAATAATATCTTTTCACATGAGAATTAGGAATGGTTCATCTATTATCTGCTGAATATGGAACAACTTGTATGGTAGGCGTTCATTGTTAAAATTGTCTGACCTTTGCTGCTCTTTGCTTTATCAAGCTTACTTAAGCACTGAAATAAGAACTATTTGGCAGTTAGATTGATTACGTCAGCCTTAGTATATATACCTCTGTCTTGCATTTAATTCTACATTTATTTCGTTTTTCGTATAACAAAGGATGTATTGCGCAACAGCGCTCATTCTTTGGACGGTCGCCGTCTATCAGACGGTGACACTTTCGAATGCAGCAGGTCAGTGTTCTTATTTTAAATCAGGTTTCGTTGAGAAATCAGGAATAATTCGTATACATTAAAAAAAATATAGCCTTTTTGTAGAAGTGAACAGCAAACTTTTAAACTGTATTAAATTGTACAGTTGTTAAATTTGTCATTTTTATTAAAAAAAAAAAGAGTAACGTGAAGTGCATGCTAATGTGAAACAACAGAATGAAATGCAGTTAAGGAGTGGTGTCTTTGAATTGTTTATATCAAGTTTATCTTGCTGCTCATACATGCTCTACACAATGCATACATTGAATAAACTTAATGGATAATCGATTTTTTAAAGTTAGAGTCATATATCTCCCTTTACGGTGAAAAGACTGATAAAGTATGAAGCGTTACTGAAAATACAGTTATAGTCAAAATAAATCAAAAACTCCCATAACTATGTGAATTCGCACTAAAAACAAAATTTACTATGAACAAATAAATAAGGGACTTTTTTCTTTGGTCCATCATTTGATTTTTGTATTTGTTTGTCTCAAATTTATAATTACTAAATGTTATGTATGCTCCTATCTTTGTCTAGCATAACTGTTTGTTTTTTCATTATTATTACATTCTGTGTCATTTCATTTATTCGTATTAGTAACTTCAATGGTACGCTTTCTAATTTTCTTTTTCAAACGCCTTTTTTTTTGGTGCACTAAAATAATAAAATAGATAAAAACCACGTGGTTCTATAGGCACATCTTCTGATTATTCTGTAGACTTACTTAATCAACCTTGAAGACATCTAAAATCTGGACACAGTTCAGAACTAGTTTAGAAATAGCCATTGATAAAATGTGTGCCGTCTGTGACCATTTCATGTATTAGTTCCAGTTGACGTCTAGGACGACATAAAATCGAACATTTACGTTTCAAAATATGAAGTGCTATGCTAAATAATTTCAAAAAAGGTCGTTTTTGTCAGTTTTATTTCTATAACGATTATATTCTGATTTTTCCTGCTTTCTTATGTCACTTACTTAATATGATGCTTCTTTATTTTCCTTCGTTTGTATAAATATAACCAAAAGCAGACTTTTTGTCAAATTGCCTGAGTTTATCTAGCCAACTCAAAGTCTATCGTTCGGGGTATTTTTGATAGATATCGTTTTTAAAAATAGTTAGTAAAACTGTTGTGTATTCCTCTCAAATACCCTACTTTTAAAATAGTTATAACGGGAAAAATGTCCTCAAATTTTTTACCAGGATCGATTGTACAAGGTACGTGTCAGAATTTGACCTTAATAAAATGTCATGGCCCTCTTACAGAAAGTATTGTCAAGGTTCACAAATCGAAATGGGGCTTATCTAACACATGCTATTCTCTCGGACTGATAACATCAAAATATGCTTTCAAAGTCTTGATATGAAATAAATTATGCATAACGCGTTGTTTCTTTAAATCACATTTTCACGACTTTTTGTATTATTTGACTGTTAACAAATTTAAAATTAAAAGACTATTTGTTATTGTATAGGAATAATAAAAATAGATAAATAAAACTGTATATCAAAAATGAATATTTTTATTAGTTCCCTGTTGTAAGTACATATTTCGACACGTCACTCACATAGAACATTGTATATATCTATCACGTATTGTGCAAGGTCTACGTGTTCTGCGCAAAATAATTCAAGGATAATTTCTTTTCGAATTAATGTTATAACAATTTCATCATATCATAAACAGAAATGCCATTCGTACGAATTTGAAATGTCCAACGTGTTGGTGTGTTCTCTTCGAATTCTGAACCCACAATTTTTAGCTCTTAAAATTTGAACAAACAATTATTTCAACCAATACAAATCCTTGTTTCAACAAAGTCGATGACTTTTTTTGCCATTTTCCTATTGAAATATCGAAAGTGGAAAAAAAGAAAAGATTGTAACTTTATTCTCCAAAAAAATTAATTTTGGTTGTGGAAAATTCTCGCCTTTTTATATCTGAGCTGCGTCGGATAGAAATCGACCTTATGCAAGCGCACGTAAATATGTACATCTATAAGACATTGATTGATTTTGAAACATTCAAATACGAAATAAAAGATGAATTTTGGTCTGTAGGGATCTTATAGCAACTCAATTTTCAGAAAGCTACAGACATTTCTGTAGAGATTTTTTCAACCCGAAATAGGTTAACAGATGTATTGATATTCATTGGAATAAGGTCGATTTCTATCCGACGCAGCTCATCTTATGAATATATGTTTTGATAATCCTAACTTTTGTTTTGGCCAGCATTTTTTTTTTTAATTTAGGACATTGAATAATAATGGTATTAAAACAATCATTGTCATAGATAATTTAGTTTCGTTTAAGCACACATCGCCGTTATCGCAATAAATGTTCCATTAAACTTATATCAGTATGGATGAAAGGGATATTTCTAATGATTAGAAAGATGTGTAGGTTTACGTTAATGAGACAGCAATCCAACAACACAAAAACATATATGTTATTATTTAACTTAATTTCTATAAGTTGTAATAATGATTGCAAATATACCAAGCAAATGTAGGACTTTGTGCGAAGCTACCTTACTCTGTAATAAACTTATACCATGCCTGTTCACACGATCACACAGGAAGCGATGTAACCGCCCTGCGGACACAGCATTATTTAAACTCTTGGTCGATCAAATCTTGGCTCTTACTTCTTAATGCTACAAACTAAGAGAAAAGTGAACTAATGTCAATTTTCAACAGATTTTGGCCCTTGCAATGTATGCGACCAAGCTACATCTAAACAGCTGCAGTGAATGTTTTAAATATTGAATAAGGACTTTGATACATATTCATTAATATGATGAAGCAATAAAATCACTTCTTTACTCAAAGCAACATTATATTGTATTTCTTAAGGTTTTTCATTCAGACAACGTTATTCATAATATTCTTGAAAAAAATACACAAAAAGTCAGCAAAAATGGCAAGTATAAACTTTTAATCGGAAAATAATAAGGCACAAAACCTATATGACTAAAGGTACCGGGTATCCTAAATTGATTGAAAGAAAGCGGGTTTGATTAATTACATATATCTAACTGAAAATTAATGTAATTTACCTCAATTGCAGGATGTTCAACAAAGGCGGATGTAACGTTCGTTTTAGATTCCTCAGATACAGTCGGACAAACAAACTTTGCAAAGCAATTAACTTTTGTTAAAAATACAGTGAACAATTTAGACGTAGGTAGAGACAAAGTAAGAATCAGTACTGTGACGTTTAGTTCAGGTGTGCATAATCAGTTTTTCTTGAACAATTATGCCACCAAGACTGACGTGATGAATGCCGTCTCCGGGATTCAATATCTACCAGGAAGTACAGACACTTCAGATGCTCTAAAATACGTCACGCAGACATCATTTACCCCACAACACGGGGGTAGAGGTGGTATACCACACATCATGGTATTGGTGACAGATGGCCCATCATTGACCAGGGACATAACTAAACTTCAAGCACAAACAGCAAAAGACAACAACATTGCGATCTACACTGTTGGAGTTGGTCATGGTATTGACCTTGATGAACTGAAGTCAGTCTCAAGTGATCCAGACTCACGCTACTTGCTAACAGCTGACAACTACGATTCACTCAACAGTCTTTCAGAATTGCTGGCAACAAAAATGTGCAATGGTAAATTTAGCATTTATAAAGTCTGTTATTTTTTTTTACCCAAGGAATTTTTGTTAACACCGTATAATTGTCCACTAATAATAATTTATAACACTCTAGACATTAAAAAAGTACATAGAACAAATACTGTTTTAGAATAACATGCTTCTATTGTTACAAAAATTAACTCAATATGTAGCCTAGTGGCGGTATGGAGAAAGCTTAGCCCACAGCAGCAAACATGTTACTACCATAAATAATAAGTGGTATCGTAGAAGAAACAAATCATGTTTTTGTCAATTTAGACAATCTCAGTATGAACTCTCTCTCCGAGCGGTAGATGTCTAACACTTTAAATCTTTATAACACAGTTGTGCTCTTTTCTTTTCAGAGGTACCTGGCGCTAACGTATTGCCTCCAGCAACAGGTAAGAAGCATTCCTTAACCACGATGATTCTATTTACAACAAAAAATATACCACCATTTTTCAATATCAGTGTTGTTTCATACTGTGGTCCTCTAAGCGTTCGTGTCTTGTATTTAAGCGTAGATGTTTTAGACAAACCTGCAAAAACAACAAAATCGAATGATTAAAAACAGAAATAAGTGATTGGTAACAAATATAAGACCCGGTTGGATTAAAAATTAAAACCAAAACCAAAACCAAGTTGTTCTAATTGATAATTTTGATCTAGAAAAAGGCAGATGGTTAATTAAAACTTTTCTATATTTTGCAAATTACCGCTTCTCTTGTAAAATCTTGTTTAAATTATATCCTGTTTTGTTATAGGTTGTTTACAGAAAGCCGATCTGGTCTTCATGGTTGATTCATCAAGTACAGTAGGAAACCTCAACCTAGAAAAAACAGAAAACTTCATCAAAAACTTCGTAACAAAATTAAATGTTGGCAAAAATGCTGTTCATGTAGGACTTGAACAATACGGAAGCCGTCCATCATCTGAATTTGCTCTGCGTATGTACGACAACAGATATGATGTCTTAAAGGCTATTCATGGAATGCAGTTAATGGGTGGCGGTACCAACACAGGAGACGCTATTGAATTTGCCAAAACTACGATGTTCTCGCCGGCAGCAGGTGCCAGATCTAACGTCCCAAGAATAGCAATCATGGTGACCGACGGTGGTACTTCAGAAACCGCAGCTGCCATTAATCAGGCAAATGAGGCAAGAGCTGCCCATATCAGTATGATTGGAGTTGGTGTTGGTGGTCTAGTCAACATGCAGGAATTAAACAGTATTGCAGATAAGCCATCTGCAAGTCATGTGATCACCGTACGAAATTACGACGAATTGGAAAGTATTTCTAACCAACTAATGACTATGACATGCGGAAGTAAGTTTTGCAATGACTTACGTTTTGTGGAAGAAATTTGTGTAAATTATTACAATGAAATTTCCCATTAGGATCTTTTTCTTATCTTTTCAGTCACTTAAAATGAATGCTCTTTCTTGTTTGTGTGTTCCTTTTCATTTTGTTTTTGCTTCCTTTTAATTGGTTATTATAACCAATTTTACTCATTTATTTTGTGACAACATTGCTTATTTTCTAATTAAGGTATTATCATTGTTGGTGTATACTCAACTGTGATTTTTTTTATCCTTTTCAGTTCAAACAAGTATCAACTTTTTCCAGAGTAAGTATTATGTACTTCATTGTAACCATCAAAACTGCATTTTAGTATGGTAAATAATTGGACCATTGCTCATTGGCAGGTGATTTGTTTGAACCTGCAGATTCATTTCTAAAACTGACTTTTCTTTGTATCCGTCCACTCGAAGTATTACTTAATTAATTTCGTCAATTCGGGGATAGAGTTAAGTATCCAAAATGACTTATATTATAACGTAAATATATGTTTAATACTTGCTTTTGTTCTGAAAATTTGGAAAATAAGAAACATTTAAAATGAGATCGCTTATCAATTGGCTTGAAATAACGTCGTTCGGAGTAAACATACTTCCGTGACATAGACACTAATCCATTCTTGTTAAATTCTACATGTAGTCAAATGAGTTGTAAATACAGTTATGTTAAATGCATGTTGGTGAAAATTTTATAAATCTTAAGATAACGATAATATTTTTATTTTTTTTCAGATTACACTTCATGCACTGATAAAATCAGTAACTGTCAGGAATATGGATCCAAAGTGTGCACTGACTACAAACAATGGTCAGAAGTAAACTGTCGATCATTCTGTCAAATCTGTTCATGTACGTTATATTTTCATTGTTGTATGTTTATAATGTTACTAAGTCTTATGGTGAGCGCCTTATCAATCTAAACGTTAATATCCAGTGGCGGATCCAGAAATTTTCATAAGGGGGGCCCACTGACTGCCTAAGAAGGGGCCCGCTTCAGTGATTCCCTAAATAATCAACCAAATTTTTCCCACAAAAGGGGGGCCCGGGCCCCTTGGAAAACCCTCTAAATCCGCCTCTGGCCGTTTATACATGTACAAATACGTTTCATTATGAACAACATTATCGTTACCGGATGGTAGATAAGGCAACATGTTTCGTCGAAAGTTTCTTTGCCTTTTTTATTAAAACGTACAGATCTTAAACCTGGGACTAGTATAATAGTCCCAGCTTAAACTGATTATGATTTTACATATTATGTGAGAGAAAACAAGGTAAAATTACTCACTGTTTCTTGTAAAAAAAAATTTTAATCTGTTTTATAATTTGATTGCGGATAGTATAATACAACGTATACTTTTACTAAATTAGTAAGGTAATGGTTTGTCAGAGGCCTTCAGTATTTTCTCATTCACTGTATAAATGACCATGGTAACAACTTTTGTACTTTTGCTCTTTTAGATAAATACGCTGTAACTGAGACTTGTGTCGATCAACTGGGTAACTGTGCTAGCTACGGAAAAGGTTCCTGTACATCGTACAAACAATGGGCTCAGGATAACTGTAAACAATATTGTGGATTCTGCAGTAAGCTTTAAAATCTTCATTTCTTTTATGCAACACCCCATTGATACGATAGTTTTTAGTATATTCTATTATTTTGTTTCAAACTTTTAGAATATAAACTATTTGATAATTCTCCATATTGTAGATCAAATATTCTTTTTTTATTCAATTATTGATCTGTACAGTATAACAAAATAAAAAAAAGCATATCTGTTAAATGCGGAGTTTTTCTTACACAGGGAGTAACGTAAATATGAAAAAGCTAAAGTTCTAAGTTCTTGTTGTTTTATGTTTCAGCTTCTACAGCAGTAACTGGTGGATTTTGTAAGTATTTTAACTATTTTTGCTGTAATTTTTAATTAAAGGCTGGCAAAGGCCCGCATATGGGATGATTTTAAAATCCTACTTAAATGTCCTGTTTCAAATCATAGATAATGCAAAACACGAATACATCAAATTTTCAGAGTTGTCATTGAAAATCTTTAAACTAAAAGTTTCAAGCATTTTGTCGTGTGGTGACCTGTTAATTTTAGTGTTTTGGGACTGTTATACTAGTATAATAGTCCCAGGTTGTTAAAAAACATGAAATTATCCGGAGATTGCAACTTAATACGGAAATTATTGGGGTCTCCGTCATTTATTTGCACTTTAGTATCGCCCTGTTTAGTTGTCGACTGCAAAATACAAAATTGTTTGATTTTAACGTGAAATTTCTTAAACATCTGGATAATGTGAGTTCCAAGGATTCTAACTTAAGGTTTTTGTTGTTGCACATCTTACAACTGAGGCTTAAAACGGAAGGTTTTTGTTGTTACACATCAAGTACGACTGGAGCTGGAGGCAAAAAATATTACCGGGATTTAATAGTGAAACCGTTATGATAACATTATCTAATAATTTGGGGTATGTTAGCTCGGTTATCTAGCTAGCTATTTTTCATGTTCACAGCCATGATTTCATAATGATATTATTAAGTATAATTGTATGACAAAACTTTTTCCAAAACACAAACAAATATTAAAAGGTATTCCTGTTGAAAATCAGTTAATTGAATAAAATTTGGTCTGCTTTGGAGTGCTTCACATGAGTTTTTAGTATACCAATGCCCTTAATAATGTATTAAAAGTGAAAGGAAATATAAAAACATAGATGTTTGATGAAAATCTTTTCTTTGAAGACATGAATCCCATTTCATTGCAAAATAAATATTCTAATATGACGTTCTTCAAACGCTTTGAGTACACACCTTTGGTAAAATATGAATATATTGTTTGGGCTGTTCCGATCATACTCCCACGTCATATGCTTTTTTATGAATGAGCTACCCCAACGTCATTGAACAATGACGTAAGAATATAAGCATTTTACGGGAAAATGCACGATTGTGAAACCGAAAGTCATCAAAACAAGGAAACATAAACAAACGATAATAAAATGTGTTAAAGGCCAATTTTTTTTTTACATAAAAGTAAAATCATTTAAATTCATCCAAATCTATCTAAACATGCTAAATACATAATTTTAATATATATAGTTTAAGCATGTCACTGTTTCAATTTGCTCCGTTCTTCTACTTCAATATAATAGTGTGTTTATTTACAGGAACGGCAAAATTTGCCTTCACCTAGAGTGCTCAGATCCAAAAGAATTGCCGTATTTGTCCTATTAGAATAGAAATTAATTTATGGGGACCTGAATTTATACAGATTTTACCACGGGTTTGCCCATTATGCCGATAATTTACCACTCGCTATCACTCGTGGTAAAATACAAATGTATGTAGCATAAAGGGCCAACCCATGGTAAAATCAGTATTAATTCAAGCCCCCATGAATTATTTCTTTATTATAACTGCAACAGGGGTAATATAAATTGAACAATCAGATCTTACTGAGACTACATGTACATGTACTATAACACATGTGTTATTGTAGTCTCAGGTCCTTACTGTGATGTAATAACATAAGCATTGTCACATAGGAAATGTACGGGAAAGTGCACAAATTTGAAAGTGATCGGGTCTTTTGGTTATGTGTCCCGTTTGAATTATTTGTACATCATTTTTTTGTACATGTATTAACTAGTTTATGCCATGATGTGATAATTATAATGAACAAATTTCCTCTGACATTCTAGCAATCTCCAACAGTAAAAGAAATTTATAGATTACCATCAAATTCAGTGACCAGGTTTTTAATTTATTTTATTACAGACAACCGATGTGCCTACAAAGGCAAATCCTACACTCCGGGACAGAAATGGTATGATGGATGTGATTATGAGTGTGTTTGTCAAGATGGAGCCACTGGGCGTTACCAGTGTTATAATAGGTACATTATCTAAGAGTGGATAAGTTTATTATTCTTACTAAATTAACACTTTCTTTCATGTCCTAAAAGAGAGGTGAATTTAAGATACCAAAGAGATAGTCAAAGATTTTGGCCTCAGCGTTCACTGAAGAGACATTAATTGTCCAAATGCACATCTAGTGCAGTAAAATTGGTAACATTTATATTATCGAACTCGTAAGTAAAAAAGGAACTGACAATACCATGGCAAAAAAGAGAAACAACCATTAGACAATCAACAGTCTACAAAACACAACATAGAAAACTAAAGACTGAGCAACACGAACCCCACCAAAATCTGGGGTGATTTCAGGTGATCTGGAGGGGTAAGCAGTTGAAACTTGGGACTTTAAAACTGTAGACAAATAGATTTAAAAATGTAAAAGTACAAAAGTTGATTTTATCAGTCAAATATTGTGGTGTTCCATACTTTATAGATATAAGAATATGTGGTATGAGTGCCAATGAGACAACTCTCCATCCAAGTCAAAATTTATAAAAGTAAACCATTATAGGTCAAGGTACGGCCTTCAACACGGAGCATTGGCTCACACCGAGCTATAAAGGGCCCCAAAAATTACTAGTGTAAAACCATTCAAACGGGAAAACCAACGATCTAATCTATATAAAAAACAAGAAACGAGAAACATTCATGAACCACATCAACAAACGACAACTACTGAACAATGTTTACATTAGCATGATTAATATAAAAATTTCTTTAATGGTCTTAGTTAGTTTCTCTGTTTTAATTAAACAATGTTTATATCATTTGGCATAATAAACATGTAAAAATGTATACCAAAGATGATCTCACAATTCATTGTTTTGCAACCAACCAGAGATCACACAAATGCTGACAATGTTGAAAAATTATCTTTCTACTGTGTTGTCTTTCAAATTATGTTTATGAGTTATTTAAGTCTGCCTTTGCCTGTATCTTGAATCTTTCGCAGTAATTTAAATCATTGCATACAATTTAAACAATCTTTACAGATGTCCAGTATACTACAACCTACCATCTATGTGTACCCTTGTTAGAAAGCCAGGAGAATGTTGTTTACAACCCGTCTGTAACTTTAAACCAGCCATTCAGAAGTTTGAATCATCAGGGAAAGGACAAAATCAGTTTGGAATTGGTATATATCTGCTTAGAAATTACATATATCAAAAGTACAACATAATCAGTCAGAGCTCTGACATAAACAAGTCAGAATAAAATGACTTCTTCAAGTCAGAAAGTGTTTTGAAATTCTGACCTGTACGCGTCAATTTTTGTTTTGGGTAGTTTTCACTCGAGTCCGTCAAACCAGAAGTTATTTTGAATTTGCCGCCGATCTACGACACATAGGATCACGTGGTTTTTTGCAAGCGATCACGTGTTTGAGAGTCGTTGTTTTGGAAGTGTCTCGAACGAGAAGTCATTGAATATTATATTGATTATTTACGATTTTTAGTGAAAATCTAGGTCATTGTGGGCATTTTTAGAAAGGTAATTCATATTACCTCCGTATTTTCATGGGCATTTTTATATTTTTTGCCTATAAAGAAGTTCCTTGCAAGTGATTTTTTTGCTGTTTCATGAAGGCGCGCGACCTGTAAATACGGACGCGTGGTCTTTGAGATGACCTGGTGATTGACAATTCTGACTTGTTCAGGTCAGAAAATGTTGTTATGATAATGAATTGTTATTTTCGGGAGATAACTCGTGTTGTCTTAAACAATATTAACATTATTAACCAGTCAGTGCAATTTAAAAAGTAAAATTATTGCTTCGAGCTGAACATCGTCACGTGATTTTTCTATTTTTAAACTCAATCACGAATTGATTTTTTAACCTTTCTGATTCGTTCTTCCCAATGAGAAAAACGATCATTGTGAATATTGATATGATGATAATGAAATGAAAATGGGAAAAATTTTAATACAAGAAAAAGGAAGGGAGGGGTTTAACTAAAGAACCCAAGGGTTTTTTTTCTATTTTTAAAGTTATAACTTGAGAACAATAAGTGATGCACACACCTGGTCTTCATTTATGATCATGGGACATGATAAAACAAATCAAATGAAATGTAGGGCAAGTCTCCAGGGATCACCCCTATCCCTGTCCTTTCTCTATTCCTCTTTATAATGTCAAATTGATTTGAATGAAATATACCGGGCTAGTCTCCAGGTTTACCCCCACCCCCTGCCATTTGCAAATGTTCTTATATTTTGTAAACGGTAGAGATCCCCACCCCTAAACCATATATATTCTTGTATGGGACAATTTAACAAATCAAATGATATGTTTGGGAGGTCCCTGGGGGTCACCCCTACCCCTCCTGTTTGAAAACTTGTAAACAGTCGAGATCCCCACCCCTAAACCATATATATTCTTGAAAAAGACAATAAAACAAATCAAATGAAATATAGGGGAAGTCCCTTGGGGTCACCCCACCCCCTCCTGTATGAAAACTTGTAAACGGCCGGGATCCTCACCCCTTAACCATATATATTCTTAAGCTTGTAAGGGTCAATAAGACAAATCAAATGAAATAAAGGTGAAGTCCCTGAGGGTCACCCCACCCCTCATGTTTGAAAACTTGTAAACAGTCGAGATCCCCACCCCTAAACCATATACATTCTTGCACAGGACAATAAAACAAATCAAATGAAATATAGGGGAAGTCCATTGGAGTCATCCCCATCCCCCTTTTTGAAATGTTCTGGATCACCACCCCTAAAGGTAAACCATATGATATTCCTGTTCGTCATTTCAAGAAGATTTGAATGACATGCAGGGTCAAACCCTAGGCGTCACTTATGTATATCACTTTACTAGACAAAACCAATTTGTACTGGAACTTGCCCAATGTCAGGCAACCATGGGAATGACGAATTATGGGAGCTTTGTTTTGGAGACTTCGTAACAGCATCCTGTTACAATTATTTCTTGTTTATTTTAATCTGGTGAGAGACCACCTTTACATATTATATTTATCAGTATTGTGTAAACAGAATTGTCTATTCAGTATTATTTTCTTCTCACATGCATCACATCTTATTGATTACATGGATATACATGTAGGAAGATGTGGTATGAGTGCCAATGAGACAACTCTCCATCCAAGTTACAATTTATAAAAGTAAACCATTATAGGTCAAGGTACGGCCTTCAACACGGAGCATTGGCTCACACCGAACAGCAAGCTATAAATTAAAGGGCCTCAAAAAATTACTAGTGTAAAACCATTCAAACGGAAAAACCAACGGTCTAATCTATATAAAAAAAAATAAAAATTTTGGCATATTTGTTTTCCTCTGAAATTACACATCTATAATTCTTACACCAGATGCTTAGCCACATGAAGCATTTACCTCTTATATGAGACATAGAATAGTCTTTGTTTCTACAGAAGTGAGAAGAACATTGGAAGTCAGAATGTTCTGACTTATAAAAGTCTGAATGTTCTGACTTAATAAGGTCAGAAAGACTCAGAATGATCTGAAAATACTGACTTTTTTTAATGTTTAGAGTATTTTAGAATATGAATGCACTTGTCATGCTAGTAGCATAAGAAACCCTTACAAGATTTTGTTCCCAAACAACAATTTTTAAAGATATTAAGAATAACAAGTGTACAATTAAACATAAATTACAAAGTTATAAGTGTTGTGAAAAAAGCTATTTAAAAAAAATCAATAGATAGTTATCTTTCAACTTTTACATGTATTTAAAAAAACAGTGAAAATATTATGGATTATATGTACGGCTTCTTGAAGGACAACAAAGTCACCATATTTGGTCTGAATTTGTATGTTTTTTTCTCCTCAAAATTTTTTTAACATTAATAATGTCAGCTTTTTTCTTAACTAATTTTAAACATTCTTAATTATAATTAAATTTCCCCAACATTTTGCTTACAAACTCTTTAATTTCTAAAGTCAAATTGAAAGTTGTCTTCACCATGTTCACAGATTCAAAGTGTCTGAAAATGTTATATTGAAAAAACAATACTTTTATATCCTCAAATAAAATGGGCATACCATGAGTTTAATGGTCATGCAGATATGCAATCCAGGATGTTAACAATCAGAGTTTAGATTACAGTCATATAGTAATAGGCAGAGTTTTTCTTATATAATCAATAACCAGAGTAAAGATAATTGATTAATAGAGGTTTAGTTTAATATAAGTAATAAACAAAGCTAATTAATACACTTGCAATCACATACATGTAGTTAAATAAGTAAATACAGAATATTCATACAAAATTCAGACAGAAATACTGTAATAGGTCAAGTCATTAGGGACGACATCAAAAGTTCAATGTAGGATAAAAAACTTAATTCACATCACATAGTTTTTTCACTGACCCACCCACCCCCCTCTTAACTTAATTTAATTTGGGAAAGATTGATTGACCAATATGGATTTATGTAAAATCGATTTTGTTTTAAACAAAACTTGCAGCAATTTTAACCCCACCCCCAAACTATTTGATTTAAGTTTTTTTATCCTACATTGGTCTTTTGATGTCGTCCCTTAGAATGTGCTGACTTTGTACATATTGTAGTGATAGTTATGACACCCATACAACATATAGGAATCAGTCAAAAGGAGAGAAAAATTCCCGAAATTTGTCACATAGTGACATTTGTGAGTCGGAATAACAAAATATAGACTCATTAATCTCTCCATCTTTTCAAAAATTATGAACCAGATTTTATGCATATCCATTTAGTTTTTGACGGACTCTTTTAAGTCAGAACATGATTTGACCTGTTTGAGTCAGTTTGCAGAACAAAATGTCCAATCAAAGCTAGGTGTACTTCCTTTAATCCAAGAAAGTCCTTGCTTTCAGACTGCTTCTGAATCTGCCATTTTCGAGTTTATTATTTGATAAATTTTAAGAAACAATTAAGTCAATTGATTATTTATTTTAGGGGATCTTAACATATATTTCCTGTGTCTTTTATCTGACGTTCCCATACATTCATTTAATATCATATGGCAATGCCCGGCTTAAATACTTTAATAAATTTATTTTAGATTTGGACTGACTCTTTTAAGTCAGAACATGATTTGACCTGTTTAAAACAAAATACATTTAATATTGAATATACCAAATAAACTTATGGGGACCTTATTTCCTCAGTCTTTTATCTGGCTTACCTATACATTTTTAAATCAATATGACAATACTAGACTTAAAAATTGTAATACATTTAATATGACTGACTCTTTGAAGTCAGAACATAATGTGACTTGTTTGAGTCAGTTTGCACAACAGTATTTACATCAATGAAATATCAAAATAATAAATGTTTTGCTCTTAATAAATTTAGCTTAAAGTGGATGAGAATATATCTTTTTTTAACACAGTCTTATCATGAATAAGTGTCTTGTTTTTTCCTTGGAAGATTTAAAGTATTGTCATGGTACTGGTAAATGTATCCAATATTGTATTTTGTAAATCTTTTGATATTCAGAAAATTGTATGATCCATTTTTTCTCACCTGGTTTTTCTTTGTATTTTGAAATAATTGAAAGTGATGAGATAAATATATTATGTTTAGATTCTGGAAAGGAGAAGGTATGATGTCAGATGAGCCCCACTTTTTAAAACTCTTTAATTCGAAACTAGTAATCACCATATTTTTATGGAGATTGATAACAAAGTGGTAGTAATGACTGCTTCAAAGCAGAACAAAAATGACCTCTTGAAGTCAAAATGCATTAAAAAGGGGCATAAATCTTATTAGAATATGAAGATATTAAGTCACAATATTTTGTGCAAAAGCTGACCTGTGGAAGTCATTTTATGATAAATTAAAGTCTGACATAAACTGACCTGTACAAGTCATATTCTGTTGAGTGCATGAAGGGAGACAACACTTACATCAAATTATATCTGACCTATGGAAGTCATTTTATTCTGACTTGTTTATGTCAGAGCTCTGACTGATAATGACTTCAATATTGTTATTCTTGATAAAAAAAAATAAGAAGATGTAGTATAATTGGCAATAAGACAACTCTCGAACAGAGACGAAATGACTTGGAAGTTAGCAACAATAGGTCACCATACAGCCTTAAACAATGAACAAAACCCATACCACATAGTAAGCTATTAAAGGCCCCCAAATGACAAACGTAAAACAATTCAAACAAGAAAACTAACATGCTGAGTTATGTACAAAACAATAAACAAAAAACAAATATGTACAAAACAATAAACAAAAAACAAATATAATATGCAACAATAAAAAAGACAACCCCTGAATTACAGGTTCCTGACTTGGGACAGGCACATACAGAATGTGGCAGGGTTAACATGTTAATTCCTTATAAGTCCTCTAGGGCTCTGGGTAATCATAACAGTTTAGATCAGTAATGTGTTTGTAAAGGGCAATTTCATCAATGATTTTAAAGCATTCATGTAAAACAGAATGAAATAAATCTGTGTTACTTATAAGCTTACAATATATTGATAATTGTGTTTGACAAAAACATACTAGTTATTTTTAACGCTAATCTAGTCAAGTTGAACATATGTTTGTTCCGCCTGACATAAGTTCCCCTGGAAACTTTGTCTTAAACAATGCCATAACATCTGTTCCTGTTGGATCAAATATTCTTTACCATTTATTCCATTAGGAACAAATACTGATATATTTTTTTTCCAACTTGGAAATAATAGTTCCATTGGGAACTTATATTATGAAGGAACTTCTATTTCATGACAGCCTAGGTATCCCTCCTTACTGTCCAAATTTTTGGCCACAAGTTTGGCTTTTAAAACTTATAGTATTTTGAAAAGCACATAGAAAACAGAAACAAGCAATTACTTTGTACACCTACATGTATGCATAGCTTTTAGATTAAGCAAATGTCTGATGTATGAAAGTAAAATAAAAGTGATTTTCCATCAGCATTTTTTTTAAAGTAAATATATAACTACCTGTATACAGCTTTTATTTTTAGACTAATTTCATTGATACTTTTCAGATGTCTGTGTATATAAAGGAAAACAGTATTACCAAGACCAGAGTTGGACTGATGGATGTGACTTCCAGTGCACATGTACTGCTGCTAAAACAGGTCTCTACCAGTGTGAACAATTGTAAGTCTTAAGATTACAAAATTGTAGAATTCTTGTACCAAGACATGAGGCTTGTTTTTAATATAAATTTGTCATAACAGTTACATTCTCATAACAACATGGTTTCTTATACATTTTTGTACATTTTTGTATTTTGGATGAGACATTTTTTTAATGAAAATAAACATGCAAGCAAATGACTAAACCATCTAAACAGAACTAACATGTTAAGGATGTTCACTACTCTTGTTTCTGACTTTTAATCAAATATTCAGAATCCTCTAGTTTTATCCATGTAGTGCCTATAAAATTTTTGCCTGCCAACCCCTACTTTTCTTTCTTAATTTTATTACATATAGTTTAAAAAGCCATTTTTGAAAACCTTATAAAATCATAGCTTTTGAAAGAAAAAAGGTGCCAATGTTAAATGTATGAAAATCTAGAGAGAATCATTTCCTGAATTTTCAATTGATTAAATCTCAAAAACAAGGACATGGACCTTTAATTTTTTTCTTCTTTTTAAATTCCGTTATTTATATACAATCAATTTATAACAGTCTTTTATAAAGCTTGTTATTTTGAAACAGAGGAGCAAATATCCTTAATGTATTTATACATCTAGTGAAAGATTCTATGTATTTTCAGATGTCCATCCTATTCTGTTCTCCCCCAGATCTGTCATTTAGAACAGACACCAGGACAATGTTGTAAGAAACCAGTATGTGAGTTTACACAGCAAGCTGGTACCTTCTCTGGTAACGGAATGATCAGTGGAAGTGGAATCAGTAAGTCTAGAACTGTAATCTTTTAATCATGTTGAATATAAAAAGGATTTTCTAAGAAAAAGTACAGCTCTAGGTTTTCATTAAAAAAAAAAGTGTTTAAGTTTTGAATAACCAGCATAATTGTAATATACAATAAGGTACTTAGACTCCAAATGACAGTTTTAAAGACCTTGAACGACAGAAAGAAAAGAAAATTGATCATGTTGATAAGAATTTAGTAAAGGCTGTAACATTTTCATTTTATCTGATGATAGATAGATGAAAAGTAAATTCCTATTGATGTAGGACTCACGGGTATACTAGAACCTCATTCCATTCCAAGTTTCCAAGTTTTTTTTTTATCTTTTCCAAAAACAAAGTATATTATGAAACATGCTTTTATGGCCTTTGATGGTAAAAATAGAAAAAAAATAATATTGCTTTAAAGTTTCTCAAAGTAATTTACAGCATGCTCATCTGTACATGTATAAGTATCTTTTCCTTTTCTCTTTTCCCTAGACCTTCAGGCACCATTTTCTGGACCTTGTCTTGACTTGTTAACCTGTTCTAACTATGGTAGTGATGTATGTACTACATACAAGGACTGGGCCAAGAAAAACTGCAGAAACACCTGTAACTTCTGTAAGTAAAATGTAGTCTACTATTGAAATGAATTTTGATTAGAATATGAAAGGTGTATACAGCTTTTTCTTTGTGATTACCTATTTAGCTTGTGCAAGTAGGTACATTGAATAAAGATTACATTTTATCATATAATTTTTCAATTTTTGGACTTAAAATGATTTACGTATTTTTATATTAAAACACAAATAGAAAGATTGAACATTGATTAAAAACGTTAAATTTGTAATATTGTGGATTCCTTTATTTCCGTGGATCCACGAAAATTGGTATTCGACAAATAGTGATGAATTCACAGTATATGAAGTTTGGAAAGTTTACACCCTTGTTATGGGGCTTGACATTGTTTAGGTGCAAATACTTTAAACAGGAGGGGAGTTTAACACACATTCATACACTAGGCAATGCTTTGATTTAAACAAATCTTGATTCAAGTTGAATTCACCAGTTGCAAGATAGTAGGTTTACACTAGTATGGTTGATTGTTTAGCTCTAAAGTGATTTACATTAAATGATTATTGATTCTGCTAAAATGTCTATGTTTTCATATTTTTAGGTCCAAGCTCACAATCTTCAGGACCAAATGGTAAGAACATAAAGTTTGCTTATTCAGTACTACATATAGCAATAAACCAAACATTCAATCGTTGACTTTAATTTAGTTTTACGAGGGAAATATCTATGAAATCATAGTAACATTATAGGAAATAAACAAAACTGACAGTTATAACTACAAATTAAATCAGAGAAGTCAAGTGCAATATATATGTCAATGTTATAGTCAAATTTTTATTCCCAGTTTTCATAAGTTCTTCATTTTGTATTTACTTGTTGTTATAGATCATTGTGTATATGATGGAAAGTCATACAAACAGGGAGAAGTTTGGGCACCAAAATGTGATGAGAGATGTTCCTGTGAAAATGCTAAATATGGTTATTATAGATGTGTCAATACGTAAGAACAATGTAATATCAATATCATTGACTGATTTATGGGATTGGATGGCATCTCTTACACTACCCCATAATTCAGGGAAATTCGTTACCTGATTGTTATCATACTTTGGTTTTTTCTCTAATAAACAGTGTAGGTTAAAATCTGTTGAAATAAACAGTTATATTGATAATTGACCAAAAACAAATTGATTTGCAAGGTCCCCTTTTAAAATTGTTGTTGAATTTGCTGTGCAGGATAAAAATGAGGAGATGCGATATGATTGCCAATGTCAGAGACAAGTTTTCAGGACAAGGATGTGAACTTTACCTAATGAGTTGCAACCTTAGCTTAAGGTGGTACCTAACACTACAGGGAGATAACTCTGTAAAAATCAGCTAAACGTTTTAATTACGTTGTATTGTTAAGGAAATATTAAGCTTCTCAATGTACAAAATTAGTGTTTGTCAAACTGCTATATAACCAGTGAAATTTTTCTGATAAAGTGGTTGGTTCAAATTTTTTGAAATTTTTATATTTCTGTCAAAGGGTCAAAGTAAACATTTTGTCAAAATTTTATGAAAATTAAACGAGCCAAATTAATATTAGTCAAGGTGTTGGGTACCACCTTAATCACAATTACAGAATTTGATGAACTGGAAATTTACAAACAAAATGTATCATTTAAAATCACATATAAATGATCATGATCTAGATAGTTTTCATAAGAATGTTCATATTTATAAAAGGTAACAGGTTTTTGAAATGTATTGTTCATACCTGTAAGTGGTTTATTTTTTCTTGGAGTTTAAGCTTTGCAATTTAATTGGCCAAACCTGTTTGCAAGGATATATTTTTATTGTTTGTGATTTTCTAAAATCAAGTGAAGGAGAAGGGTATCTTCACATTTTCATTTTAATTGCGAAATTAGCAAAATCAAACTGCTCGAGAAAATTTCCGGTTTTACAATATCCTTAAAAAAAAGTCTGAACAACAATGCGATTCAATAAGTAAAATTGTCTATTTCAGATGTCCCAGTTATACTAACTTGCCATCAGGATGTAACCTGAACAGAAGAAATGGTGAATGTTGTCTCAAAGTACAGTGTACCAATGGAGTCTTTTTGCAATCTGCCACCAGCAGCTATTCTCTGGGTGGAGGTGGTGGAATTCAAATTGTCAATCAGAATGGAAATGTCTTCCCCATACCCACACTGGCTGGTGGTTATATCCAAGGAGGCGGATCAGGAACAGGGATGCTCCCACCCACAATAGGTTTGGATGATTTTTATATTTGAAGAGTTTTCTAAAGTAATCAGAAAGGGTACTGGAGTATTTATTTCTTAAATTTAGAATTAGAATATTTGGTGACACAGTCTGAATTGTCATTAGGAATCAATTTACACATTGTGTATTATATGAATTGTATTGAAAAATTTACATGACAACAGTTTTCTTATTAAAAAAACTGAATACCGTTATGTTCAACACATTTGAAATTGTTCACAATTTATGCTGCTTCAGCTTTAATTTTAACATGAACAAAGAGAGGCATGGGTGTATGTCACTGAGCAGCAACCCAATGCGGTAACAAAAGATCCTCAAGAGATCAACATAATCTTCAACAATCAAAACAAGAGACATGTGATAATACAATATGTCATACATTAAAAAGCTCTTAAAAGCTTAAAAGCTTTTTGAATCAATTCAATTAAACAGAAACAATCAGAGATCTGCCATCACCACAATTTCTCCAAATTTTAAGATATGACATAGAAAAACAAAGTTTCTTACTTGAGACAGACACATACATTTGTAGCAGGGTTAAGTTTGTTTGTGTGTTCTTATTTTTCTACAAGATTTTACCTATTGCTTCATATGAAATAATATTTTTCATTAGAACTCCGGATTTCAACTTTTCTATGCCCCCTGCCCTTCCTCGTTCTCTAGACCCCAAAACTTGTTTTTGGAGAGTATATAGGGATCCCCCTATCCGTCTGTGCCTTGTATGTGTAGCCCTTTCTTAATGGACGTTAATAAAACTTGACATAGTTGTAAACCACTACCTTAGGTAATCCTTAAAGGAATGTAATCCCATTCCAACATGTTTTAATTAAGATAATTGAATTTTTTATGCCCCACCTACGATAGTAGAAGGGGCATAAAGTTTTCTGGTCTGTGCGTTCCTCCGTCCGTCTGTCCCGCTTCAGGTTAAAGTTTTTGGTCAAGGTAGTTTTTGATGAAGTTGAAGTCCAATCAATTTGAAACTTAGTACACTTGTTCTCTATGATATGATCTTTCTAACTTTAATGCCAAATTAGAGTTTTTACCCCAATTTCACGGTCCACTGAACATAAAAAATGATAGTGCTAGTGGGGCATCCGTGTACTATGGACACATTCTTGTTATACTTCAATATGCTAATGGTATTGGAGGGGGTTATGTCCTTTTGTGAGTTATACCATTGTTTTAGTTTTAAAAAAAAATGAAAACAACACATTATAAATTTCATGTGTCCGAGTGCTTTTCTGGATTTATCTTCATCAGGAACGCTCAAAGCAGAATATTTGAAAGCCAAGGATGTTTAAAATCAGAAACACTTGAAGAGCTATATAACCAAAAAGACCTAAAAAAAAAAGCCAAATCCATTTAAGGTCAACTTTGCCTGAGGGAGTTGAAACCTTGGCTTCTTTATAATTTCAAAATTTATAAACGGACAATTTTAGAAAGGTTTGTTATAAATCATGTCAGTACCAAAGTACTGACTACTGAGCTGATGATAACTTTTGATTTAAAAATCACACTTATTGATTATGTAACTACAGAATTTATATGAATTAACAAAAAAAACCCTACCTTAAAATCTGTCATAATGTCAAATATAAATAAGAAGATGTGGTATGAGTGCCAATGAGACAACTATCCATCCAAGTCACAATGTGTAAAATGTAAACAATTATAGGTTAAAGTACGGCCTTCAACACAGAGCCTTGGCTCACACAGAACAGCAAGCTATCAAGGTAGTCTATAAATGAGAAGGTTGAATAAGACAAAAGAACCATAGGGATAGTGTTAAAGCTAAGGTAGATAGATACCACCGTAACAGGTTTTCTAAACACTAAAAATGTCTTGCAGATGGATGTCTTTATAATGGACAAGTTTACTCACAAAATCAGGCATGGATGGATGGATGTTCCAAATACTGTGTTTGTGTAGACGCTACTAAAGGTCAAATGTCATGCAGAGCAAGGTAAGGGTTCGTTGAATATGAACTTTATAGATATTTTACATGTAGAACATGAAGTATGATACAGATAGAAATAAAACAAGTGACAAAAATCTCTTGTTTTATTCTATAACAATGTATATTATTTATTTCTTTTATTACATACACTTTGTTTACAAATAGTGAAAATTCAGTTTTAGATTACAGATTAGCACATTAATTTTCATTATTCTTTTAACCATTTCTTCTTTTTTTTAAGATTGTAAAAGTTTCTGTTGTTCATAATATACTATTTAAGAATTTGATGCTTTCTGGATAAAACTTTTAAAAGCTTTTACAAAAACAATTAAGTTACAAAATCCTAAGCAATAGATATCCAGCCAATGGGGGCACATTATTCTTGTTTCTGGAGTAGGGAAAATTATATTACCAACAAAGTCGGTGAAATGGCTTATTGTGTGACACTTATTCTATTGATATCATTTTCCGATGGCTTTTTTAAATATCTGTCAAACAATTATAGACAAAAGGTATGTGTTCAATCTTATCGATAGTGGCTTAAAGTCTGTTTAGTTTTGTATATTCTTTTATCAGATTACGTAATTTTAGAAGTAATTGATACTTAAGTGTTTTTAGTCTATAAAAGTTGTGGATCAATTTAACAGAGACTTTTCAAATATCAAAGATTTGATATTAATACAATGTAAATTCTATTGCCTTAGTGATATTTATTTTTTTTCTTTTATTGAATTGACTTCTATTAAAGTTTATGATATTTTCAGATGTCCAAAATATAATAACATGTCACCAACATGTGTCATGAGTACTGACCCTAATGACCCTTGCTGTTCTGCTCCAAAATGCACCTTTGATGCAAATTTGGGAAAAGTACCTCAACCACTTCCAGCATTTGGCCAGTCTGCACTCACTAACTCAATAGTCTCTCCTCAGACAGGAGCAAGTGAACACAATGGTTATGGAAGGACAATAATCCCCTTGTTTAATACAGCATACACACCAGCACCTCCCACTGTTGACCCTGGAAAAATGTCAGCTGGAGGTTGGTATAGTAAACAAAATTTGGCCAAAAATACAGTGTAACTCTTTACTTTAGACAGTACTGCTATGTTTTTATAAATGCAAAAAATGCGATGCTATCAATTTCCCAATAATAAAAACTTACTTTCATAATTTCAGTAGTGATTATCCTTCATAAAATATTTGCAATTGCATAAATTAGATTTCTCATATTTGCAAGAGGTCAAGGATTCTTAATGAGAAATACATTGGGCATTTGGGCGCCTGCAAACATGTTTCACCCACCTCATTCTGTATGTGCCTGTCCCCAGTCAGTAGCCTGTAATTCAGTGGTTGTTGTTTGTTGCTGTATATGATATTTGTTTTTCTTTCATTGTTTTGTGCATAAATCGGGAGTCGGTTTCACAAAAAAAAACTTACTACTAAGATTGATCGTAAGTCATGAACAATTCAGTATACTTACGATCAATCTTAGTTGTAAGGTTTTTTTGTGAAACTGACTCGTGGCTATTAGTTTTCTCTTTGAATTGTTTTGCATTTGTCATTTCGAGGCCATTTACAAGTTGACTAAGCGGGATTGGTTTTGCTCATTGTTGAAGGCCATACAGTGACTTATAGTTGTTAACTTCTATGTCATTTGGTCCCTGGTGGAGAGTTGTCTCATTTGCAATCATATCACATCTTCTTATTTTTATATGCATTAATTTCTAAATTTACAGTAGTGTTTTTGGCATTGTATTTTCATAAGGTAAAAAAAAATATAGTTGTGTTTCCTGCCTCCCTACCTATTCCAAAAATGTTTGTACCTACCTTAACACATTTTATAAACATTTCAGTAAAGCTCAGGTAAAGTCCAAAACATCTCCCTATTAAGTCTATATAAATGTTTAGAGACAGATTGTTTACCTACCTAAATCCTATATATCCCTTTTATTGTGATATGAGGCAAGAAACAAGTACATATATTTTTGGCCCAACTTTATTTTAAGATATTTCTGGATCAAAGTCATTACTTCCTTGTTGTGCTCAGAATGACATTCAAATTTAAAAGAATAACACACATTAGAAAAAAGCACTGAAATGAGATAATAAAAAGATTTCCAATCACTTTTAATCTTTACACAAAGATAGAGTATATACTGTCAATTCAGAACTTTTACATGCATTTATTATTGTGATTTAAGGAATGACTGTAAAAATTTGTATGTCTATTCCAAATAACATAAAAAATGTGGTGCACTCTGAATCAGCCGCATAGTGGGTAATTTAAAAGTGTGCACCACATTTTTGAGGTTATTTGGAATAGACAGAAAAAATATTACAGTCATTCCTTATAATTTAATTCCAAATTCCATTTTCAAGGTGTGATCCATGAAAAAACGCTGATGATGTCACGGTCACATGACAAAATTATGTCCATGAGCTGATAGACAAAAAACTTTCAGCCAATCAGATGATGTGTTACAACCAAAATTAAATTATAGTTGGATATAATCAACAAAAATACAATTTTAATTATTGTGATCTCAGGAAATGCTGTATGCATATAATGCTATAAAAAAAATTTAAAATAGAGTTTATTTTTGCAACACCTGTCTGGTCACACAGTCTTTGCATTAATAAGAACATCTCAAAAATTTGCTTCCCTGAAAGCTATTGAAATCACAAACTTTCCTAGTTTATTTTAGACATGCATCTATTATTTTATTACATTACAGGATACTGTGACTACGGAGGAAAACGATACAATGTAGGACAGAAATGGGACGTAGGATGTCGGTATAACTGTATATGTGATGATGGAAAATCAGGTCATTACACATGTGTAGAAAAGTAGGTACACTATTTCTTTATGAATATGTGTATGAACTAGGGAGACATAGGGTATACATCAATGAAAAAGCATCCCAACAATTCAAAATAAAAAAAACCAGAAAATATTTCTATAAATTGCAGTATGATTTTTTACTAGATATATTATTAAATAATTGGGTTTTGGTACAGGATTTTTTTTTTTTTTTTTTGCATAAAATATGATTTTGAACAAAAAGCTTGCATAATAATTAATGTAATGGTAAACATCATTTGTGATATTAATGCATAACTAATTATTTTGAGAATCAGGTCTTTATTTACAATGATCCAATCAGAAATAAATTTCCGAAGAGCACTGTTTTATTCATTTGCTGATTCTATATTGACCAAAAACAGATGTTAAAAATGTCCTCAACACCAGGATACTATTCAAATTTCTTGGGAGACTAATGAATAAATGTCTATTTTTATGCCCTAGCTGTAGGTGAAGGGGAATTTAGTGTTACCCATGACCACCCGTCTTTCCGTCCTTCCGTCTTTCCGTCTGTCCCATTTTCGTTTGCTTGAAGCTTGAGCATGGGCATTTGTGTCCTCAGACACATTCTTCTTTTATTTCCCAATTTATGATTTCGAGATATTATTTTAATCAATCTTGGACCTGTCTGTATTATAACGTACATATGAAGTTATAGTACTGTAAAACTGAGGAAATAAGTTTCATAGAATTTATCTAAAAACAAATGATAACAATAGAATTATTCACTTTTATAGGTGTGTTCACTACAATAATCTACCACAAGGTTGTTTCCTAATTCAAGATTCGGCTAATCCATGTTGTAAAGTTCCACGATGTAACGTACCTCCAAAATATGAAATACTCACAGGAGTCAGAACAACACCATCAGCAAGAACTGGTAAATATAATTTTAATAGGGATTTGAAACCATTAGCTGGAACCATATATATAGATTCTACCACTGCATCGAGTGTGATACGATATTTATCCATGTTGAGACAGTTAAATTTTCAAATTTAAAACGCCAGGCTTGCCGAGCGTTTTAAATATTTAAAATTTAACTGTCGAGAGTGGATAAATATCGTATTACACGAGATTTGGTGGTGGAATCTGTTTCTCTAATGATTTTCAAACAATATGCAGGCAAACTTATTCCTTCTTTTTGAATGATGGTCGCCTTTTTTCATGCCGTCACAATAGGAAATTCAGAGGAAAGCAAGAAAATTCTACGTCATAATGGGATTTTAGCCAATGAAGAACTGAGATCAAACGAACCACATGTTGATTAAATTTTTTTTATACAATGGGTGCAGAAAGGGATAAATTGATGAAGAATTAGAGAAATATATGTATTAATATATTGTGCTTTCATTACTTATACTGTGGATACATTATTCGTAATTGTTGTCTAAGTAGTTAATCTACTGTAATACTAGCCTGTCAACACTGAGGTTTTGAGATCGAACCTAGCTTATGACAGTTGCATTTGACTCCAATCTCAATTGACTAGAATTTTCAGTTTTCCTACTGAAGGTCGTTGGTTCTCTCACGGCCCTCCAGCTTCCTCATCAATAAAAAATGACTGCCACAAAATAGCCAATAGTGCTGAAAGTGGTTAAAACCGACATACAATCAATTGTTAGGAACTAATTTTCATGAATTTTGGTGAACCTTAAATTTTAGTATTCAACAAAAAACAGGTTTTTTGTAGAACTTGCCTATGCCATGAAATCAAGTATTCATGAAAATGCAATTTTTGCATCAATCACCAAAAAATTTGAACCCATGAAAATAAATGAATCTGCTGCATTTCCTTGTTATTCCTCCAATTTATTTCAGTAACATTCATGTCAAAATTTATGTCTACTGCAGGGCTTCCAAAATTATTTTTAGCCAGCCGGACATTTTATATATTATCCCGATTTTAATCCCGATTTTAATCCCTTAAGACTAAATAAACAAATATTCATCATGTTGAATGTGGGCAGTATATGGAAGAAGAAGAAGAAGGCAATTATGGTAATCAGTTGCCGAGTTGGACATCCCAATGGCAATGATTGACATTAAAAAAAAACGATATTAAACTTTCTTTGATTCAAATTTGAAGTTCTGACGTAAACTAGTAAATTTGCAGTGCATCATTCGAAGTGTGCAACATCAGCGTACTTATATCTGCCTTAGACTCTTTATTTTGGCAAAATAACGTTGTCAAAAACTTTACTTTCGTTTTTAAACCGGATGTTATCTTGACAATGATAAAACATGGACCAGAGACGGATACCTAAATTCCGTGTACGTTTGCAAAGCATGAATGAGTGTAAGTAGCTCTTTCTACGTTATTTCTTCAAGAAAATATTCGAAATAAACGTGAGATAAAGGTATCAATGAAATTTAAGCATTTTTTGAAGAAATTAGGCTGCATAATTAAATTTCACACCTGCGCACACATGTACTAGTTCAAACAACGTGGTTATGACGATTTTTCATTTTCACCTTTTTAATTTTTTCATCAAATCATATTTGTAAACGTATTTCTGATAATTTAAATCTTTTTGACTAAATTAATTAGATGCAAACCGCTGAAATGTAAGAAAATAACTTTGAATAGACCGATCAATATCCGGTTCAAAATAGTTTACCTGTCACCTGAACAGGTAAATTTCAGCTGTTCGACAACTAATTAGCCTTGATTAAAATGAGAAGGTATTAAAGTAGGGGTTGTTTTGATAGTACTTAATGATCATGTCACTTTTATGACCGGAAATGTGTGGCTGTTAAAGGCAAAAGGTTGGGTCATAAAGATTGCGAATTATGTTAAAATGACCGTCTCTTAAGAAAGCCTTGAAAACTAAAAAGTAGATGTCCGTTTCATGCTTTGCCCAGCCGGACTTTTACCGGACATTATACAAATGTCCGGAATATGTGACCGTTTTGGAAGCCTTGGTCTACTGTAATCAAAACCTCCAGTAAAACTTTTGTCATATCTACATAATTTTAGTTACTTAGTTAGTTAAAGTGATTTAATAAGAGCTCTTCTTTTTAAATGGATGTGGTATGGTAGGAAGGGACTTCATAAATGCCCCAAACAACCTCCTGTAGGTTCATTAATACTCGTGGGATACCACTTGTCATGGATTTCGTGGGAGCATGTGAACCAGGAATTTAAATGTTCAACGAAGTACAATTTTTTCCTCAATCTACGAAAATTGGTATCCATGAAAATACATGAATCCATAGTGAGTGAGTAATTTTGCATTCATTGAATGAGCATTCAGTCTTAATAACCCATGTCCAAAAAATAAAAATTCCATTCTTACCCCCTCCCTACCCCTTAATTTTAATGGAATACTCTCAAGCAATTTTGATATTTTAAATAGCTTTTATAGAAATCCTAATTCATCTGACCTGTTGCAAAAAGAAAAATATGTCAGGATCATAAAACCTCTAATTGGAAGCAAACTAGCAATAATTATATGACTAACTGTGGAGAGTGTGTTCTTTAATGTAAACGAAACAATTCTTTTGTGTTTATAGGTGTGTGTACATACAAAGAGCAATATTACCAACAAGGACAAACTTGGTATGATGGTTGTAGTTACAGATGTACCTGTGAAGATGCTGAGAAAGGCATATACAGATGTCTAAGTCGGTAGGTTTCCTTCCTGTTCACCCAAATTATACGATGAATTTGATTTTTTCTTGGCCGATTTAGATTTTTCCAAACCAATCGTTTTATTTTTAAGTAATTGGATTTAGTTCTTCATAAGGTGAAATTTAATTAGGATTTCAAATTTTTATGCCATTCTCTAGTTTTCTATTGTAACAAAATGGAAAGAGGCAACCATGCTGAATGACATCATATAGATTCAGATCCTTTGACCCAAATGTCAGAGTCATCTGAATTTTACTCAGAAGTAGATTCTACCACTTCATGGCTTCTGTGGTGCAATATTTGTCCAAATTCAATAATCAAAGGACAGGATGAGATAAAAGATTTTATTTCAGCCAAACTTTTCAAATTACAGTATTGATATATACCACTCACACATATTGTAAAATTTGCATTTTTATTATTTTCTTTGAAGAAAATTTTGAATAAATGCAATTGTTCAAATACAAAATTCAGAGTATATACTGACATATTTGGATTCCTGCATTAGAGAGTGATCAAGTTTTAGATATTTTCGTTTTACAAAAAATGTAAGTACTGTAAATTCATAAATTATCGCAACTATTGGACCATTGACACAAATGTGAGTTTAATTAATGTGATTTCAGTAAAATGATGATACACATAATATTATCAAAATTTAAAATGCAAGTCTAATTTTGCAACACCTATTTTGTAGAATTTTTTGCAATCCTTAAAACACAGTGAAATGTTTTTGAATTTACCCACAGTAGGTAAATATTTGGTTCGAATTACTTTTGTAAAAGTATCAATGGAGTTACTGTTGATTTTAGGTACCAAAAGTTTATACATTTTTCAAAAGTAACATTTGTATTCACCATTATATTGCAGTTGTCCCGAATATCCACTCAGTCATGGTTCTGAATGTACACTGATATCCGATCCACGTGACCCAACATGTTGTCAGATGAGAGTATGCGGAATTAAAAATGGAACATCAGGGAACAATTCACCAAATCCAACTCCAGCAAGAGTTCCACCAGCAGTATACCATGGAATAGAAACAAATTTCCAAGGTAAATATTGGAATTTTATTGTCACTGTCATTTTTGCATAAAAGTGTTGCTGGTTTTATTTATAGTGTTGGTTCTTTGTTCGATTGTCTGTCTGTCTGTCTGTCTGTCTGTCTGTCATACCATGTTCAGAGTTATTTTTGTAGAGGCTAGAACTCTAGAGGACTAGATCACAGCTGCCAAGTTATGTTGTTCTGTGGATTTTTCACATTCCCTTTAATTATAGATGCCTTGTCAACATAAATTTGTTCCTCATGATAGAACTTTCTCTGCAAACTTTGTTATTAACAATGCTACAATATCTGCTTCTGTTAGGACAAATATTCCACAACTTTTAATCTGTCAGGAACAAATAGTGTCACACTTCTTCCAGTGGAAATGATATTCCAGAATATTTCTTCCCTTTTTATATTTTAAAGAAACTTCTTTTCCATGACAGCCTCATTACTTAACTATTATTTACAAATATACAATTTCAATCAGGGCAATTATCAGAGATAAAGATTAAAAAAAAATGGTAATTTGATTTTGGGGTATCGCTGTCATTGGTGTATAAGTCAGATCCCCTTGTATATTTCTTCATTGCAGGAAAAAGTGGTGTATGTATTTACAAAGGTCAGGCTTATAAACAGGGAGATATCTGGCAAGACGGTTGTGACTATACATGTACATGCGAGGATGAAATAAAGGGAGCTTACTCTTGTACAGATAGGTATTTACATCTTTTAATCATTTTCCCATTCAGATCATATGAGATTGATTCAAATAAAGGATTGCACTTCTGAAAAAAAACATTTGATGTTTGCATTTGAAGCGACCATTTGAACTTGGATGGAAGGGGAATTTAAAGGTATACAAATTTGACATCTAAATGAATCATTAAGGGGAGATAAACAGGTAAATTATATAGAAATTTTATAGTTTCTCTTCTGGATTATTATCAGACTACCATATTAAGGAACATCTGGAAATAGAAACTGAACCCTGAGTTTCTTCAACTGAGAGGGTTCCTGAAAACAAATTATGGTTAAATATGATAAACATCTCAATTAAGTCTTTTCATTTTTAATTTATTTAAATTTCCAGATGCCCAGTTTACATCAATCTTCAACCTGGTTGTGAAATGGTCAGAGACTTCAGTAATCCATGTTGTAAGAAACCACAGTGTACAGTTACTGGACCCCCACCTACACGTATCTACCATAATGTACCAAATCTTCCAGTAACATTGAAGCCAGAGCTACGTAAGTACTAACTTGGTATGGTCTTGATCCAATTAGCCATTTAGATGATATTAGTATGAACAGTGGACTGACTCTTTGAGGTCTGACCACATGAATTTTGCTGTAAAGAGTAGAAATCTAACTGTGTTTCTGATAATAAGTCTATACATTTATTTGTATATTCCAATTTTTATTGATTGAGTACAATGGTATTTTTTTTTATGTCCGTCCGTACGTTCCAAAATTAGTTTCCGTTCTCTAACTTTAGTTTGCCTCAACCAAATGTTATGAAACTTATACACAATGCTTATTAACACAAAACACAGGTCAAGTTTGAATTTGGGTGGCGTCACTTTTACCGTTCTAGAGTTATGCCGCTTTACAAATGGAAAAATTGCTTAATTTTTCGTTTCCGTTCTCTAACTTTAGTTTGCCTCGAACCAAATGTTATGAAACTTATACACAATGCTTATTACCACAAAACACAGATCAAGATTGAATTTTGGTGGCTTCACTTTTACCTTTCTAGAGTTATGCCCCTTTACAGATGGAAAAATTGCAGAATTTTTCGTTTCCGTTCTTTAACTTTAGTTTGCCTCAACCAAATGTTTTGAAACTTATAGACGATGCTTATTACCACAAAACACAGATCAAGTTTGAATTTTGGTGGCGTCACTTTAAAAGTTCTAGAGTTATGCCCTTTACAAATGGAAAAATTGCTGACTTTTTCGTTTCTGTTCTCTAACTTTAGTTTGCCTCGACCAAATGTTATGAAACTTATACACAATGCTTATTACCACAAAACACAGATCAAGTTTGAATTTTGGTGGCGTCACTTTAAACGTTTTAGATTTATGCCCCTTTACAAATGGAAAAATTGCTGAATTTTTCGTTTCCGTTCTTTAACTTCAGTTTGCCTCAACCAAATGTTATGAAACTTATCCACAATACTTATTACCACAAAACTCAGATCAAGTACAAATTTGGGTAGCGTCACTTTTACAGTTCTTGAGTTATGTCCCTTTATAATGTTATATGCAAGCGGGGGCATCATCTGTGTCCCATGGACACATTCCCCATTTATTTTTTATAAAAAGTGGATACCTAGTTTTGACAAATTCTGAATACAAGCCTATGATAAATTTGTATTTTTGTTGAAAAATTTTAAACTTAGTTCACCCTTACCACCAAATCCTCAAAATTTAGTATCAAAAGTATTATTTTTGCTTACATCATGTACATATGAAATGCATGGAAATGCTGTTATTGCCTAAATTCATGACTTCTTTACAATGTATAACTATTTATCATAAAAGGAGGGGATTAGAACTTTAGTTTCCAGCACTTCTATGTATTATTTGATAAGTTCATATGAAATATTGTGTTGAAATGTTAAAATTTATGATAGTTTTATAACATTCTGTGTATTTGTATTATGATAAAGGAGGTTCATTGATGTTTATAACTTATCTCATGGACATAGTTGCCAGATTTTCAGATTTGATTCTATATATACTGGTTTCTGTCATTTTTCACAGAATACTGTGTATATAAGGGAGTAAGCTACTTACAAGGTCAGGAATGGGAAGATGGATGTAGTTTCAAATGTCGATGTGATGACTCAAGCAGAGGAATATACACTTGTAATCAAAGGTGTGTTATCATAACTTTTGCATGCAAATTGAATGTCATGCTGTCGTTATTATTACACCAAAAATATAAAAAAGAATAAATGACACCTTTATAACACATCAAAATTATGAAAATATTAAGACAGGTTCATGTGCTTGATTGTAAGATATACAAACATTTGAATGTGAAATTTGGCGGGGAAAAAGATTTTTCATGTTAAATTTATTGAAATAAGTGAATGCTTCAGGTAGACAGGTGTCTCCTCCCATCTTGGATTATTGAATAGCAGAAAACGATATGTCTGTATCTTTAATGAAATATGCAAATTTGGAAAGAAGAGTGCACATCACTTGTAGTAATTATCATCTGAATGAAGAAAATTATGTGGTTTAACTGTTTTTACATATTCTATATATTTTATGTTTAATTCAATTATTTTCAACTCAGCCATGAAAGGGAAATTAGCTCATTAATTTATATATTAAAAGGAATGTACATCAGTTTTACCTATTGTTTTCTGTAACAAAATGTCTGTGACCTCTCATTTTTATTTTTGTTTTTTATTAAAGCACATTATAATAGCTTATTTTTTCCTTTAGTTTTCTTTTTATTTAAAAAAAATTGGTTTCTACATGTATAATCTATATAGATATGACAATTTTTCACAACCTGTAGCTTAAAAAATTGCTTTTTAGTTTAAACATATTTTATTTGCTTAAATATGCAAAAGTGATGAGACAGAAGTTAATCAAACTTATAAAGTCTTCTCCCAAAAAAAATTGCTCTGTGACTCATAGAATTTCTTATATTAACCAAAAGCATGAGGTAGAAAAGTTGTGTAAATTGAAGTTGGCATTTAGATTTATAACTCAAAAGGAATATCTAAAACTATAGTGTTTACCATTGGTCAAACTTTTTTCAAAAACTTTGCTTCAATGTTTTATGTCCTTTATCTAGAAAATAATTGTTTTTGTTTGCTTTTTTTTATCAGATGTGCCTCAATTGATCAAAATATTCAAGCTGGATGCACATTGAGGACAGATCCTAGAGATGCCTGTTGTCTTGCACAATTCTGTGTACAAACAACTCCACAACCTCAACCAGGAGTATCCCACGGACCGACACCAGTACCAACACTGAAACCAAACACCTTTACAGGACAGGTCTATCTTCCAACACCTTCACCAATACCAGGCCAACCAACACCAACTCCTGGTAGATTAGGTATTGTGTTTTTTGTAAATTAGTTTTACTTATGCTTTAGTATTTGACTTAAATTTTCTTACAAAATTAACAACTTCTGTCTATTAAACCACACATAAAACCTAAAGACATCTAGAGGTCAATATACAGTCTTAAAAAATAATCATGTTTCTGTACAATATATCAAACTTTGATCACCTTCAGTTTTTTTTTGGTTTAATTTATTTGTTGTTGGAGGGAATGTGAAATAAAATATGGTATTGTATTTTATGACAGAAAACACTTTAATATCAGTTGAACACCATCAAAGAGAAATATTATGTACACACAGCTAAAAAATTTTGTTGTTGTTGTAGGTGTTTGTATATATAGAGGTCGCCAGTATTCTCAAGGTCAAACATTTGATGATGGATGTGACTTTGATTGTGTTTGTTTCAATGCAAATGAAGGAAAATACAGATGTTCTCCAAAGTAAGATTTTAGCACTAAAATAGTTTTTTTCTAAGTGAGGTTGTTGAAAAAAGAGTGATCTATAATTAGGTCCCCGCTGAATGGCGGACACCCTATAGTGATCAGTCTGTCCGTCCGTCCGACCTTCTGTCTTTCCGTCTGTCCGTCCGTCCGTAACAAATTGTGTCCGCTCTATATCTAGAGAACTGTTATGATTTCAAAGTTTATACTTGACATGTATATTAACCAACACCAGAGGGTGTGTCATAAATAATGTATGTACAACTTCCTAGGTCAATTTTCAAGGTCAAAAACTTTGGTTTTAGTTGAAAACCCCATGTCCTATGGTAAAGATTGTGTCCGCTCTATATCTTGAGAACCGTTATGATTTCAAAGTTTATACTTGACATGTATATAAACCAACACCAGAGGGTGTGTCATAATGTATGTACAACTTCCTAGGTCAAAGGTCAAGGTAAAAAACTGGTTTTAGTTGACAACCCCATGTCCTATGGTAAAGATCGTGTCTGCTCTATATCTTGAGAACCTTTATGATTTCAAAATTTATACTTGACATGTATATAAACCAACACCAGAGGGTGTGTCATAATTTATGTACAACTTCCTAGGTCAAAGGTCAGGGTAAAAAACTTTGGTTTCAGTTGACAACCCCATGTCCAATGATAAAGGTACAAATTTTTTACCACACATTATTCACAGCGGGGCCCACGGAGATGGCTCCCATCTCAATGATATCTAGTTGTTCCCATTTTTTTTTTTTTTGCATTTTGTCAAAGATAATCAAATGCCTTACCGTTAAAAGGCTTGTATAGTCCGAGGTTTTATTCTCCAAAATTGGACCTTCCAGACGGGTTGCGGACTATAGAGTACAATAAGCAAGAAATAAGAGAAAAAGTTCAATTTCGCGGTCGAGGTGGTTTGTTTACGTTCCGCCATCTTTGTTATTGATATTGTAGAGGGCACTCTTGTGATTTTTTCAAACTAATAATTTTAACTCATCCATATTAATAAGTTATTTCTATTCAGTATCAAATTAATACTGATAAATTTAAAAACTAAACACTTCATTACAAATTTCTCGTTTCTTTTCAATGCATTGGTTGAAATAAACTGGTATCTGCTTGATTGAAATGATACAAAAATAGTAAAAAAGACAACCGTAAACCAGCTTACGATTTGTAAACTACAAAACGTAATCGGTTAGTGTTCGTTCCGTTTTGGCGTTTCATACTGACTAATATGGTTTGTATTAGCTTAAGACCCTTCAAACATTAATGTGATAGATATATTAAGGACTGTTTTACATAAGGATGGAACTGTTTTACTTCCAAAGTAGTATAATAGTGATATCTATCATGTACGGATTTCGACGCTCACCTTTTTTTTCTTCTTTTACACGTGCTATTCAAACTTCCGGTTTAAACATACAAAAGTTTCTAAATTGTTTTTTAAGTGAATTAAACTTATTTTAACAATCATGAAGTGTTCTAGAATCATTTACAAGCAGTTTCAGCTTCTGTTTGATGATGGAAAACAGGTTTTTCCAAGAAAATACCGCAAACGACCGCACACGATTTGAAATTACCGGAGTTTCATTAGACCTTTTCTAACAGTTACAAAAAGTTTTTTTACCTGAAATTTTGTGGGGAGAAGGGGGTGCAGACTATGTACCAGTGCGAACTATACAAGCCCGATTACGGTAACCCTTTTTGAAAAATATAATATGCTCTCACCATGGTATAACCTTTTGTACTGATGTACATAAAGCATCCAACAATCGATCAATAAACTAATTTCCTTACTTATAAACATAACATTTTCAACAAAATTTTCAAATATTCATTGAGAACTCTCCTTAGGAAATCAATCCTTATTGATATTGACTTATACTTAAGTTCATTTATTTAATTACAAATTTTTACTAGATAATAAAGTTTTTGAGAATGGCATTTTTTTTCTAGAGTTATGCTCCTTTTTAACTTTAAAATTGCAAAGCTTGAGCTGGGGCATTTGTGTCCTAAGACACATTCTTCTTTTATTTTACGATAAAGAGAAAATGTTGAAAATTCTGTACCATTTTAAACTGAGAATTGAGATTGTAATTTCAGTTTTTAAAAGTCTTAGGACCATTACTTCTACTCTGATATATGACACATTTTTTTATGTAGATGTCCAGTCTATACAGATATACCTAACACCTGCAGACTTGTCAAAAACCCAAGAAAACCCTGTTGCCAGATACCTGAATGTTATAATTTACCCACTCAAAACCCAACTCAGCCAACTCCAAGTCCAACTCCATACACTGGTCAGCCAACTCCAAGTCCATCTCCATACACTGGTCAGCCAACTCAACGTCCGACTGCATACCATGGTCAGCCAACTCCTAGACCAACTCCATACACTGGTCAACCAACTCAAAGTCCATCTCCATACACTGGTCAGCCAACACTACCTCCACGTGTAACACCACAACCTCTTCCACAACAGACAGTTCAACCAACACAACGACCAACTCCACAACCACAACCAACACAGCCAATAAGTAAGTATATCTTCAAACTTTTTCTGGCTTTTGTTATACATGTCACTACTTAAACGTGACACACCTGTGCTATTGTCAGATTTATGTACTGTAAATTCAAAATTTTTATTAATAACGCAACTGGGTTAGTATAGCAATAATAAGAACACGCATTCTGATAGCCATACACATGTATCTGAATGCAGATTTTCATGAAATTGCAATAATCAATTTCACATTTTTTGTCCTTTCTTCAATAATCGCTATGATAAATGGACGCAATAATTTTTGAATTTACGGTAATTGATGCAATTGTTTAACAGATAAAAAAATCTATACTGCATAATGTTTTGTAGATGATGTGTTGACAAGATCAAGGTTTTTAGACTTCAGTGTATTTTTGTAGATGTATAGATATAGGAAGATGTGGTATGAGTGCCAATGAGACAACTCTCCATCCAAGTTACAATTTATAAAAGTAAACCATTATAGGTCAAGGTACAGCCTTCAACACGGAGCATTGGCTCACACCGAACAGCAAGCTATAAAGGGCCCCAAAAAATTACTAGTGTACAACCATTCAAACGGAAAAACCAACGGTCTAATCTATATAGAAACGAGAAACAGGTATGAACTACATAAACAGACAACAACTACTGTAATCAGATTCCTGACTTGGGACAGTTGCAAACATTTGCAGCGGGATTAATTGTTTTAATGGTACCAAACCTTCATCCTTTTCTGAAACAATAGTATAACATCACAAAATAGTAAAACACTATAAAATATCAATTGGAAGGCTTAACTCAATCAAAAAACGTAAATAAACACACAATGAACGGATAAATTTGACCTGTGACACCTGAATGCAAATATTGATTATATTTTGGTAGATGTACACTACATTTGATTGTATTTTTTCAGATGTATGTGTTTACAAAGGCATTGCATTTGATTGTATTTTTGTAGATGTATGTGTTTACAAAGAAATTACATTTGATTGTATTTTTGTAGATGTATGTGTTTACAAAGAAATTACATTTGATTGTATTTTTGTAGATGTATGTGTTTACAAAAGCATTGCATTTGATTGTATTTTTGTAGATGTATGTGTTTACAAAGGCATTACATTTGATTGTATTTTTGTAGATGTATGTGTTTACAAAGGCATTACATTTGATTGTATTTTTGTAGATGTATGTGTTTACAAAGGCATTGCATTTGATTGTATTTTTGTAGATGTATGTGTTTACAAAGGCATTGCATTTGATTGTATTTTTGTAGACGTATGTGTTTACAAAGGCATTGCATTTGATTGTATTTTTGTAGATGTATGTTTTTACAAAGAAATTACATTTGATTGTAATTTTGTAGATGTATGTGTTTACAAAGGCATTACATTTGATTGTATTTTTGTAGATGTATGTGTTTACAAAGAAATTACATTTGATTGTAATTTTGTAGATGTATGTGTTTACAAAGGCATTGCCTACTCCCAAGGACAACAGTGGTATGATGGATGTGATTACTCTTGTGTTTGTGAAGATGGTATTACTGGTGTATACAGATGTAACAATAGGTTAGTATAAATTCTAATGCAATTATTTTGTATCAATGGTTCTGATTTGATGATAGTTAGCGTACAATTCTCTATCTCCTTGTCTGTAACTAAGGAAGTCGACATTTTAAATTGCTGAATGTATTGACATGTAATTTCTACAATAATAAGCAAAAAACTCACATGTTGTACCTAGAAATCTTCTTTTTATCAAATTTTATTACATTCTGAAGCGGTCAAGAAGCCAAAAACTCCCGGGGTTTACGTTTGACGCCGGAAGCATACCTATGACGTCACCTATTTTAGAGGCCAAAGAAGATAACATCTTTTGGCGGAATTTTCTTCAATGAAAATTTTGCACTGAAATAATGATTGAAATTAAATTATGTACTTGTTTTGCATTAGAATAGAGATAACTGTATTGTATTTGAAGCTTTGCGGACGTCCATCGGTAGTTTTACTGTCGCAAATACCCGTTTACCTGTCTCCGCTACGTGTCGCCAGGTAAACTAAATTTGCGACAGTAAAACTACCGATGGACGTTTGCAAAGCTTCAAATACAATACAGTTATCTCTTAAATGATTAAAATACAGATCCTGTGTCCATGCTTTGCTTACAAGGATCTGAAAATGCTCTGTTCTACTTTCTGTTTCAAAGAACCTTCGGGATCCTCTGGTTTTGTCGGATTAATACATGTCTTCAAAAGTCTGAAGGCTGAAATTTTATTGGCTGATGTAATAATTATCAGAACAGAAAGTAAAACAGTTTGTTGTCAGAAGCTTGTAAGTAAAACTTAAACACAGGATCTGCATTTGAATCAAATTGCCTTTTGTATATTCATATCATAGCTTCATATATTTACTCTACTCTTTTAGAGTTGAATAAAATTGAATTAATAGTAGGAAAATGGATTTGATGTATTAATTGATGCCTTAAAAATGTAAACATGCACTTGATAAAAGGAAAGAAATAACATTTTATTGCTGCTCTTCATCTCAAGTAATTTAACATTAAAACATTTTCAGCAGGTTCAAATATAGGAATAAGTGTTTTATTTCTTGAAATTACAGGAAATATTGTTAAGTCTCAAATTTTAGGAGTGATGGTCAATAGTGATATTGTAGGAATGATTGTTAATTCTGAAATTGGGAGTATGATTGATACTTCAAAAATTGTAGAAATAATTGCTTATTCCTAAAATTTTAGGAGTAATTGTTAACTCTGAAATTGTAAGAGTAATTGTTAACTCTGAAATTGTAAGAGTAATTATTAATTCTGAAATTGTAGGAATAATTTTTAAATTAGAAATTAAAGGAATACTTTGAAATTCTGAAATTGTAGAATGAATCGGTTATTCTAAAATTGTAGAAATTATTGATAATTCCTGAAATTGTAGGTTTACTAGTTAATCTGAAATTGTACATTAAATTGTTAATTCTGTAATTGTAGGTCTGGAGTAGTTGTTACTTCTGAAGTTATTGGACTAATTGTTAAATATAAAGTTGTTGGAATAATGGTTAATTCTGAAATTGTAGGAATAATTGCCATTCCTTTGATTCAAAATTGACGTATTAATATACATATGATCTATTGTAGATGCCCTACATTTGCACAACAGTCAGATCCAAGCTGCACATTACAGCCTGATCCTACAGATCCACTGTGTTGTAAAGTTCCTGTATGTACACCAATACCAGGTCAGACACCAATACCGGGTCATACTTATCCACCATACCAAACACAGCCACCAAAGATTTTCTCTGGTGGTGTTGCTACCCCCGCTCCAACACAAAGAACAACTCAAAGACCTAATATTAACGTTAATCCAAAAGTGACACCAACATTCTACCCACCAGTTACCGTAACTTATAGGCCAGGAGAAACTCCCAGACCCACACCTTATCCATTACCAACGCAACCAAAAATATCCACACCAGCACCATTACCAACAGTCACCCAACCACCAATATATAAAAGTAAGTATCAAATCTCTTGTGATGTTATGTCTACAAAAGGTGTAGTTTTACTTCAGCTCTCTAGCAAAACAGATATGAATAAATAGAGATGTGGGATAAACATTAACGATACAGTGACGCAATAACAAAAATTGAGAAGGCGGAGATATATACAAAGGAAATAATTAGATAATTGTGTCCAGGAAAACAAAAATTCAAACATAAGCAGGAACGTCATATCATAGAAAAATATTTAACGAAACAAACTTTATACATTGGCTAGGTACCCGTAGGCAATAAGCAATGACATTTTTGGAAATAAGTGTGACTTGAGCCTGGGTTGCAATTCAGAACATTTTAACATATATATGAATAATCTGTAGCTCTATGGGCCGCAAATTGTCAAAAAATATCATAAGGACTATAAGAGCAATCATACCACATCTTTTTATTTTTATACATATATGGTTTGGGTAAAAAAAAGATGTATTTTAACAAATCTTTTGTTATTTTAGGTAATTATTGTATATACAAGAGTAAAACCTACAGCAAGAACCAGAGATGGCAAGATGGCTGCCAGTATGATTGTATCTGTTTAGATGATCAAGGAAATTACAGATGCACAGAAAAGTCAGTTTTTACTAATGTCTTATTAAGTACAAGAGATTATCAGCTAATTTAATATCAATCTGATTAAAATACAGATCATCATGTGTCCTCACTTTGCCAACAAGGATCTTACAACACTCCATCCTACTTTCTGTTTTGATAACTTTTACATCTACCAATGAAATTTCTGCCTCCAAATTTTTGAAGGTGTGCATCATTACGACAAACCCTAAGGATCCCGAAAGGTCACTAAAGCAGAAAGTAGAATGGGGCATTTTCAGATCCTTCTAAGCAAAGAGCAGACTCAGGATCTTTATTTCCGTCAGATTGATTTGATATGGAAACAAATTCAATATTGTATTGAAAACTAAATGATATTATATTTCTGTTGATAGCTTTTATGAGAATATTTTTCAGTTATTAAATTAAAATTTCAAAAACTGAGAACTGATAATTGTCAATATTGAAAAAAATTGATATTTTAGTTACTATAATTGTTTAAGCATAATCTTTATGTTTTCATGTAAGATGCCCAACATACTCAAATCTACAACCAGGATGTCGATTGATAATGGATTATTCAAATCCTTGTTGTCAGAAACCATACTGTCCACCACCAACCTCTCCAAATCCTCTCACCTTAACACCACCACAACCACAAGTCTTTGTTTCAACAAAAAAACCAAGTAAGTCTTTATCATTGTTAATTGTCGAATGTGTTTAGTACTCATTTTTTGTGTTGACATATTTTAATACTACAAATCATATCAATTTAAAATTCCCAAAATTATAGATCTATGTATTTGTAGAAAGCCATGTACAGTAAGTGTTTCATTTCATGACGCTTTTTTTTTTCAGTATTGTCAAAGAATACTGTTATTGATTATACCCTGCTCCAAAAAGAATATTATTCTGACATTGTCCCAGGTTTTATACAGACTTTGAACAAATATATTTAAATATAATTGTGTTAAATGAAACATTGTTCACAGATAAAATTTCATATTGTAGCATACTGTGTATACAATGGTGTACAGTTTAAACAAGGTCAAACTTGGAATGATGGTTGTGATCTTCGTTGTATCTGTGAAGACTCCATGACTGGTTTCTACAGATGTGATGACAGGTAAGAAATCTTACAGTAATGGTCATGAATTTTTGTATTTTCAGAATTTTTCTACTTATTAATACCTAACATGTTAAGTGTTTGGTTTTTTTGTTTACACACTGTGGATACATACATATTCGTGTGATACCAATTTTCAATGTTCAGTGAAGTACAATTTTTCTATAGGCTTGACTCTGTAAAACCACAAAAATTAAATATTCACGAATATACAATTTGTTCTTAATCCACGAAAATTGGTACCCACAAATAACAATGAATCCTCAGTTTATAAGTTCTCTTCATTCATCAATTCTTTATGTCTTTTTTAAAAGCATTCAATGCTGTTTCATAAAACTTAAAGATATTCCATATTCAATCATGTCAATTAATGTTGTCTAATATGTAAAACATAATCTGTGATATTCTTTTTTTTAAATTTTTTATCAAGTCAGGTTTCAAAAAGTACTAGCCAGCCAGAAAGAAAAACACACACAAAATAAAAAAGAAACATATTATTAACTAAGCATGCCATTTGTGAACAGTAAATTTATCCTTTCATATTTTATTTGAAACCAAACAGAGATTTACTTTATAGGAAAAACATTTGAGTATAAAAGTTTAATTGTCTCCTTAAAAATACAATGGATTTTCAAAAGATTTTTTTTGTTTGTGTTTAAAAACAATCCAAACACATACCACAAAACAGATGTAACATGAAGACTTGACCACAAAAAAATGACAAGGAATAAAATGTATTAAGCAGGACAAGTTGATTATCTGATAGTATTATTTTATTTTGTAGATGTCCACAATGGCCACAGTTACCACAAGGATGCAGTCTAACCACGGATCCCAATGATGTTTGTTGTAAGAAACCAATTTGTACACCAGATGTCATGACACCTCCTACATTATATGTACCAACCCCAAATCCAACATCATATCCAAACCAACCGACACCATCGCCACAACCAACACAGCCACCAACTCCCTACACATTTACACTACCTACACCAATCAAAACAGGATACTCAGGTATGTTAGAGTACTAAAAATAAATCAATATATAAACAATAAAGAGATGTATTATGATTGCCAATGAGTAAACTATCTACCAGGTTCCAAATGATGTTGATGTTAGTAACTATAGGTGTCCAACATGAACCACATCAACAAACGACAACCACTGAACATCAGGTTCCTGACTTAGGACAGGTGCAAACAAATGCAGCGGGTTTAAACGTTTTAATAGGTACCAACCTTCACCCTACCTGAAACAATAGTGTAACATCACAACATAGAAAGACACACTATAAAATATCAATTGAAATGGCTTAACTCAATCAAAAGATGTATTAACAAAAACAAGTGAACATACACTGAAGGAATAAATTTGATCTATGACACAATGTAAATACAAAATTAATAAACAAGGGGGTTAGATTTAAAACAAATCAGAAAGACAACCATAACCTTGGACAAAATGCTGTTAAATAAAATAACGTACACAGGTAAATAAAAATAATTTTGTTGTAAGGTATACATGGAGTACAGAAGTAATTTTTACAAAGTAAATAATTTTGTTGTTCCTAGTATGAGAACAAAAGTGAAAATTAATGTCATACTAAACACTTATCAAAGGTGGTATATATTAAAAATAGTGAGACTAGATATAACACTGAATAAGTAAACATTAAATAACAAATATTACAAATTGTATCAACAGGTCAAATAAACACGAAAGTACGATTTGAGAGTACTCACAGTTATTGAAAGCTAGTTAAAAGCCAAAAACAATAAATAATAAAAAATCATGCATCAGAGACTAAAATCAACTTAAACATATCCCAGGGATTTAGTGTTTTAACGTCATGGACAGTCAAAGAAGACATGACTTGTGCAATGCCAAAATAAAAGTATCAACAGGCAGTAGGATAGTTAGGAGTTAACCTGTTAATAAATATGTATAATGTAATATATAGATAGAGTAATCTCTATATAGAAAATGAACGTGAATGTGTATTTATACATCCCAAAAAACCGTTTGAAAAGAATACAAATTTAGTTATGTTTTAATTTGCTGATAACAAAATCGATATTTGTGCCAATGTAAACTATATTCAAAGATCTAATAACAACATGTCAAGTTTAATAATGAAAAGACTTGTCGTTTCTATGTTGAACACAATGTTTACTTATAATAGATAGGATATAGCATTTTTAATCCAACAATTCATTAATAAAAAACCTTTTCATTAAATGAGACTGTATTTTAAGACGTAATACTTTTACTTGTGTTTTTCTTTTGATCAGTTTTGTTGTCTTATAAAATCTCTGTTCAAGGTTATACCTAAGGTTAAAGGTAAAATTCGTTTAGGAATAATATTAAATATATACAAGTCTGGTTAGAAATACGAAACATAAAAATATTAGCTAAAATTATGTGAAAAAGCCACATGATATGATTTTTTGTTTTTTTTTCAATTTGAACACCAGACATGTCTGTAAGGGATTTACTGGTAAATGCCTTTGAGTATGATATTTCAATAACAATTATCCTGATTTTTAGAATTTTGTGTTGTATTTTCTAGAGAATTGTATGTACAAGGGAGTAGCTCATACACAGGGACAGAAATGGGATGATGGATGTTCATTGGAGTGTGAATGTATGGATCAGAGGACAGGAAGATACAGGTGTTCCAGCAAGTATGTAACCTAAATTATTCAAAACAGAAATTTATTTAAAAAAAAATATTTTCCATCATGCTTTGATAAATTAAAAGATGGTTGCTGCTTACAGGAAGCTTCCTGATGAATTAAAAGATGGTTGCTGCTTACAGGAAATTCTTGATAAATTAAAAGGTGCTTACAGGAAGCTTCTGAACCCAGGTTTCTTAAAACTGAATTGAAGTCATCTACTGTAAATTCAGAAATTATTGTGATGTTTTTATTATTGCGAAAAATGCGACAGGGTTATAATTGCAATAATTTAAACTCGCATTTTGAAATTTTAAAAATTAAACAGGATTTTTCTCAATATCGCAAACATTAAAATCGCATTTTAGTCTAAAATGACAAAGTCCCAATAATAAATGCATGCAATAATTTCTGAATTTACAGTATTCAAAAAAAAAAATTGGATACTATCATGACTGGTTGAGAATTATAGAATTCAAATGACCAAAATCATGCCTTCTTTGTTGAAGCCACAATTCAGGCCTCCTTTCCTCATTTATGACTTGTTACAGTCGATTCCAACGAGTGTGTAGCTAAAGGTAGAATCTTTGGTTAGCTTCCTTGCTAGCTCAACCATGAAGTCATTATTAGGTAAGGTACATCCAGCCTTTGGGTGGAGTCAATAGTTAAGCAGAGAACCAATCAGAATTAAGTGACAGAATATAAACATTGTAAAACTAGTTTTACAAGTCAGTTTAAAAATAAGTTTTCAATCTAAATTTAAAATTTAATGATAATTATAAGCTCATTCACAAGCATGTTGTAGGTGTGTTTGATGTGCCAATTTTATTTTGATAAATGGTGAAAAGTTAACTGAAAGCTGACATTCCTAAAATGTTTTCTTCTTCGTCAGACATTACAAATAATAATATATTTTACCTGTCTGTTGAATTTGTTACATCAAGTTAATAAAATGTAGTTGAATATGACTGACAAGTGCTGACCGTATTCACTTTTACACATACACATATGTTTACAATACACCCGGACAGGTAAAAAAGATTGGAAGGTGTTCAAAAGTACATATGACCTGATCATTCAATCTAGGTCAAATTAAATCTAACTGAATTAGAGACATAAAAATTGGTCTTCATGGCTGCATTATTTATCTAATACTAATAAGTAAGGTAATGTTAACAAACCAAGTGGATGTCCATAAACTCTGCAATATTTTCAATTCTAAACAGCAGTTGTTTGCTGGGTTTTTTTTTTCGTTGCATTTTTAACCAAATATAAGTACTACAACCGTGCATGATATATTATACAATTATAGCCTTTGTATGAGGTCGATACGAGGTTATATCGACCTAAGAGAAGCATATTGACTGAGGACGAAGTCCGAGGTCGATATGCTTCTCTGGGTCGATATAACATCGTATTGACCTCAACCAAAGGCTACAGTTGTTATATTATTAATCAACAACTATAGCATGAACAATGTAAAATTGGGGATTTCTAGAATCTATTTTTAGTAACATGCTGTATGCCCTGTGCAATATGCTGTTTTTGACCTACAAAAGCTAAACACAACAGTGTTGGCGTGCAAACTGAGCAAATACAATGTACATGTGATCAAGTTTTAACGAATCACAAATCCTTAAAAATATTCGATTAATAATATTAAGTAGTATGATAATTTTTCTTTTCTGTATGAATATAAAAGATTTTAGTTCTAAAAAATATGCATATATAAAGAAAATACATAACAATGTTTTATGCGTGGGGATTACACCAAAAGACATTAATTAACTAAACTGCCTATTCACGGCGTAAAAAAAACGTCACTCCGCTTCTGATTTATTGTAATAAAAAGATTTTTTAATTCAATCAAAGACTATGAAATGAAATTTCATTTGCAAAGTAGTCTAGGTAAACCTTTGTATGAAACATACATATATTATAAATAATAAACAGGCCATTGATATAAATGTTTTCATTGGATGATAAAATAGCGCATTGCTCCTCCCAATTTAAGGTAATAATCATTTCATGGTTGAGCTAGCAAGGAAGCTAACCAAAGATTCTACCTTTAGCTACACACTCGTTGGAATCTGCTGTAATGAAGGTGATTTATCACTTATTCTGACTTATCAATATATGTTTATTTGTTATGAGCAACAAGATAGGTACAACCTGAGCATCTGAGTCCACCCTGTTGTAAGATGGTTTGTGTTGCTGATTTTTTAGTTCTATGTATTAATGTTTTGTGTTTTGCTGCTTATCTGCTAAAAACACAGTATTTAGTAGTAAGAGCAAAGACTGGTCAGCTGCAGTCAGAGTTATGTGTCCTGGAAGGGTGAAGTGTCTTTGTGCAGACTGTTACCTTGTAGACTAGCACATTAAAAATCCTGCTCAGGGTGTCAGTCTAATACAAAGCAGGGTACATATTGATATCACATTAACATAGTCTTATCCTGAATATGCATTTAACTTGTCACTGGACATTAAAAGTCATCTATCATCATCATCTTTTTTTATGTGGCCATGATTCTCTCTATTCTTATTTGATGTGTGCTTTTATTGTCCCATTGGTATCTCATTATCTTTTTATTTATGTTAGAATTATCATCTTATTGAAATGTATGAAACTTTGCAGCCTTCAAAAGTATGTCAAGCTTAAAAAAACCAAGATTTTAGTATGGAAATAATTGAAGTACAATGTAACTATTTATTTTTTTAGATGTCAAGATTACTCAAACTTCCCAAGACCATCTTACTGCCACCTGGTCTCAGATCCACGAAACCCATGTTGCAAAGTAGTACAGTGTAATCCAGTTGTGACTCCTCAACCAACACCACGACCAAATCAACAAACAGTATCACCACCATTAGGACAAACAAACCCTCCGACACTATATCCTGGACAACCAACACAAAAACCACCCGTTGGAACCCTATCTCCAAATGTTAATCCTACACAGCAGCCAACACGAAATCCACCATTTTCTCAACCAACTCCATCTCCAACACCACGTTAGTAATTGTACTATTACCTAGATTTCTTCATAAAATCAGGAATTTGACATCTCAAAGTTTCAAAATTACAGAAAATTTGTCATATTTTATCTCTGTTGGTTTTAAGTGGCTGTAAGTGTCAGGATTATTGTGAGGTACTTTGTTATCAAAATATTTAAATTTGTCACATGTTTTTGTACGGTGGGGAAAAAAATCTTGTCAATAAAAAAGCTTCCCATATACATTAACATAAAAAATAGGGAAGAATTAAAGTCAATAACATTTGAGTTGACAAATTCAACATCATTGTTGGAATACTGAGATTTCCCAAAACAGGTTAAGGTGGTACCCAACACCTTGACTAATATTAATTTGGCTCGTTTAATTTTCATAAAATTTTGACAAAATGTTTACTTTGACCCTTTGACAAAAATATAAAAATTTCTAAAAATTTGAACCAACCACTTCATCAGAAAAATTTCATTGGTTATATAGCAGTTTGACAAACACTAATTTTGATCATTGAGAAGCTTAATATTTCCTGAACAATACAATGTGATTAAAACGTTTAGCTGATTTTTACAGAGTTATCTCCCTGTAGTGTTAGGTACCACCTTAAATGAATTACAATTCAGGAAATTTTAACCTAAAGAACAATAATTATATGGTTTACTCATGTAGGTTTATAAGCATACTCATAAAATAATAAGATACTATAGAAAATATACTAAAAAAGATATTCATATTTTAATTGAAAGTGGAGTGCAATTAAAATCTTTAATGAATTAAATAAAATATAAAAAAATTCTTTTAATTCTGTATATTTTGATACTAAGAAAACTTCAAATTTTCAGATAGGATCCTTTAAAAGAACACTGATTATTTGTGAACTTGTTTCTAGTATAGAAAAAGGACGTAAAATCCACTGAAATTTGTATATCTGAGTATCTGAGAAAATGTTACATTCACATACAGAAATATGTATTACCAAATTATTTTAACTGACCATTTTGATGAAACAGAACTCTGAATTTCTTGCACATAAGAATATTGCACAATTTTTGCAGATGTATGTGTATATAAGGGTGTGCCATACACTCAAGGACAGCAGTGGTACGATGGCTGTGACAAAGTATGTATTTGTGAAAACGGTATGACAGGTTATATACGATGTCGTCAGAGATGTACAACTTACGACAGTATTGCTGCAGGCTGCACAATGGTTCCAGATCCAAATGATCCAGTCTGTTGTCAGGTAACTTTTAGAAATTAGATAAGTTTCAAATTGAATCAAGAATGTAAATATAGGATGTGGCTTGACTGTGAGAATAAAATAGTGTGCAGTTTTTCTTTATATTTGTCACTGTGTTAGCTAGATATGAAGGTATGGATCGATGGGGGTCCTTAATTTCTGTATTTTAAAAAATTGCTGTCATTTTTCTGTATCTTTAAAAATAACGCTTATGCTGAAATTTTACAATTAAAATTTTCTGTAATTAAATGATTTCTTTATTCCGTACATCATTCATTTCTATAATCAGTATCATTTACCGTACTCTTTTGTTTTCAACAGAAATTCTATATACTGTTGCATCCCATTATTCTCTATTCTTAATATTTGTGCTCCTTTTTCTCTATTCAGTATTTTTTTTGCCATACTTCTCTATTCTGTAAACCCCATCCGGACCCTTAAAGATGTGTATGTACAAACCAATTTTAGCACCAATTACAAAATTTTTTCTGTAGATACCATCATGCATTCCTCAAAATCAAACTCCAGGACCTTCTGGTTCACCAGTGATTTTCACAGCCCCAACAGGCAAGGTCACAGGCTTTGGTACTGTCACACCACAACCAACACGAGGACCAACACTTAGACCTAACCTTGTGTACACACAAAAACCAAACCCACTTAACACACTACAACCAGGAACTGGACCAACTCAGAGACCACAAATTGGTATTACATTTAATCCAACTCCAAGTACCAAAGCTCCAACACCAGCACCAAGACCAAGTGAGTATAAAATTGTAAATTTTAAAAGATTGTCTCCCTCCCCCCCCTAAAAAAAAAGTTGCTTTATGTTTGTTAGGTCACTGTTTTCAAAATCACTTTCTATGTATTCATTTGTTTTCGTTAGTACACACTTTTATGAGCTGAGGTAATGTATTTTTTTTTTTGGATACTTGATTTCGTGGTTGTAACAAATTCTTGCTAGCTAATCATGGTACTAAGTAACTTTGTGTCTTGTTGAACCTAAATTTGTGGTTTACCTGTATGCACAAAATCCATACAAAATAGTACCAAATTGATAGAATTGAAATCCACATGTACTAAAGTATATCTTGTTATATACTCTATGATGTTTACTAGATTTGATCACTGTTTGAAATGAAATAAATTTTGTATAAAAGAAAAAGTTTGAGATTTTAACATTGTTTTCTCTTTGTTTTTGTAATCAACTCAATATTTGTAAAATTAATATTTTTAGATTACTGTGTTTACAATGGTGTTCAGTACAAGACTGGACAGAAATGGCAAGATGGCTGTAAATACAACTGTGTATGTGAAGATGGTATGACTGGATTTTACACTTGTAGTGAAAGGTATGGTCAGATCATATGTTTTCGTACACCATATATCCCACTACATTTCATCATCTGAGTAAATGAAATTGAGAATGGAAATGGGGAATGTGTCAAAGAGACAACAACCCGACCAAAGAGGAGAAAACAGCCCAAGGCCACCAATGGGTCTTCAACACAGCGAGAAAATCCTGCACCAGCTGGTGGGCTTCAGCTGGCTCCTAAGCAAATATGTGTACTAGTTCAATGAAAATGGACATCACACTAAACTCCAAAACATATAAATGAACTTAAATTGAAAAACACACAAGACCAACAAAGGCCAGAGGTTCCTGACTTGGGACAGGTGTAAAAATGCGGCGAGGTTAAACATGTTTTCGAGATCTCAACCCTCCCCCTATACCTCTAGCCAATGTAGAATTAACAAACACACAGCAGTAGGCACAGTAAAACTCTGTTTAAAAGAAGTCTGAGTCCGATGTCAGAATAGGTAACAAAAGAAACTAAGCAAAATGACAATGATACATAAATTAACAAAGGACTACTAGCAGTTACTGACATGCCAGCTCCAGACTTAATTAAACTGATTGAAAGATTATGTCTTCATAATATGAAAATCAAGCATAATCCCTCCCATTAGGGGTTTAGTACCATACCATCATAAAGTATATGAGAAGAACATAATAGTATCATGCCAACAACTGGTTTTAGAATAAATGTGTTTATTTTCGATGCAAAGACCCTATGAGTGAATCAATATTAATACCAAAATATGCCATCTTTAACGACCAGTGGCGGATCCAGAACATTTCATAAGGGGGGCCCTCTGACTGACCTAAGGGGGGCCCGCTCCAGTCATACAGTGATTCCCTATATAATCAACCAAATTTTTCCCATGAAGGGGGGGGGGGGGGGCTGGGCCCCCCAGGCCCCCCCTGGATCCGCCTATGACGACCTGACAACAGTATCGTAACTATATCCCTTCTGAATAAGTCTGTTTAAAGGTTTGGTTAGCTTTTGAGGTGAATGTCGAAATTATTGTGCTTTGTATAGAATATTACTATAAAAGATTGGATGTGAAATACCTGAACGTATAATGTCTGCATGTTGATTTATATTTACAAATGATGTCCTTGTACCGATGATAAAATTTAGTAAATGTTTTGACTAGTTTGTGATATCGAAAACCCTGGTGTAATAATTTTCAGTAATACAGAGGTTTCTTTTGTTAATATCAAATACGTTGTTACATACACGAGCGAATCGAACAAGTTGAGATATATAAACACCATAAGATGGTGACAAGGGAACATCACCATCTAAAAATGGATAATTAACAATAGGAAATGAAAAATCATCTCTTTTATCATAAATTTTGGTATTAAGCTTCCCGTTAAAGATAAAGATATCAAGATCCAGGAAAGGGCAGTGTTCATTGTTAGTATTAGCTTTATTTAAAGTCAGTTCAGAAGGATAAATCTCTTTCGTGTACATACTGAAGTCGTCATTATTGAGAACCAATATATCATCCAAATATCTAAAAGTGTTATTAAATTTTTGTATGAGATGTTGTTTCAATGGGTCTTTGCTGATTTTAGTCATAAATTGTAACTCATAACAATACAGAAACAGGTCCTCAATAAGTGGTGCACAGTTAGTCCCCATTGGAATTCTGATAGCTTGATGATATACGGAATCTCCATAGCGAACAAAAATATTATCTAGTAAAAATTCAAGGGCAGTAATCGTATCAAAGCAGGTCCAATTGACATAGTTCTTTTGTCTGTTGTTACTAAAAAATGACCTAAAAGAATTAGAACATATATATTCGCATAGTGACTTTTTAAATGCCCATTTAATTAGATGTGTTAATTTTTTCTTAATAAGATTGTGAGGCAAAGTGGTATATAGGGTAGAAAAATCTAAACTTTGAACAGATTCGAAATCACCAGTATAAGCATGCTTTTGTTGTATGTTTTTAATGAATTTTAAAACAACTTGATTATTCTATTTCATGTATTTTTAGGTGTCCAACTTTCCCAGCAGCTCTTCCACCAACATGTTCCCTTACACAAGATTCAAGAGATTTCTGTTGTAAAACAGTTGTATGTGATTCACGGAAGACAACACCATTTGTGCCCTTTGTTGCTCCAACTCAAGCACCAACATACAATCCACTGGCACCATCAACTACACCTGGCACATATGGCCCATATCAAAAGATTACATTGAATCCAAACCCAACTCCACCAGGTAAAAATTCATATAAGTGCAAAATTACTTTTAAACTTTTGATTGATTTGATTTTTGGTGTTTTAACGCCACTTTTAAGCACCGCTTTTGGGCTATTTCGTGGCGGCCAGAGTGCCCAGAGAAAACCACGACCTTCAATAGGAAAACTGACAATCCTAATCAATTAAGATTGGAGTCGAGTGCACCCGCACAAGCGGGGTTTGAGCTCAAAACCTCAGTGTTGACTGGCTAGTGATTACAGTAGTAACTACTTAGACCACTCGGCCACCGAGGCCCTTACTTTAAAACTTTTAAAAAAATTTGTGCAGTAGACTCAACCTACCACAAAGCCTTCTCTATATGTTAAATGTAAATTTTATATGTATACAGTTATTGGATATATGAATATATCGGCAAATCGTTTAGGAGTATTCATGAAATCTATGTCAAAACCATGCACAATCAAATATTTTCAATGTTTTCTAACCTGAAATGAACCAGAAAGTAAACACAATTACAATCTTTTAAATGTCGAGAAAATTTAGTTTTAAAGAGGAACTATTTCTAAATCAATTATTGACTTTATTTAGTATTTTCCCATTGAAATGTGAATTCATTTACAGTTCAAATGGTTTGAATTTATTTATAAAAACAAGTGCAGTACATTGGGAGAAATTTTGATATAATCCTGTGTTCATGCACAAAATCAGAAATAAAATTTAAACTTAACGTGCCTCCTTTTTATTATTTATTATTTATTTATTGCAATATAAATATAAATCCCTCTAGATAGAGAATTCTGACTCATAATAAGTGTGATCTTTACTATAATTACAGCTTATTGTGTCTACTATGGTGTTCCATACAAACAGGGACAGACATGGGACCAGGGTTGTGAGAAGAGGTGTCGATGTGACGATGCTACAAATAATTATTACACCTGTTTTGACAGGTATGCATTTTACAAAATATTGCTAATATTCTTGAGTTATTTATATCCACCAAAAAATCTTTTTGAATCATAATTAGTAGCACTATTTTAATTTTACAATTAAGAATTAGGACAATTGAGCTAATTTGAAAATTGTGATTTGTTGCTTCCCCAAAAAGCTTGAAAACAATCAGTTACTACTATTACAGTGTAGAATGACTATTTCATGGAATTAAGTATTGTAGGAATTTTGATAAACAAACATTAATATATTTGATCAGCTGCAGATGCTGTACAAATTGATTCAAACTTAAACAGATCCTTACTTAAAACAGAAATTAAATACCGGTAGTCTTTTGCATGTTCAATGTGTGCAATGATTATAAAACCACCAGATTTGTTATATAAACAGCATCAAAATTGAAATCGCTAATTTCGGTAAAGGCCTTGTTTCTTATCAGTATTCATTGCATCTGTCGATGAAGGTTGAAGCCTCTGACATTAACACTGTTACCAAATGATCTAAACAGTACATTTAATACATATTGATCTGTTCACCATGCCATCTAAAAAATAAACTAGGAAAGGGAGGGATGGGTTCCTTTTCTTTAGTATGTTCAATTTAAGGTTATGTAAAGATTTAAATGGCAAACTGTAACTAATGGACTACATTTAAAATAAAAATAAACAAATGAAAATATAAAAAAAGCAATGCATTATATCAATTTTATTATTAGATCCTTAATTTTTATTTGATGTATTAACTTTTTTTTACCTGCTTGATGGTAAAATATATCTTTATATTTTCTTAAATACTATTTTCCAATTTCAGATGTCCTTCATACCCCAACCTTCCTTCAGGTTGTACAAGAACAACAGATCCTAACGATGTCTGTTGTCAGATACCATTCTGTCCATCACCACAACCAAACATTCCAGTGACTTATTCACCACAGTTCCCATACACTGGTCTTCCAACACGGGCTCCAACACCTTACCATGGCCCTCCAACTCAAACGCCAGCACCAACACCATACACAGGACAACCAACTCGAGCACCAAAACCATACACAGGACAACCAACTAATGCACCAAAACCATACACAGGACAACCAACTAATGCACCAACAACATCCAGATACCAAATACCAACATTGCCTGCTGGTGTCATTGTAGGTGGTAGTCCCAGTCCAAATCCACAATTCGGGGGATTTACAAATGCCCCATCTAGTAAGTATAAAATTGTCTTTCTATTGGTTTCAATAGACGATTCTGTTCCAATTTTTCCTGAATTTTTACTATTAATAACTGGATTTGTCCATTATATGTTCAGTTACAGTTCAGCAGTTGTTTTTACTAATGATGAGCAAAATTATCTATGGTTTTCCGATTTTGGTAACATTTGGTATCAAGTTGGGGAAAAAAACAATTGATTTGTTACCTATTGTTTACAACAGAAATACAGTTTTAATTTAAGGTAGTATGGTGGGTTTTCCATCAGGCAGGAAGGACACCCCACACTGTTTTCATATGATAACATAATAACCCCTTAACCAATAGTTTTCAAATTATAATGTGTTGTTAAAGAGGAGATTGCATATTGCAGGTAAAATTAGACATTGATGATTTTCACTTAGTTGTGGAAATTGATTGATTGGGAAAAAGCAGTGTAAATGGCTATTGTGCAATTACTTGAGAACTGTTCGGCCAAAAATTTCGAACTTTAATATGTTGTTTAACATGACAAAATAGAGGTCAAATTCTTTATTGTCTGTCTAAACTTATATACCATTCAGGAGTTAAGTTCCTTGATTAGTTGGAAAACAGCACTTTATTTTTATTACGTGCAGCAACTTAAGGATACTTAATCTAATAGACTATTTTCATATTGCTGACTTTTGACTCCGGATTATATAATTTCGACAGGTTTCCTACTCTGCGGTTGGACATCCTGGTACTCAGTCAAGTAAGAGCAATCAAAAAAAGTAAAATCAAATATATAATCGGTGCAATTTGGAGGAAAGTTTACTGTTTTGTGATGATTTTGTCGTGTATAGAAAACATAAAACAGTTAATTTTCCCCAAAAATTGTACCGATTGAAAGCTTGATTTTACTTCTTTACTTTGCTCTTACTTGACTGAGTACCAGGATGTCCTACCACAGAATAGGTAACCTGTCGAAAAAATATAAATTCCAGAGTCAAAAGTCTGTATTATGAAAATGGTCTATTCTTTTCCAATTTTATTATGTTATTACTTGTGACTTAATCGAGGTCAGGATAAGTTTTAACAATATTCATTTTAGCCATTCAGAAGTTATGGTCTAGGTTGATGAAACAATGCCACTATTAAAAAACTAAAATTTGCTGTAATTTTGACAAAGATATATATCCCATTGGTGAACATTGCAATATTATACAGTTAACAAATGAATTATGTAAATGTTTATTTATAGAATACTGTGAATACAAAGGAGTGCGGTATACTACTGGACAGAGATGGCGGGATGGCTGTGATTACAACTGTGTTTGTGTTGATGGAATGTCTGGTGTATACCAATGTAATCAGAGGTACTGTTACTTGATCATTTTCAAATGTCATGCTCCTGATGTATAATAGATGGTTGTATTTTTTATACATCTGTACCAAAGGAGGGATTGTATACTATTTTTGTCTGGCTGTTGGTGTTTCTATCTTTCTCATTATTTTTTTTTTGCATTTTTCTCAGAAACAACAGATCAGTGCTTCCTGGCCTATGGTGGTAACATCATGTAAGCTTGCTGTACAGTGTGATGCATTTTCACATTCATCAACTTCCGGTTTTCTGAATACTTTAATATATTACACATAATAGCCTTGTATGCAATGTTGGTCACACTTTTCATAGGAAGTATGAATTATAGCTTCCTAAAATTGAATATCAATCTTTATGTAAGGATGCTATACCATGTGATGCATTTTCACATCCATATGTCATCAACTTTCTGTTTACCAAATACATATAGCAGGTTATCATTAGTGAACAATAGCTCACAGTTCAACTTGTTACATATGCATTTATTTGACATGACAACTGTTCATTGATCTCTTTAAAGTAGGATAACTTAATTTTGATTTGGCTATTTTCATAAGATAGTAACACAATGTGAAGAGCGATAGTAGAAATTTCTATTTGGATTTTAATGATGTCTGATTTGTTGGCGTTATGGGACTTTAAGTTTGAAAAACTGGAGAATGTTCATGTCTTGTATGACAACTCCAAAACAGTTTCACAGACTAACATTAAATTTGTCAACATAATTCTCAGCCACCAAAGATTATTTTCTTTTTTCCTTCTTTTTAATTTATTATGTTTATTGATCTTGGGTTAAGGAACTTTAGCCATGAAAGTCTTTTCTATTATCGACTCTTTGTACATTAACTTAATTTCTCTTTTACTGCTATTAGAGGTAACTATGCAATTTCAAAACCTTTTTGAATTTGAAAGTCAAGCAAAATACAGTCTGTATATTTTGAAATAAAAGAGTGTATTTATCAACTGCAATTTAAAATTGTAAAAATATCAGTGATGATTAAAGTAAAATTTTTCTTTATAGGTGTCCAAAATTCCCACAGTTACCAGCAGGATGCATCATGGTAACTGACCAGAATGATGCATGCTGTCTTGTACCAGATTGTCCAAAAACACCAGCACCAACATATGTTCCAACACCAGGCCCACATGGACAAACCGTGAACCCCTCACCTACACCTGGACCAGGAGAAAGACCATCACCACAGCCTACACAGACCGTTCCATTCTTACCAAATCCTAATCGTAAATATCTTTATCTACAATTAATACTTAGCAAAGATTTAATTTGGAAAATCCTTCCAATGTTGTTCTTTTACCAATGCAAACTACCCATTATATAGATTTTTTGTTTTTAAGTGATCATTCTTTATATCATATTTTGTTTTTAGTTCATTATTTTGTACATAAATCAGACCGTTAGTTTTCTCTTTGGAATGGTTTTACATTTGTCATTTCAGGGCCTTTTATAGCTGACTATGCGGTATGGGTTTTACTCATTGTTGACGGCCATACAAATTATAGATGTTAATTTCTGTGTCATTTGGTCTCTTGTGGAGAGTTGTCTCATTTGCAATCATACCACATCTTCTTATTTTTATATTTATTCCTTCACCAGATATATATAGTTAGAATTGCAAGATTCTGATTTCAAAATAGACATATGCAGTCAAGTGTGGTCTACAAGGATTGTTCATGAAATGAATGTATTGGTTTCTGGTGGGTTTTAAGTGTGTGGTGGATGAAACTTTGATTTTAACATGTAATTGATTAATCCTATAATTGTTCAGGCTGTCTATCCTAAAACAATCACCACAGTTCAAATTTTACAGCCTTGAGTTGATTTTAAATGCAATAAGTAGCTGGTAACTGATGAATAACTATTAAATTTTATACTAAAATCTTACTAAGAAATGACTTTTATCAAACTAAATCCCCTTCACTTATTTATGCTTAGTTTAAATTTAAATATGATAAATTCAGAATATTTTTGTGCATTTATTATTGCTAATTGGTTGAATAATGCACAAAAATCATAAGGGACCTCGGTTGCCGAGTGGTCTAAGTACAACTACTGTATCACTAGCCAGTCAACACTGAGGTTGTGAGTTGGAATCCCACACGGGGCAGGTGCACTTGACTCTAATCTTAACTAACTAGGATTGTCAGTTTTCCTACAGAAGGTTGTGGTTCTCTCCGGGTACTTCGGCTTCCTCTACCAATAAAAACTGACTGCCACGAAATAGCACAATAGTGTTGAAAGTGGTGTTAAACACCAATCAATCAATCAATCAATCACAAATGCATAATACTTATTGTGATTTAGGGAAATACAAATAATACTATAAAATCAAATGTTAATTTATATAATTCCCCAATAACTCCCCATAAAATCTATTCTGGAACAGCCATTAATGTAGTTCTTCCAGTAAGGCACTAAATGACGTTAAGTGAATGAACTAATAGGAAGAGCAAAACTACCATCCAGCTTTGTCTTTGTCCAAGGAAAACTTTGATAAAAATTAACATCCAGCATTGACTTGTCCGAGGTAAAACCATGACCAAAACTACCATCTAGCATTGTCTTGTCAGAGGAAAACCATGACCAAAGTTACCATCCAGCATTGTATTGTCAGAGTAAAACTGACCAAAACTACCATCTAGCATTATCCTGTCAGAGTAAAACCATGACCAAAATTACCATCCAGCATTGTCTTTTCAGAATAAAACCATGACCAAAATTAACATCCAACATTGTCTGGTCAGAGTACAACTATGACCAAAATTATCATCCAGCATTGTATTGTAAGAAGAAAACCATGACCAAAATTAACATCCAGTATTGTCTTGTCAGAGTAAAACCATGACCAAAATGATAGACAGAGTATTAACCAAACACAACAATTCACCATTTCAGAATCTAGAGGACTATGGATACTTCCATTGTTTGTACACCAAAATGAAAATAATCTCATCATTGGATCAATTTCCATTGTTTAGAGAGATTTTAACCAATAACGTTTTGGTGTATGCTTTAAATAAAAAAAATTTCCATATTACATTTTGATTCTGAAACAGCGAATTGACTCTTATCCTTTTTTTAAAGACTTTTGTAGAAGTTTGTGTATACAAGGGTAAAACATACACACAAGGACAAGCATGGTATGATGCTGTGACATGAAATGTGTGTGTGTCAATGGTATGACAGGAGATTATACTTGTACAATACTTAACTTTTACCATATGTTTTATAACTTTTGTAGAAGTTTGTGTATACAAAGGTAAAACATACACACAAGGACAAGCATGGTATGATGGCTGTGACATGAAATGTGTTTGTGTCAATGGAATGACAGGAGTTTATACTTGCTCACAGAGGTACATATAATTTTATAAAATTACATCATTTGCTTTGTGCTTTTTATTCCAAACAAACGGAAAACTGTTCTTTTCCTAAGATACAACTTTGATTATTGAATATAGGTTTAAATATGAAAACTGAAATATTTACTGTCCTTCTATTAAACCTAATAGAGTTTAACAGATTTCTTAATTGCAATTTGCAGGTTGAGGTTGTGAGTTGAACCTTACTCTTGTGAGTTGTGTTTGACTCCTATCTTAACAAGAATTGTTGGCTTTCCTGCTAAAGGTCAGTGGTTCTCTCTTGGAACTCCAGCTTCCTCTGTCATAAAAAAGGGGGGAAATGATAAAGCTAATGTAGCTGAAAATTGCTCCAAAAAAATTAACCTTTTTTATCTTTTCAGATGTTCTCAGTATGATCAGAATCCTAACTGTGTTTTGATTCCTGATCCATCAGATCCAGAATGTTGTAAAAAACCACAATGTACATCCCAAAACACAAATCCACCTGTAATTGTTGGTACAAATCCACCACGTCCACCTGTCTACCTAACATTTGGACCAGGTGAAACCATCAATGGTGGAACTAGACCAACAGTCCCCGCTCCAGGTATGTAGTCAAACTTAACACATTAACAAGAAGCGTGAGTTTAAGGTTCATGACCCCTGACTGACTCTTTGTTTCAAATTGAACCGTAGACTATAATAGAATGTTAGAATGAGGTTGCACACTAAATGGACCATTATTCAGTGGATTGTGATTTTATGCAAAATTGTTAGTACATCAAATATGAAACAATGTGTGAGGAAAATGGTATAATATGGGTAAATTCAAAAATGTTGAAAGGCTATACATACACAAATAACAAAAGGTATAATGAAAGGCTATACATACACAAATAACAAAAAGGTATAATGAAAGGCTATACATACACAAATAACAAAAAGGTATAATGAAAGGCTATACATACACAAATAACAAAAGGTATAATGAAAGGCTATACATACACAAATAACAAAAAGGTATAATGAAAGGCTATACATACACAAATAACAAAAAGGTATAATGAAAGGCTATACATACACAAATAACAAAAGGTATAATGAAAGGCTATACATACACAAATAACAAAAAGGTATAATGAAAGGCTATACATACACAAATAACAAAAAGGTATAATGAAAGGCTATACATACACAAATAACAAAAGGTATAATGAAAGGCTATACATACACAAATAACAAAAAGGTATAATGAAAGGCTATACATACACAAATAACAAAAAGGTATAATGAAAGGCTATACATACACAAATAACAAAAAGGTATAATGTAAGGCTATATATACACAAATAACAGGTATAACATGTATAACGAATATAACACTCAATAAATTTCATGTCTGAAGCGTTTTTATGCCCCACCGACGATAGTAGAGGGGCATTATGTTTTTCAGTCTGTGCGTCCATTGGTTCGTCCATCCGCGTGTCCCGCTTCAGGTTAAAGTTTTTGATCAAGGTAGTTTTCGATGAAGTTGAAGTCCAATCAACTTGAAACTTAGTACACATGTTCCCTATGATATGATCTGTCTAATATTAATGCCAAATTAGAGTTTTGACCCCAATTTCACGGTCCACTGAACATAGAAAATGGTAGTGCGAGTGGGGCATCCGTGTACTATGGACACATTCTTGTTCTGGATTTACCTTCATCAGGAATGCTCAAAGCCAAACTTTTGAAAGATGGATGGATAAATACAGAACCAGGCTAATAAATAGCTATAAGACCAAAGGGACCTAAAGTAAAAGCCATATCTGTTTACAGTCAACTTTGTTATAACATGATATTAAATTTCAAAATATCAAAAGTCCCAATACACAAAAATTACTTGGATTATCAACAAAAGATCTAACAACAACACAAAATAGTTTGAAATCAAATCATCATTTAAATGCAATGAGTTTGGATCTTATTCTTTTTTTTTTTTTTGCAGAAGTATGTATTTATAATGGAAAAACATACAGCCAAGGACAAAAATGGCAAGATGGCTGTAAATACACATGTGAATGTGTTAACGCTAAAATAGGAATGCACAAATGTATTCAGAGGTAAGTTTATCACAAATGAGTAACAACAAACAATAATAATCTATTAATTATGGTGAGAAAAATTTTATTTTATTTTATAAGTTTCATTGAAATTAATCACATATAGCTTCCTGATTATTAGATGCTTCAAATTAAGGTTACAAAATTTGATAAACTAACTGACCAATGTTTATGATAAGATTATTACAAACAATTGAAACACCAATCTACTATATGTATTGCTAATGATTGATTTGATTACTTAAATATTTTTCATCTTTTTTTATAAAAATAATAATGTGCAGTTATTGCCGCTCGTTTAAAATGATCGTTTTAATCCTTTGCAGCTGATGTCTTTTCCTCGAAAATTAAAATAAACAAAAACACATGCTATTCAATTTCCATTTTAGCTTCTTCAAACTTAGTTTAAAACAATCATAGAGGCCACTAGATTTAAAAGGTTTTTGATTAATAATCATTCTAGACTTCTTAATTATTTGATAATTGACTTGCTTTAGATAGAAATTTAACTTAAATTTTAATTTCTATTCATAATGATGTCATATTTACATTTCTGGAAAGGTGAATAGTTTTTTTTATTATATTAATTACGTTAATTATCAATTTAAAATTTTTCTGTGGATTCAGTATTATTTGTGGTATACAAATTTTCATAGATTTCGTGGGGAAAGGTAAACCACTATCAAAGTAAAACTTTCAACGAAGTTCAAATTGTCTATTCACTTGTCTACAGGCTAAACCACAAAATTAAATATCCTCAAAAATACAAATTTTCCTCACTTCACGGAAATTGGTATCCACAAAATTAGATGGTTCCACAGTAAACAGTTCTATTATATTTAAAAAGCCATATAATGTTACAGGTGTGCAGACATGAGCATGATTCCACCAACCTGCAAACTGAAGTATAATCCAATGGACCCATGTTGCCCATTACCAGATTGTCCAAACCTGTATGTCACTCCAATACCTGGAACCAACAGAACTGTCCAACCACCAACCCTAAACCCTCTCATGCCACAGCCTAGTAAGTACCAAATATCTGACCCCCAACCTCACTATTTTAAATGCCACAACCTAGTTCTGACACAAATTTTAACATGCCACCACCTAACATGTATAAATTGTTTAATCACCAAACCCTTAGTCCTAACATGCCACACAGCCTAATAAGATAAATGGTTTAAAGATCAAATCTAACATGACTAAATTTTGCAAGTACAAATATTTATATTATCAACCACGAGTTTTAACATGTCCCAACTTTTGAAATACAAACAGTCCATCAATCAATGAGGAGTTCTTTTTATCCTTGCATGGGTCAAATATACAAAGTAAATTCTGAAGAGTATTTTTACCATTATAAATAGATAATACTTTATGTATTATTTTACAGAATATTGTGTATATAATGGTGTGCCATACACACAAGGTCAAACATTCAATGTTGGTTGTGAAAAGAGATGTCGTTGTGATGATGCTTCAACAGGACATATAACTTGTGATGATCGGTAAGATTTTCAGAACAATTGATTTTTATATCTCCATTTTTTTTTATTGCTGTGAACAATTAAAAAATATCTTTTTATAGAGAAATCTGAAAATGTAGAAATTATTGAGTTTCTAACAATTTTATTTCAAATAATAATGATAATATTAAAAATTGCTCTTATTTATATCCCAATATTTTTAATGAGATGTATAAAATTGTCAAGAATCTTATGAAAAGACTTGTTTCCTTTCAGATGCCCTACATATCCACCATTGAAAGATGGCTGCCAGCTTTTGACAGATCCAAGTGACCAGTGTTGCCAGGCTCCTCTGTGTGTTGATACAAACCCCAAAACTCCATTCCAAGTCATCACAGCTCCAAAGGGTTCATTTACTGGAGGCAATCAACCTCAAGTTGGACCAAATAGTCAAATAGTTCTATCAACTGGAAGTAAGTAATAAGTAATTGATTATTATTCCTGGGATACCAGTTTTTGTGGATTTTGTGGGCACTGGTGAACAATGAATTTAAATGTTCAACAGAGTACAAATTTTGGAAATGCTTGTATGTAGACTTTTGTAAAACCTCGAAATCAAATATCCATGAAAATACAATTTTTCCTGAAACCATGAAAATTGGTACCCACTAAAATAAATGAATCCACAGTATTGGACATTTTAATGTGGTAGTTGGAAAAGTCTCATCTCAGGACATTTTACTTATTTAATTTTCTCTCTCACAGCAAGTTAAGCAAATGTGGAATGATTTTAACAGACTTCCATTTAAAATAATATTCAACCAAATTTCTTAATTGACTCCATCATCCTGCAGTAAAATTAGCCATATATTGATATAACCTGCAGATGACATTATTTTGTTCCCACAATGCCTAACTTTTTGACTTAACTAAATAGATGATGTGTTAAAAATGAGCTTGGATCCAAAGAAACACACAATTTTGGAAGAAAGTCAGTGTAACCATAAAGATATCTACCTCCTGCTTACAATTAATTGAAAATGCTCTTAAATGATTTGACTTTTGATCTTTATCATGGTGTTATGTAAGATTTTAAATGAGAGTTTGGGGATAGTTGTTGTTTAAATGTGGAGGTTAAAAAGTTGTATCTTATGACATTTTTCATTGCGTCTTCCTATTATCTCACACAGACTAAATTAGCAAATTGAGTAATTTAATTGATTTTCACTAAAGTTTCAACCACACTTTTCTATTTTGATCCTCTAACCCTGATGAAAATTTACATGCCTTAAGGTGACACTACCCATTAGTTGATGTTTTCATGGAGATGGCATTTTATTGATCTAAACAATGTTATATTTCTGACTTAATCACATGGTTATTGTGTGTAAAATGAAATCAGACAGAAAAAATGATATCTAGGAACTAAAGTATTTTTCTTTGTTATAATTACAGAAGCCTGTGCATACCATGGACAAATATACAGACAAGGACAGAAATGGAAGGATGGCTGTTTATTTGAATGTGAATGTTTCGATGAATCAACAGGCCGATACAGATGTACTGAAGTGTAAGTGGAAAATTCAGAAATAAGTTCGCTAAATTAGAAGAAAATAGTAAAATAACAAAAATACAGCACACTCCAAGGAAAATTCAAAAAGTCTGACTCACTTAATTGTAAACTGATTAGTATTGATCTTTGAATCAAATTGCTATTTGCAATATTTCAAGATTATAACTTTGCATGTTTATAACATTCAAAAGAAACAATGCATTCAGCTCAAATAATTCAAAAGTGAAAAGTTTACCTTGTTTCTTACACAGGAATAAATCTTTATAAATTGATTTACATGGTTGCTTTTAAAGGTAATCATAACTTATTCATTGATACCCTATTTATCAGGTGCGAACATATCTCAAAACTTATATTAATTCTTAAACTTGAATATAACTATAATGTTATGAAATATATGCCAAGGTTTAATAGTTGAGGTTTTAGAGTTTTTCTACATTAGCTATCAATTTCATAACTATATGTGATTTATTACATGAAATGTCAAATTAAATTGATAAATATCATTGCAATGTTTGCTGTGTTGTGTAATAAAGTAAAAATATTAAAAGTTCAAACTTTTTTTCTTCAAAATTTGATATTGAAATATTTATCTATGAAGCAAAAAATGAAAAAATACTTTCTTTGTTCTAAATCTTGCAAAAGAGGTCTTTCATTGACTTTTTCAGATGTCCAAGACATCCACAAGTTCCATCTTATTGCACATTGGTACAAGATCCTAACAATGATTGTTGCCAGGCAGTCTACTGTCCATTACAACCAACAAATCAACCTCCTTATACAGGAGCACCAACTCAAGCACCACTGCCTTACACTGGTGTTCCCACTCAAAGTCCAACTGGAGGACCATATGTAACACCTAAACCTACACGTAAGGTGTTGATGATATTGTAAACAGAATGTGTATATATATATATATAATTTAACTGTCGAGAGTTGATAAATGGGAAAGGATTTGTATAGGCGTTGCCTTTTGTCCAATCCCTTTGTTTAAATGTACATTTGATATTTGAACAATAAAATATTTTGAATTGAGAGTGGCTAAATATCGTATTGCACAAGATTTGGTGTTTCTCTAATGATTTTTAAACGATATGCACACAAACTCAATCATTCTTTTTCGAATGATCTGCAAAAACATGTGTTCTTTCTATGTGACATCATCAGGCATGGTTGCCTTTTTTCATGACGTCACAATAGGAAATTCAGAGAAAAGCAAAAAATTTGACTTCATAATCAAATTTTGACCATTGAAGAACAGATCAAACGAACCACATGTTGATTAAATTAAAATAATCAACAGGTCAGGAAAAGGTTAAATCATATAAGAATTAGAGAAATATATTAATATAAATATGATATATATGCATGCAATATAAAAAGTATATTCATCATCAGCTGGAACTATCTTAAGCTTTTAATTGACTTTTATTATATTATAGATCTGCAATAACACTTAAGATAAGGTTCCTGAAGTTATCTTGTGAGTTTGTCTTATTAATTTGAATAAGATTAAAGGGTCCATATTTATTTTTAAAAATCTACACATCTCCTCCAATATTTAATGAGTCTTTTCATAGTGTAAGTTGATACCTTTCAGCAATGTGTGTGTACAATGGCGTAGCATACAGACAAGGACAGCAATGGTACGATGGATGTGATTTGACCTGCAGATGTGAAGATGCAATGAAAGGATACTACCGTTGTCAACAAAGGTTGATAAATAAGACTTTTTATATACTTGACAATTAGCAATAACAATCAATATGATCGAAAAATCAAACTGTATATCAGCTTTTTAATACGAAGGTTTAAAGAAAAAAATTTCTTGAAAGAGAAATTGTAAGGTACTTTGGATTTATTATTATTGGTTGGATATTAAATAAAAAAAAAAGATGTGGTATGATTGCCGATGAGACAACTCTCCACAAGAGACCAAATGACACAGAAAATAACAACTACAGGTCACTGTATGGCCTTCAACAATAAGCAAAGCCCATACCGCACAGCCAGCTATAAAAGGCCCCGAAATGACAATGTAAAACAATTCAAACGATTGGATACCAACTTTCTTGAATTCGTGGGTATTACCACAAATTCAGGTAAATCTTCAACAAAGTACAAATATTCTATAGGCTTAAATTCACTTTGGCGAAACTATGAAATAAAATTTCCACAAAAGTACAAGTTTTCCTCAATCCATGAAAATTGGTACCCACAAAAAATATATGAATCCACAGTAAATTATATTTTTTTTCATTAATATCAAAAACTAAAAGGCACAGATACAGTTAGTTGGCTGGAAAATTGGAATAATACAAATTTTCCCCAGTATCTTGAATATTATTTGCTATTTGCTAAACTTTTGTGAATCTAATTTCAGATGCAATAGGTACGACAGTTTACCACAAGGATGTACTTTGGTGGCAGATCCAAGTGACCCACAGTGTTGTACAGTACCTCAATGTCAGTTGATCCCACCAAACGCAACACCTCAACCTGGAATCTTCACTCCACCTGTACCTGTCTTTGGATCATTTACTGGCAGTGCTCCAAACCCAACACCTCAACCCACTCCTTCTCCAACAATGAGGTTACCTAATGGACAAATTGTTGCTATTACTCCCAAACCAGGACTACCAACACAGGCACCACCAACTCCTCAGCCAGGTATATATACTTTGATGAACAACTATTTGAGGATGTAATGGATTAAGTTTAGGCTATACAATTTTTTAATATCAGTAGTTTGTATGTTTGTTTTGTTTTTTAACTTTGTTGTAATTTTGACTTTTGGCTTTTTTCTCACAGTATGACCCTCTTTGTTATTATTTTTAGAAAGAACTTCATTCATTGGTTGTCTTTCAGTATATATTACTAAGAATTATTTCTACTGGTGTTTCATATCTGATCAATAACTATACGCTTCATCTCTACACCCCCAAACACCATTACAGGATATTACTCATGTTCCCATAAAATTTCAACTTCATAAGAGAAAAAGTCTGCAGCCTCAAAAGAAGAGTGTTGTAAGGGTCAATAGTTTAAGGGTTGCAAAATATTGTGTCAAATGTCTCAAAATCCAAAATATTAAAAAGATCTATTTAAAATTTGTAAATCCTTATTTTTCTATTTTAGGATGTTTCTACAAGGGTAGATCATTTACACAGGGACAGAAATGGGCTGATGGATGTCAATATATATGTGAATGTGTTAATGATATGATTGGGCAGTATAAATGTACTGAAAGGTAAGGATCTTTAATTACAAAGACCTGAGCAAAGGGAGATAACTCTATAGATAGTCTTGTGTGGGGACAGGATACAATTTTAGAGCTCTTAAACTCCTGTCTTAATATAAGTATGTAAAATCTGATTTTTATGTTTTATTTTATTTTTAAATATATTTTTTAATCAAGTTGAAAAAAGTTTAGTTTTAAAAATGTTAAAAGTCTCATTATAACTTTGAGATAGAGAACAGCAATAAAAGCACTATTAGTTTGCTGCTTCTTTTCGTGGGCATTTATTGATTTTTTTGCCATCGATTGATACACCATGACCATTCTTTTTCATAAATACCATTTTGTTTCTAATTTCAGGTTTAAGGTAATAATGGGAAATGAATGTTTATTTTATGCTTTTTTTTACAGATGTCAAAAATATCCAAACTTGCCAACTTACTGTACATTGATCCAGAATTCCAAGGATAGCTGTTGTCCAGTGCCTTACTGTGACAAGGTTAACCCAACTCCATCCCTACCAGCAACCTATCAACCATATGTTCCAACAACTCATAATCCATTGTTTGTAAACCCAGGAACCAATCCTGCAATGACAGGCCAGCAAACTGCATCACCATTTGGAAAAGCAGGTAATTTTATTGGTTGAAATTTTCCAACAAGGTTATAAAAATATATTAAAAAAATGATACATTAAATATTCATCTATAATTTATTATATTTTTTTTGCAAACACAACCATCCCATACATCACTTTTTGTGAATTTTTAAAGTGATAATTAAACAATGATCTGTATGTGCATATTTTAGGGTACTGTGTATACAATGGAGTGTATTACAGACAAGGACAGACTTGGGTAGATGGTTGTGACAAACGTTGTAGATGTGATGATGTAACCACAGGTCTATACAGTTGTACACAGAGGTAAAATATTGATATTTTTACATTGAAAACTTTAACAATATCCAAAATTTATTGGAAACTTACACTGGAATCAAGACTAAAGGATACTGGAATACTTAAAAGTAAAAGTATATACTTTATTTGTATATGTTTAATTTGGTATTGACAATATTTATTTTTATAATTTATAGCTGGTTAATACTTTCCTATGAATTTGTTTCCTTTTTTATGCTGATTTGCAGGTTGGTTCGTGGTTGAAGCTCAATTATGATGTCATATATCCTTTTCATTCTCCATACAACTTTAAAAAGTTATGACTTAACACAGACAGAAAAAAAATTGTTTGCTTTTTTTCCATCGAGAGGAATGTCAAAGTTTACCTTGATTTCAATTACGAATTAGGGCTATTCCAGAAAAAACTGTATGGGCGGGTTGGAAGGCACTTTATATTAATAATACATGGGTGATGGGTATCAGAGCAACTTTTCACACTATAATGCACTATGATTCTCAATTACAATTGTCTGGGTGGTGGGTTCTGACAAAAACTGCCTTCCAACCCCCCCATACATTTTTTTCTGGAATAGCCCTTATGAGAGAAACAGATTCTACAGCTGCAATTCATGTGAAATGATTATTTTGTCAAACTTTGACAGTTAAATTTCAAATTTCAAAGAAAAATAAACTGTCTCAAATTGAGAAAATAACCTAGTTTACTTGATGCAGTGCTAGAATTAACCATTTCAGGATCTTAATCCTTCTGGGTAATTATTTTAACAACGAACAGCAAAATGAGTTTGGCTTAAAATTATAAATCCAATGGTGTCATGCCTTAATGTATTTTGCTTTAAGAAACATGAAATTAACTGCAATACTTTGGATTCTCAAATAGTGAATTGATATAGAATTCTATAACTTTGACCATGTTTTTATTTATTATAAAGATGTCCTATATTCAACAACATACCTTCAACATGCTCATTGGTTGCTGACAATAATGATCCATGCTGTACCGTACCACAATGTAACCTGTTCCCAAGTACAGCAAGATACACCGGCTCAGGCACACCACCAACAACTGCCAGACCAAACATCATTGTACCTACTCCAATTCAGGGAGGACTGACAGGAGAAGGAACTCTTGCTCCTAACAATCCACTCTATAACCAATTTGCTGGAAATGGAACAGGTATGATTTTTAGGGCTTCTTAGACAACAAATTTGAATAAGTGATTAAAACTTTATATTTTAATGGCTTTCTTTCTCTATAAGGTTGAATTGAGCTTTAAGTTTGTTTAAGGTACAGTAGAGAAATGTCTAATTTCGCAAGCCTATTTCTGTATACTTATATAAACAAAGCCAATGGAAATAATACAATTTTAAGTGTACTATTTACATTCAAAATGTCAGTAACTAGTAAAGGTCCCATTAGTATTTTACATTATCTTAACATTAAAATTAAATTCCAATTTTCTTATGCCTCTACAGAGGGAAGAAAATGTTAAAAAATATTACTTTTTGATTTTTCAGCAGAGATTTTCCCCTTGACCCTATATTAAAATGATTAAGCAGCAAAATAACAGTAGCATTGTGTCTGGTCTTCATTTGAGAAATTTGATGTGTTTTGAATGATTCCACCTCTAATCAAAGAATTAATCAAGATTTTTTTTATTTAGGAATTTTATTTTTTATGTATCCTCAGGTTATTGTGCATACAAAGGTAAAATTTACAGCCAGGGACAGAGATGGGACGATGGATGTGATTATAAATGTCAGTGTATTGATGCCCTTAGAGGTCGTTACAAGTGTGATTACAGGTAAGGTGAAAGGTCATAGCAAAAAATATTTGATGACTTAAATCAAACTATTCATATATATGTTTTGATATTCGTAAAATATAAGATATGTGCATATATGTTTCTATTTTAGAAAGGCTTTTATAATTTCCCTAAAGTTTTTTTATCTTGCATTATTTGGTTTCCATGTAAACTAACTGGTCTGTGCATGATTGACCGTGCGAGACTCTCACAGGTAGTCAAGGTCGTTAAACACCCACATGGTAGTAGTGTTCTGTGCATGAACAGAGCATTGCACTAAATTTTGATACATAAAATTATCAAAGCAAGAATGAACTTCATTCTCTGTGCTGTTCAAGAGATATTTTGTGTTTATTAATATGATATTTCACTGCTCAAGATTAAAACAGAAAGATCTTGGAAAAGCAGTTTTACCCCACAGCATGTTCATATGTGCCTGTCCCAAACCAGGAACCATGTCAATGGCTGTCTTAACTAGTAGTTTCTTGATATTGAATGTCATATAAGGAATTTGTCTTGATGGCAGATCTCTGTTGAGTAGATACATTTTATTCACATCTTTTCTTAACCCAGGGGGCAATATAGAGCTTAACATATTGTATAGGCACTTGTCTATTATTGGAGACCATGTGTTCACCATTGGATGTCTTGTTTTTTTTGGGTAAAGATTGCATGAAATGCAATCAAAACCCTATGGTACTGACTTGATATCTAAATCTTCCAAGGTTTATCACTACTGTATATTCAGAAATTATTGCAAGGTTTTTATTAATGCGAATAATGCGACTGGATGACTATCGCAATAATAAGAACTCGCATTCTGATGTCTGTTACATATATCTGTACACAGATTTTCATGATATCGCAATAATAAATCTCACAAATTTGTCCATTCTTGAAAAATCGCAATAATAAATGCAGGCAATAATTTCTGAATTTACAGTACTTTTGAGATACACAAAATATAGTGCATTAATCATAACATTCTAAACAGCCTATCCATGAACATTTCCAGAAATTTATCAATGGAATATATGCACAGATATTCAAGTTACAAAATGATGTTATACTTGTCAAGAAAATTACATAACTTGTGCAAGGTGCAGGAATCTGATATATGTTCTAAAAATATCAATGATGTAATTGTTAAAGTAATCTTTAAATTGGAGTTATCTTCCTTTGTCCAATGCTTTATACTTTGCAATGTTTAATTTTACTTCCCACTGATAAATTAAAGCAATCTACCTTTCAGTGCTTACAAGCACTTTGATAAATGTCATTGGGCTGCTGTGTTATTAATGTATACACCACATTTGCTGCTGTGTCATTAATGTATACACCACATTTGTTGCGGTGTCATTAATGTATACACCGCATTTGTTGCTGTGTCATTAATGTATACACCACATTTGTTGCTGTGTCATTAATGTATACACCACATTTGTTGCTGTGTCATTAATGTAGAAACCACATTTGCTGCTGTGTCATTAATGTATACACCACATTTGCTACTGTGTCATTAATGTATACACCTCATTTGCTGTGTCATTAATGTATACACCACATTTGCTTTTGTTTATATTTACAGCCATATTTGTATAATAAGTGTCATGGACAAAGCTCCTCTTGTCAAACAATAAGATGACTCATCTTAATGATTTTTTTCAAAACCAGCTTCAGTGTATTAAATATTACCTCATCAGTTTTCATCTGATCCTTGAATAAAGGAGTTGGAAGAGACTTTTTTTTATTGTTTTGATAAGCAAAAATACTGACATTAAATGTTGTTTTATCAATGAAACGATTCTATGAATATTTAATATTACAGATGCCCGCAATACTACAATCTACCTGCCTACTGCCGCTACGAACAAGATCCAAGTGATTCATGCTGCCGTAAACCCAAATGTGATCCAAGTCAAACAGTACAGCCACAAACAACACCTTCCATATACAACAATCTAGGACCTACAGTTGCTCCCAACAAGCCAAAACCATTGGGTAATTATTTTGAAGAATTCAAAGTTCACTTTGATTTTTTTGTGTATAGAGATTATACAGTGTTATGTAAATAGTGTTATGTAATGAAAGTTTGACCTTTCTAGTATTACGTAATGGAAGTCTGACCCTTCTAGTATTATATGATGAAAGTTTGACCTTTCTAGTATTATGTAATGAAACTTTGAACTTTCTAGTATTACGTAATGAAAGTTTGAACTTTCTAGTATTACGTAATGAAAGTTTGAACTTTCTAGTATTATATGATGAAAGTTTGACCTTTCTAGTATTTTGTAATGAAAGTCTGACCTTTCTAGTATCATGTAATGAAAGTCTGACCTTTCTAATATTATGTAATAAAAGTCTGACCTTTCTAGTATCATGTAATGAAAGTCTGACCTTTCTAGTATCATGTAATAAAAGTCTGACCTTTCCATGTAGAGTTATTTCTAATATGAATTCACATATTTGACATTTAAAACTTATAAACTTTTAAATGATAAACTTAAAGTGTATAACTCTTAGGGATCTCGGTGCTAGAGTGGTCAAAGTAGTTCATTTACAGTGGTCACTAGCCTGTGAACGCTGAGGTTATGAGTAAGAATCCTGCTCGTGGCAGTTGCTGTCAACTTTGATCTTAATTATCATGGATTGCCAATTTTCATGCCAAATGTTATTTTTTTTATTTGTACTGAGGCTTCCTCTTCTTACCATTAAAAATTGGCCATCACAATAAAATCAAAAGTGCTGAAATTGTCAATAAACACTAACAATCAATCAATAATGAATAGCTTGTAATTACTAGAAATTACTTGTACCGGTAGCTGTTATGATAATTTTTCAATTAATTGTTATAATGTCATCTGCTTGAACTTTCCCTGGTACTAATTTTCAGTTTTCGCAAATATAAAAATTCATCAATTTTACTCAAAGTTTACTTCAATACAATGAGAAAAGTTTACAATTTTTATTAAAAAATACTATTTGTTTCCACTGGATATTAAGCATGCAACAATCAATCAATCAATATCATTTGCTTGCAGATATGTGTGTTTACAAGGACAGGACTACACATGCACAAGGATCAAGCTGGGATGATGGTTGTGACCTCCACTGTACATGTGAAAATGCCACCTTGAACATCTACCAATGTCAAGCCAAGTAAAAATCTTATTTATTGTTGAAATATTTCTGTTGATGAGGCTTTATTGCAATCCCCTTGTCCAACCATCCGTTTCGTCCAACAAATACTTCGTCGCCTTTTTCTCAGAAACTACTAAAAAGGATGAATTCATTTTTGATCAGCAGTTTGACAGTGAATTCTGAAATATGAATGAGCCCTCTTGGTTTTTCTTGCATGAATAGATAATTCTTGTATCACACTGCACCGAATCTGATACGAAAAAGTGATAAGAAGAATATGTTAATTTAATTGACTAAGCAAGCATTATGAAACAATATTGCGACATTTGCCTTGGTTTTTGTTAAGGTCATGGATGGTTTTTAAAATAATGATGTATATTTCCTCCATGGCAATGGAGATAAGTGATTTCTTCAAAAAAGATACAAAACACTACTGTAAATTCAGAAATTATTTTGTGCATTTATTATTGCGATTTTTCAAGAATGGACAAGAATGCGAGTTTAATTATTGCGATTTCTAAAAAAATCTGCACGCAGGTCTATGTTTCAGTTATCAGAATGCAAGTTCTTATTATTGCTATAATCACCTAGTCCCATTGTTGGCATTAGTAAAAACCTCACAATAATTTCTAAAATTACAGTAACTCTTTTCACCTGAAATCTTATTCTTGTTAAATTTTTAAAATTTTTTTTACAATCTGAATGGTACAAAACGTTTTAAAATGTCTGATGTTAAAGTTAGATGCCAGGCCAGGACCAAGGGTCCGGAAACGGTCATATTTGCCAGTCATGTCCTAAACGAGTAATTGGGATTTAGGACAAATTTTATTTTTTTACAGAAGTAATTTCGGTCATTTCATTGACTCAATGTTTGAAATCGATTTCTTAATCGCCATTTTGCACTTGTGATCACTTGTTTTTGTTTATAATCCCTTTCCTGTAATAAAACTGCCACTACAGTAGTTTGATAATCCTGAGGGCCCTCCTAATATCTATATCAATGCCTCCGGGAAACATTGGCTAAATATCGCTAATCACTTTTTACCTGTGGTTTTAATTCACACTTGACAGTGATCACAAGCTCAGAATAATATCTTTAAAACATTAAAGTTCCCTGACAAGTGTATTCATTATTTATTTACTTTTCATCAAAGACAGTCATCAATTCTGATTTAAAAATTAAATCTAAATTTACGTAGAAAAAAAGTATTTTTTCATGAGTAACACATGTGCTTTATTTACTATGAAATACGCATGCGTGAAATTGTCTTCAGCAAATTTAATATTTAATCGTAAAAAGCAAATTTCATGCTAAATTAAACGAGTGCAACTATTATCTGTTATATTCAAACACTTTTAAAGGTAATAAAATAAAAAAGCCATAAAAAGCCGGTGATTTCCTGTCAATTTGATAAACAAAACAAATCCCAGAAATGAATCCGGAATTATTCGTACTTTAAAATATCGCAAACTTCCGGTTTTAACTTTCGTCAAATCGAAAGAAACGTAAGCAATGTCTGAGAAATTAACCATTTTGAGTCATTAAAATCATTTCAATTTTAAACTGTTGCCTTCCCTAAACTGTCCTTCATGGTAATGGTAAGACATTTACTTAGTAAATGCGATGAAACAGCAATACAAGTTCGTCATGTTCGTTGATGCTATGAATATAGTCTAGTTGATATCGACAATTTGAAAAGGGGCACCAACTTTTCAAACATCTCAAAATGACCGAAATTGTCTGGAAAAATTTCCGGATCCTTGGCCAGGACATATGACATCATATTGGTATGTGCAAAAGACTAGATCAAAGAGTCTCAGACTTTTCTATTTAACACAAAGACAATGTTTATCATAAGAGAAATAGGTTCAACAACTCGTGAGAATTTGATATTTCTTGATCATATTATATTGAAAGTAAATAACTTTTAGTTGATGACAAGTGATATCCAATGCTCATTTACATTATGAAACCTATAATTATATTTCAATTAATGTTTCACCAGTAAAAACCCTTATTTTGATTAAATGCTTCTTTCAGATGTAAACTATTCCAGCAGCTTCCATCTCAATGTACATTGGTCAGGGATCCTGTTAACAGGTGTTGCTACATTCCTAGATGTGTCGCCACAGGAACCAACATCCCACTGAACCCGTACTACAATACACACAATGGGTCATCTAATGTAACACCACAACCAGGAAAACTGAACATTGTTCCACTAGGACAATATAATGTTATATCTGGTAACAATTGGCAAAAACCACAAGGATCAACTTACACAGGAGTAGGAGGTGAATGTAATGTTATATCGATTTAATTATCATAGACCACTAGAATCAATATATGTAAAATGATGTAGGTGTAGGTTGTAAAATATTATGCTTTATTTGGAAATAATTGGCAGAGACCACAAGGATAGATTTGAATAGGATTAGGAGGTTAATATCAAATTTTATTATGCAGAAACCTTGTCTTTTATAGTGGAAACAAATTTGTAAAATGGTTATTTATTTGATTTTTTTGGTCTGAACTGTGGATTTTCTCAAAAATAGTGGTAATTGCCAAGAAAAATTTAACCATCATTTTATTTATGATTGATGAATATTTAAAAATATTGGTTCTGGTAATTGCTTAGAATAGAGCTAAAATTTACCAAAGTTTTAACTTTACTTTTTATGGCCCTGCCAACTTAGGTCGGGCCATATTATTTTACCCTTATCTGTCATTCCGTCATTCCGCAACGAACAGTTATACATATTTTTTTTCTAAACGCCTTCACATATTGAGCTGATTTTTAGTATGTGAGTCTATTATGATGAGTTACAAATCGTGTTTCCGTTTGGTTCCGCTCCGTTGATTTTTGCCGTAGTAACAGGCTTTGGACTTAAAAAATTTCCTCTCCTTAAAATGTCTTCAAGCTTTTTTTTCGAGTAGGGCCATTTGTGTCATTCTGACACATCCAGTTTTTACTAACATCTCAAAGTTTTTTTGTGGTAGCCGGGTCAAGTATGGTCACAATAAGAATTTAGGACCATGCAACTTTATATTCTTAGTTAATTTCATATCAAATTTTCAATACAAACACCTAAGGAAACTTGGATCTCTTTTGTAGGATTTGGAGCATGTGTTTACAAAAATGTTGTGTATAAACAAGGACAGTCCTGGGATGATGGATGTGATTATGTGTGTACATGTGCAGATGCAACCAAAGGACAGTATAATTGTGTATCAAAGTAAGTATACAGAAAATGGCAGTCCAATCATGTGCCTCTGTTAAACTACTTGCATTCAATTGAAATTAAATATTCAAAATTCAAAAAGTACAAGTATTATGAAGTGCATGGTAAATTTCAAATTGTGATGAAATTTATGCAGAAATCTTTTGCTGCTAAATGGCCAAATAATACAAAAAACAAAAAACAAAAAACAAAACAAAACAAAAAAATTGTAAAAGAAACTTCCAAGTTAGTCGACCTCATTTGATGTTTATTATTTTTCGCAGATGTCCACAACTTCCCAATCCTCTACCAAGCTATTGCAAGAAAATGTCCATACCTGGTCAGTGCTGTGTAAATGTGAAATGTGACATTCCTGGGGTATCATATAAACCACCAAGTGAAATCATAGCTACTGCAGCACCAACAAATTCATTTGGATTGATCACTAATAGACCAGGCATTATTATTGTGGGGACTCCAAAACCAACAGCAACACCTGACTTGCCAGGAGGTGGCTTCCCTATCCTTCAACAACAATTTTCTCAAGTCAGAAGTGAGTAATACCAAATCATTGTAGGTGTTAACTTTTGAGGTTTCTGAAGAGGGAAGCTTTCTCTCCAGAAATTTTTCCAAAGGATAATTTACTCAAGAGCTTATTGTTCATGTTTTTTCTTAAATTCATGACTGGAATCACTTGTTATTGCAAAGGCAATCAGATTTTCTCCAGAATCTGTTAGAATTAACCTTTCCATTTAAATTTTTGCAAAGTGTACTTTTTTACAGCCATATTAATCAATGAATGATTGGTTTTTAAAGGAGAAATATACAGTTCCCATTGAGTAAACTTCACAGCAAACAATAGCTATTGTATAAATTCATCAAAATTTAAATGAACAGGTAAACTCCAACTGATTCTGGGGAAAGGTTTGATTGCAATTGCAATTATTGTGAATACTTTTTTAAACACCACTAATATGACTAACAACTTAGATCGAATAATTAATTTTCAAACAACAAAAAGGAATCACTGACGAGGTTGTAACATGGTATGTTGTTTTGGAAAATTTGGTGTTGATTTCAGAACTTTGATAGTTTCTGTATAATTTATACACAACTTTTTTAAACACTGTTTATTGTTTATTATTAAAGATTACAAGTTGACCTCTAGAATTTTTTTTTATTTTTGTGTAGTTGGGTTGCTGTTGCTTTGACATTTCATTCATTTAGCCTCAGTTTTGGACCAAAATGAGTATAGGCTTAATTTATTCAATAATTTGGGTGGGGGGGAGGAGGTCTTTTTCATGCAATATGCCAAACATTTGATATATTGTTGTAAATATTCAACAAATTAATTGACGGTCTTTCTAGATTTGAAAGAGATGGTGACTGAATATGATTGAGAAATTCATATAATTCAGATTATCTTGTTACAGACTTTGGTTGGATAATGTACATGTATTATCCAATTTGTTACAAACAATTAACACTGATGTGAATCATCAATCATTTATTGTCATGTTAAATAGGCAGGCTGACTAAGCTGCTCTTGCTCCTAAAAATAAAATTGAGAATGGAAACGGGGAATATGTCAAAGAGACAACGACCCGACTAAAGAGAAGAAAACAGCCTAAGGCCACCAATGGCAATGGGTTTGAAAACTTTTATACAATCACTAAATTAAGCTTTTGTTCCATTTGAGATGATACTTGGGTATATGATTTGTTATATATTATAGATGTGTGTATAATTAGGGAGTTATGTGGATCTGTTATCGCTCCAGAATGAATTGATGGGTGTCATATTGAAACAGGATATGTATACCTTTGAGAGAAACCTGAAATAACTTCTTCTTTTGACAGGAGTTCATATTGTCTGATACTTGGGTTGTGTTTTAAGTGTTCAATGGTTGTATGGATGTTTTCTTGGTTAAGCATACACCTGTCGAGTTGTTTTTGATTTGTCTCCTTTGTGCATGTGTTTTCTCATGGTTGTTTTTTGTCTCGCTTTGACGAAGTTACAGAGATGCGTTTTGGGCATGCAGTTAGTGGCATCAACAATAATTAATTCTTAAAGTTTGTGTGATAAGATCAGTTTAAGGGAAACCACTTATGGTAAGTCAGTGAGATTTGGTATGCAGTTGTGGTAAATGTGTCATTCACACATCTCATTTCCATGGAGATTATTAGGGGCCTCAGTGGCCGAGTGGTCTAAGTAGTTACTACTGTAATCACTAGCCAGTCAACACTGAGGTTGTGAGTTCGAACCCCGCTCGTGCGGGTGCACTCGACTCCAATCTTAATTGACTAGGATTGTCAGGTTTCCAATTGAAGGTCGGTGGTTTTTCTCCGGGCACTCCGGCTTCCTCCACCAATAAAAACTGGCCACCACGAAATAGCCCAAAAGCGGTGCTTAAAAGTGGCGTTAAAACACCAAAAAACAAATCAAATCATGGAGATTATTTGGCCTAGCCTCCCTCATTCATGGTCCATGCATGAATACTTTGAATAAATTTCAACATTTGCATTATACTATTGAAATTGCACACTGGCAAGGCATATTTCTGTGTCAACAGCTTACCGTTATTCCAATTTTGTTCAATATTTACAATTTTCTATTTGTTTAAAAAAATCTGCAGAAAGTTTGATCTCGTTCCAGATAATAATTATAAATGTTATATTACCAGGTCAGTGTATATTCCACCAGAAAGCCGCTGATGGAAAACCAGAAAAATACTTGGTGTATAACCAAGGAGAAACCTGGAAAGATGGGTGTGAATTTAGTTGTCAGTGTATGGATGGAAAGACTGGATACTACTATTGTGATCCTTTGTAAGCATTAAAACAAAACTCCTCATAAAATCTTCAAAAACTTTCATTTGCTATTGTTATCAGCAATGTTGCTGGTACTGTAAACCAACTTTTTTACGTAGATATTTTTTTCCACATTTAGTCTTTTCTCGCAGGCTTTGAGACGATTTATTTTTGCAATTTTCTGATTTGTTATTGTTTGTTATTAAAGAAGATCCAAGTACCCTATGACATATTCACAACAAAATATTTGTGTTATTTTTCTTCTCACGAAAGTCATAGAAACTAATCTCTTGAGAAAGTTAGTTTGTTAACAATATTTTATACAGCTATCAATGCCAAATAGACATTAGATATTCTTGGACATCAAACAGATTCAATAAATGAAATATGATACAATTTATACCTTATATGATGGTTAATAAAAACCATGAAAAATCTTAATTTTTATTATCAGATTTTGACTTTATAATTTTATCAAAACATTAAAAACCTAGCTTATAGTTGTCTATAGATAACAAGATATATGTCCATAAAAAATAATAGCTGTGTTTCTGTGTTAGCTGTAATTTGTTGAAAAAAATAAAGGTTGAAGGTCGGCAAAACTTTTTAATTTCAATATCTTTTACTGGTTTAAATGGTAAACAGTCTGACTTTAAAAGCGTTTGTTTAAAAAAAGTACTAGAAATCTCTAGGGTAGGCACTTAATAAAAAATTAGGGTTAGCAGAAATACAGGTAATTTTGTTTAGGCCTTTAATATTCACTGGTTTTTAATGATTATCTAATCAAACGAATACATTACAGATGTCCTGTATATAACAACTTACCATCAAACAAATGTTACCTATCACGGGTTGATGGACAATGTTGTAACCAGCCTAGATGTCAATTGGACAGTGGTAAGGTAGTAAACCCACTGCAAACACAGACCAAATATACCATTATTGGAACACTGCCTAATGGTTACACTGGATTTGGTCCAAACTACAACTTCTCTAGTACATTAGTGGGTGGTAACTATCAAAGTCAAAGTGGTGGAAGAAATGGTAAGCTTTCAGAATATAATTAAAAAAAAATAATTTATCAATCTTTAAAGAACTTGTTTGGTTGGCAAATTCACCTATGGAATATTTAAAATGGGTAGAACTTGTTTGCATAGCAAATTCACTCATGGCATATTTTAAATGGGTAGAACATGTTTGCTTAGCAAATTCATGCATTGGGATACAATTGTACTTAAGTAAGATCAAACATTGCTTATAAGTTATAGTGACAACACATCTTCATACCTGTCAACTGACCCGTATTTTGCGGGTGTGACCCTTGAATTTCTCAGCTCACACACCATTTTTTCAATACCAGTTCAGGTCTTCAAATAACCTGGGAATTCATCAAATGACCCGTTTTCACCCGTATTTTAGTGCAATGAGACTTCTAATGTCTAAAATGCTAAATAAGGAATACAAACTAATTAAACTTAAAGGTAAATTAATCAATGAATGATGGATTTCTCTTAGAAGAAATTTAAAGGTCCCACTAAATAAACTACACAGAGAACAATAGCTATTGTATTTATTCAATGGGACAATAGAACAGACAAAAGTTTAAATGCCTTGACCAAGAACAGATGACTCTGTAGAAAACTTTCATTTAGTTCGCAATAATGTAATCAGGTAAAAAATTCATGTCACCTGTTTTTTTACTTAAATTCACCAGTTAGCCTCTTTCTAAAGCAATGATAGAATATATGGGTCTATAGTCAAATAAACAAAATTCTGAAAAAGGGATTAAGAGCTGGACATATTATATAGACTCTTGTCTATTGTTGAAGACTGTATGTTGAACTCTAGATGTATACTGTGGATTAGTTATTATTCCTAGGGTACTTTATGTCATGGATTAAATAGGGGATACAAACTTCCTATAAGCTTATATGCAGATGTTGTTTAAATACAAAATCAAATATCCATGAAAATTTTCCTTAATCCATAGAAAATTGATACATACTAAAATAATATGATTCCACAGTATATTTGTTAATATATGTATCTTAAATTCAATCAAATATTCAGAAGTTGAAATAATAAAAGCATTTGTTTTTAGTCTGTATATACAAAGGAAAGATTTACAAGCAAGGCCAACAGTGGAGTGATGGATGTGACTTTGACTGTAGATGTGACGATGCAAATAGGGGTGCCTTCAGTTGTACTCCAAGGTAACGAATGATGTTTACTTGTTTCCATGACAATTAAACAAGTATTGTTAAAGATCAAAATCTTGAATGAATAGGATTCAGTGTTCTATGGAATACAAAATGTGACTTGTTTATCTAAGCACGCTCATTTAAATTGCAAGAATAATCTCTTGAGTGAACTTCAAATATGTATAGTAACTTACATTTTTAGTTCACCTGGCCCAAAGGGCCAAGTGAGCTTTTCTCATCACTTGGCATCCGTCATAGTCATTTAACTTTTACAAAAATCTCCTCAGAAATTACTGGACCAAATTTAACCAAGCTTGGCCACAATCATTATTAGAGTATCTAGTTTAAAAAATGTGTCTGATGACCCTGCCTGCCAACCAAGATGGCTGACATGGCTAAAAATAAAACATAAGGGTAAAATGCAAGTTTTGTCTATTATTTTGAAAAATCGTTATAAATAATAGAAAATCTGAAATGAGCCAAAATGTTCAGAATGTTGAGCTGTACCAATTGTCTGTATACATCAAAACTGTCATACAACTTCTTTATTGTTATTGCCCTTAAACGACAAATATTACAACTTTTTTTCATTTTTGCCTATTATCTTGAAAACTATAATAGATAAAAAGAAACTTTAAAAAATGCAAAAATGATCAGCAAGACAAGCTCTACAAATAAGTCTGCATGGTCGAAATCGTCAGTCGACTCCTTATTAGAGTTATTGCCCTTTGATGATTAGTTTTACCAATTTTTTGCGTTTTTGCCTCATAACTTAAAAATAATAATAGATAGATAGAAACTTAAATAAGCAAAAATTATCAGCAAGACAAGTTCTACAAATAAGTCTCATGGTTGAAATCGTCAGTAGACTCCTTATTAGAGTTTTGCTCTTTGATGATGATTTTTACCAATTTTTTGCGTTTTTGCCTTATATTAAAAAATTATAATAGATAGATACAGATTTTAACAGGCAAAAATGATCAGCAAGACAAGATATACAATTAAGACAATATGGAGAAAATCGTCCGACAACTCCTTATTGGAGTTATTGCCCTTCAATGTCGATTATTTTTTTTACCATTTTTTTGCGTTTTGCCTTCTATGATGAAAATTATAATAGATAAATAGACACTTTAAATCACAAAAATTATCAGCGAGGCAAGATCTACTAACAAGTCAAATTTGGTGATATAGTTAGTAGACTGTCACTCTTTATAGGAGTGATTGCACTTAAATGAGGATTTTTTTTAACACTCTTTTGTGTTTTGAGCTAAAACTAAAGAAGATAGAGAGAAACTAAACAGACTAAATGATCAGCAATACAAGATCAACAAAACAGAGATTTTGTCGTGAATTCTATTCACGTCTACAATGTTGGAGAGTGTCATTTGTTGAATATGCACATAGACCTAGGTGAGCAACACAGGCTCTCTAGTTAAAACTATTCCCTCTTAATTAATTGTGAAATAAATCATCTGCTAAGGTTTATGTTTATTTTTTGAGAGCAGATTTTTGTTAAGAAGATAAACTAATGATAAAAGATAGAATTTGTAACATAAAATATAAAATAATCCACCAACTAGATTCTTAAATGGACCTATTTGAAATACCTTACTTCTAAGTAAAACAAATTTCTTCATTAAACTACATTATAGGCTCAAGTCAATATATTTTGGAGGTGCTGTCGAAACAATAATTTTTTGCATTTTCAGATCTATCAGCCTTATGAAAACCTAAGCCGCAACATATGATTTAAAATCCCTAGACATAACAATTTTCTAGATTACATGATGATGCAACTTCTAAAATCCTGTAATAATTGAGGAAAATTGGACTAAAACTGAGGTTACAAAACATTTAATGCATAATTAATGTGTCTTAACTGCGTGATTTGAATTGGGATGAGACAAATTTATTTTGTATTTATAGTTATATCACAAGTATTTGGGAGTAAAAGTTGTAACATTATGGCCATATTAAAAAAAATTCAAATCTTAAAGCTAATTTCAGCCTTTCGTGAACCTTCCTCTTTTTTTATTAATGGTTTAAAAAACCTAGATTCAAATATTGGTTTTTAATTTTACTGATCTTTATTTTAGATGTCCAACCTATACATCACTGCCATCATTCTGTTCACTTGTAAAATCTGACCGTGACTGCTGTGCTCGACCAGTTTGTCACAAGCCACCAGTCACATTACAACCGCCAACAACAACGACTGCGTTACCCACACGTCCCACATGTTCTTGGTGTAATGATGGACTAGACAATTGTAAATCTTACGGACAATCTGCCTGCGAAGGCCAATATAAACCATGGGCTAAACGTAACTGTGCTCATTACTGCAACTTCTGTGGTAAGTCTTAAGGCTTAAGAAGATCATTATTGCAGAATTTTTTTTAATGTCAATGGTAATGTCAGTGGTAAGTCTAATGACCAATGAGTCTCTATGTATACCAAGGTTACACTTGCAGTCAGTCTTTCATTCCATGCTGGTACCTTCATTAAGACAGTGAGGAAACTTGCACTAATTCTTAAGCAATCGCCAATGGCAGTCAGCAGGGTTTAAGAACATCCGTTGTTCGACCTGCTAGTCAAATGCGTTTTGTTAAAATATACTTTTTCACTGTTTTGGCCTTTGGAAAATATTGTTTGTGCTGTATCTAGACCCCTCTACCAAGAAATTTGTGATGGATTTCTCTTAGAAGAAATTTAAAGGTCCCAGTGAATAAACTACACGAAGAACAATAGCTATTGTATTTATTCAATGGAACAATTGAACTGACAAAAGTTTAAATACCTTGACCAAGGGGAGATGACCTTGTGGTAGAGTTTCATTTGGTTCGCAATATATTAAAAAACATAAAACCACATTGATATTGTAGTTGTGTTCTAAGTCCTAAGACCACCTGACATTCACTAATATAAATTCTGGGTTGAACATAACTCTCTGAAATTTAAACTCCATTTAAAGTTTCTTATGTGTACCATTGACTACATTAACAGCTTATTTTAATTCTTTAATGGTAACTGCAAAGACTTAACAGAGATTTTCACAACTGTCTTGCAGTTTCTTTGGTTAGTCTTTTTTAATAATATGACTCTGTACAAAAAGTCAGAAATAAACATAAAACTGTTTTGTTTTGATGATATTCAGTCTTATATTCAATAACAATTTTAAATAGCATAACCCCTAAAATTATCCCCCATTAGAATTTGATTATATTACGTATTTGAATAATGTTCAGCTGGGACATTTTTGTGTTACAGATTGCAGTGCTGCTCCCACGACAACAACAGATCCTTTCACTGATCCTACATGTATTGACAAATTAGATAACTGTGGTGACTTTGGAGACGACGCATGTTCAGGAATATTTTATACATGGGCTCTTGATAATTGTCCAAGACACTGTGCATTATGTAAGTAAAACAGTAAGGTTAAGAGGAATGGGGTAATATTGTAAGTCGAAGACAGATAGACATCATTAGGCCATCCTTAAAAAATTCTGTTTGATGTTGCCTACCCATGCCTTGGTGTACTCTCTTGATTCTTGAAAGCATTACCCAGAATGCAGTACATTTTAAAATGATGCATTGTCCAAACAGGGAGTATTTGTATTTTCTGGGACCAATATATAAAGGGACTTGTGACTAAGAATATTTTTCATATTCAAAAATTTACCTGTAAATTGCTGTTTTTTGGGGCATTTCTTGGTACAAACATTGGTCAACTATCTTCTAACTATTCTTAGGATTGTGTTTTGACATTTATAAAAATTATATGAAGATAAATGATTGTTGTTTGGCATAGGGTGATTTTCATTTCAATAATTTCATTATTCATGTAGTCCCAGGTATTTTATAGAAATTACATAGTAGTAAGTATTTATTCGTTGAGCATTGTGTTGGTTAAACAAAATATGGGATATTGTTTCTCTTTACTAATTGGATATATCTAATGCAATTTCTTTATTAAATCATTCTATTGATAAGGCATTATAGGGCCTACATTAAATATTTCTTTATACCCCCGTAACCCTGTTCTGGGAGTGGATTCTTTATTGTAATCTCCTTGTTTGTTCCTTCTGTCTGTCAGTCTGTTAGTCGATCCATTTGTCTAACAAATATTTTCGTCACAATCTTCTTACAATCTTCTGATACAGAATAGTTTCATATCTGGTCAGCAGATTGACAATGATGACTTGTAATGTGTGAGCACTGTTTGGATCTGTTGACACCTACATCCTTTTTAACTGATATCTTTCTCCAGTTTTACTTTAAAAGGGTTCTTAATAATTAGTCAGCAGCTTGACACTGATGAGTTGTATTGTGTGGGTGCTTTTCATCTCTCTCAGACACCCACTTCCTGTTTGCCAATACCTTATATTATGCGTTGGTATGCTGAGCAAACAACACATGCAACTTATTGTATTGTCTTGAATTAGCCCAAACAAAAACAGAACTGCATTTTGCTCTTGCAAATTTATATCATTCCTTCATTATACACATAAATTATCATGTCAAAAGAAATATTATTTGTTTTTCATGTGTCTGAAATTTAAAATGATCTGTTTGTAGACAATTATTCTTACAGGTACTGCTTTACATTCAACTGCTTCTCAAAATAGATGTCAGGATAAACAAGCCACGATTTGTAGCTCCCAGAAAAGTGTTATCTGTTCAAATGCTGCATACAAACTTTGGGCTGAAGACAATTGTCAAAAGACATGTGACCTTTGTCCAGGTAGTCATTTTATATACTTTAACTTGATTTCAGAATATTTAAAAAAATGACGAAATATCCCAAAAAATTAAAAAAAAAAAAAAATCATAATTTTATAAAGAGTAGATAGCAATAAAAACCAAGAGACAAAAAAGTCCAGAAAAAAATTTCTTAGAAAAGAACAGCTTGAGCAACATAAACCCCACAAGATCTTCTTATGGCATTGTGAATGGTGACAACCTGATGTTCTTAATACACTCTTATCAACATAAACAGTGTATTTCTCTTATTCACACCAGAGGTGATCATTTTTTAATCCTATATCAGTCAAAACCTATATTTTATTCTGAGATATTTACAAGTATGCATTTTGTTCCATTGCAGTGAAAGAAGAAATTCGCAAATTGCCATCAAACAAGAGTAAAGTTTATGAATCATGAGTCCATTCTCTACATTTAGTATACATATAATAAACTGATAAGCATAGAGATTGATTTTTCTTTTATGTAATTTAGTATAGACAATATCAAAATTACCTATCTGTTTATATACTTGCAGGACAAGTAAGAACAACACCAACACGTAAGTTACCTTTCAATAGTACTTTTAACAACCGTTTTATCATTTTACTATACACCATCAACTCTCATCAACATTAAGATTAAAACCTATACGTTTTCATTTTGAGTCCTTTACTTAACTTTGACATGATGTGTCCTTTTCTAAAATTTTACATGATGTGTCCTTTACTTAACAATTACATAATGAGTCGTTTACTTTACATATAAATTATGTGTCTTTTGGATGACAATTATATTATGAGTCCTTTACTTAAGATTTACATTATGGGTCTGTTACTTCAGATTTACATTATGGGTCCTTTACTTAAGATTTACATTATGGGTCTGTTACTTCAGATTTACATTATGGGTCCTTTACTTAAGATTTACATTATGGGTCCTTTACTTAAGATTTACATTATGGGTCTGTTACTTAAGATTAATATTATGGTCTGTAATTTAACTTTTATATTATTATTATGAGATGAAAACAACTGAAAATTTGGCAGGAATGATTCTCTCTAGACTTTCATAAATTTAACATTGGCACCTTTTTTCTATCAATAACTATGAAAAAGATAACAAGGATTTTATAAGATTTTCAAATATGGCTTTTTTAGGGGTTAGTGGGCAAAATATCTTTTGGCACTACATGGATAGCACTGGAGGATTTCAAATATATCTGACAAAAAGTCAAAAAACAAGAGTAAACGAGCATCCTTAATATAAGTTAAGTATCCTGTAGCTTATTTACCAAATGCTTATGTTGTACTTTCTACTGGAAATTGATAGTTTTGTCAATTACTTGGGAGAAATCAGTGGTTTCTCTTAAAAGGATATACCTGCATGAAATTTAGTAAACTTGAAGTACTTTGGGCAATTTACTATATCTTTTGAATGTATTACAGCTAAAGGTTGTTCATTTAATGGAATTGATTACCAACATGGCGCTAAGTGGAAGGATGGCTGTGACAAGAATTGTACTTGTGTCGATGGTCTCTACAATTGTATAGATATGTAAGTAAATGGTTTTTTTTTCTGTTTGAGGGAGAAATATTTTCCCTTAAAAATATTTTGTGAACCTTGGAAATAATAAAAACAATCTATGCATCTTCTTATTTTCCTGTTTCTTAAGAGATTTATAAGCCATTAATACTTAAAGAACATCAATACATATTTGTTTAGGGGCCAGCTGAAGGACGCCTCCAGGTGCGGGAGTTTCTCGCTGCATTGAAGACCCATTGGTGGCCTTGGGCTGTTGTCTGCTCTATGGTCGGGTTGTTGTCTCTTTGACACATTCCCCATTTCCATTCTCAATTTTATGAATTGCAAACCTAAATGCAGAATTAGTATCACTAAATCTATTGATTGCATATACACTTAATTTTGAATTTGACATATAGTGTCTTATGAATAGAACCAAACAGTCTTATGTATATTTGTAATTTTGAAACCATGGAACCACTAACAAAATAAAAACTGAAATATCTAAGAATAAATTTCAAATATAAAATTATTGAATCTACTTTTTGATTGCAGATGTCAAAAATATCCAAATCTTCCATCAAACTGGCAACTAGTGAAATCTCCTGGAGAATGCTGTCCCCATGTTGTCATTGGAATTGGTGAACGTGAGTTTTCATATAAGGATTTGTAAATTGATCGATTGTTAGTGTTTAACCCTACTTTCCCAAACTTTTTGCTAAATCATGGTGGCTATTTTTTACTGGTAGAGAAAGCTAGAGAGCCTAAAGAGAATTACTAACCTTCAAAGGAAAACTGAAAATTCTTGTCAATTAAGATTGGAGACAAACACACCTGCCACTAGCTGGGAAGAATATGTAGAAGTCAGATGAAGTTAATATTCCCTATAATTGTATCAGCTACATATAAATTTATTATTAAGAGCATGAAATTTTACAAGAATACAGCAAAATGAACAAAATTTGTTAATGTATAAATGGTCAATTAAATTATATAAGATTTGCAGGCTGATCCATATTTTTTATAATATATTTAATTATCTCTCAATGTCAACATTCAAGTGAACAAAGAGCAGTGCGCTCATCATGGTCTTATAGAGTTGTCTTTATTTTATAACTATTAATTGTACTCTTTCAATATGATATTGTTAAAAATAAGCAATTACATTGCAATTTAAAAATCATTACTTTCAGCTGTATGCAATTATGGTGGAAAGACTTATAAGCAGGATGAAACCTGGTCTGATGGTTGTCAGTTTAGCTGTGTCTGTAATGATGCCAAGAATGGTCAATATCAATGTAAAGAAAAGTAAGTAGTGTTTGCCAAGAAATAGGAGTAATTTCGATAATGCCCCAACATGGCCCCTATTTTTAGCTAATATTTCAAAATTAGAATTTAATGGCCACAATCATTGTGAATCATAGTTAAAACAATTACTTGATAGTTAAAAAGGGCTTTCTTTGAAAATTTACATATTGTCATATATTGTCATTCTTTTTATACGCCTGTTTACAGGATGTATTATGGTATACTGTTGTCCGTCCGTCTGTCCGTCATCAACATGACCGACAATAACTCAAAACGCTTTAACCAATTTGCATGAAACTTTGGTGAATTGTTTATATCTGTTGACGTGAGCTCCCTTTTGATTTTTATAAATTTTAGATTTTATGTTTCCAAGTTATAGGGTGTTATTCATTAAAAAAGGGGGGATTATCCAGTTTTCAGACAATTACTCAAAAATGGTTTGAGCAGTTTTCATGAAACTTTGGTGAATTGTTTATATCAATAGACGTGAGATCCCTTTCAATTTTTAATAATTTTAGATTTTATGTTTCCGAGTTATGGGGTTTTATTCATTAAAAAAGGTGGATATTCCTGTTTTCATGAAACTTTGGTGAATTGTTTATATCTATATCCTTTTCAATTTTTATACGTTTCCAAGTTAAGGGGTTTTATTCCTTAAAAAAGGGGGATTTTCCAGTTTTCAGACAATAACTCAAAAGTGCTTTAGCAATGATGACTGGTTAATATCTATTAAAATAACCTCCCTTTAGTTTTTTTATTAATTTCTGATATGACATTGAGTAGTTATGGAACTTTATTCTTTGAAAAAGCGACAGGCGTATCATGGCGCAGCTCTTTATTTAAGATGTCAAAATAAGGACTGTTCCATTAAAACATAAATGGTACCCAGGGAAGGCAATTTGAAAACAGGATAACCACCTAAAGAGGCAATTTTAGAATTTCACTTACATTATTTTACTATATATAAAAATTTAAAGATACCACATTTATTTGCCACGCATTATATATTGATGGTCAAATAGGGCCCTTACTCCTTTTTTGGGGTTTCAGGAAACAGATATCATAAAGTCATTGAAAAGCTAATTAAAAGAGTTTTAATTCCTGGCTGATTACTTTTGCGATGGACATAAAAATCTTCAATAACAAAAGGAGTTTTTGCTACAAATATGTTCATTCAATATGTATTCAAATTAAGTACAGTATTTTTACCCATCTTGGCAAGAAATTTATGAAAAGTTCACATCCATGATGTAATTTTTACAGTGTAGTAATTTTCTTTGAATTTAATTCAGATTATTACAGCAGTTATTAAAAAAAGAAGGGTTACTTGTCTGAATAAAATTTAGTGAAATAACATGATTAATGAAACTGTTCCTTAGTATTGATGCCAGTTTGGTTGTATTTATTTCTTCTTTTTTAAGAGGGGGCCTCGCTGCCCAAGTAGTCTAAGTAGTCAAACTACTGTATCATAAGCCTGTCAACACTGAGATTGTGCGTTCCAATCCTGCACATGGCAGGTGCGCTGTACTCCAATTTTGATTGACTACTATTGTCAGTTTTCCTACTGAATGTTATGGTTCTCCACGGGCACTCCGGCTTCCTCCAACAATAAAAACTGACCGCCACAAAATAGCACAACAGTGCTGAAAGTGGTGTTAAACACCAACCAGTCAATCAATCAATCTTTTTTTAAGTTTTGGTTGATTAGTACTTTTTTACACTGGTGACATGCTGGTGTTAGTTACAACAAAAATTAAAATTTATTGAACCTTGTACCAACATAATAGATTTATGAACTATTTAACCAATGAGTAAATAAACTACAAAAGTATAATTTCTTAGTTCTTAATCCTTATGTAATTTGTAAGGAAATATTATATTCAGCATCTTATGTGCAAACGTTATTAATCCTTAGTCCTTAAGGAAATGGTCGCGACAGTATATCAAGCAATGAATCGCGTGATTTTAAGATGCCACCATACATGGAAATTTATTAAAAGGTTTGTAAAAAAAATTTCATACAGCTTGAATTTTTTGCTTTTTATTTTGGCAACAAACATCTGCTTACTTTTGGCTTTTTAATCGTTGCTTCAAAAATTTTAAAAGATTATGTTTTATGTTAATGCGTTTATTATTAAGCTCTTAATTTTAAATTTATGCTGTCCTGGCTTTCGTTGTCTTAAATTTATACATTGCTTGATAGTTTATGTTAGTATCACTATAAGAAGTGATATCTTATATATATATTAGCTGACATTGTCCTCTTCTAATTCTTTTGGCTTTGAGTGTGCCTTGTAAATGTAATGTTTTTTTATTAAACTACTTTTTGTCAAGTCTGCAACAATTTTACTACTTATAAATGGGCTTAGTTTGTTTTGTTTTTTTTTGCAATAAACATTAAGATACAGTCTAAGGTTATAAATCAGCTTTGTGGAACCTTCATAGAATTATAGGGAACTTGGACAGAAGCTTTTTTAAGATCAAAAGACAGTATTCAGGTGTAATACCACCATTGATTTTGCCCTATTAGTCTTTGTTAAATTTGCACTTTTCAAAAAAATGTGCAGAATTTATCTTTGTTTCAAATAAAGAAATACTTGGCATGAGTAAAGTTTTATCCTGTCCAGTACTATAGAAAAAATTTCACATAACATTTCATTGCATATAAGAAAATAACCATCACTGGAAGTTAACCAATCAAATTTTCCCCCTTTTTATACGCCCGTTTACGGGACGTATTATGGTATACCGTTGTCCGTCTGTCCGTCCGTCCGTCTGTCCGTCCGTCTGTCCGTCGTCAACATGTCGGACATTAACTCAAAATTGCTTAAACCAATTTGCATAAAACTTTGGTGAATTGTTTATATCTATTGACATGAGCTACCTTTTGTTTTTTATAAAATTTAGATTTTACGTTTCCGAGTTATGGGGTTTTATTCATTAAAAAAAGGGGGTTTTTCCAGTTTTCGGACAATAAGTCAAGAATGCTTTCACCAACTTGCAAGAAATTGTGGTGAATTGTTTATATCTATTGACATGAGCTCCCTTTTGATTTTTATAAATTTTAGATTTTACGTTTCCGAGTTACAGGGTTTTATTCATAAAAAAAGGGGGGACTTTCCAGTTATCAGACAAAAACTCACAAATGCTTTCAGCAATTCTTATGAAACTTTGGTGAATTGTTTGTATGTATTGATGTAAGCTCCCTTTAGAATTTTATAAATTTTACATTTTACATTTCTGAGTTATGGGGTTTTATTCATTAAAAAGGGGTGATTTTCCAGTTTTCTGACAATAACTCAAAAATGCTGTCACCAATTCTCATGAAACTTTGGTGAATTGTTTATATCTATTGATGTAAGCTCCCTTTTTATTTTCATAAATTTCTAATATGACATTGAGAATTAATTATACTTTATTTGTTTATAGTCTGACAACAGATTTACTAAGTATTGCACAACAGCAAGAAATCTTTAATTGAACATAAATTCAATTCATATAACCAATTTCAAGTTCTTTGAATACATTTATTCAGAAACCTATAATATGTCAAATATTTAATTACAATCCAAATTCAGACCTGAATCAAGCTTGAATATTGTGTCCATTTTTGCCCCAACTGTTCAGGGTTGGACCTCTGCGGGCGTATCTAGCTGCGCTCAGCGAAGCAGTTTATTTAACCTGTGTACTAGCTTTAGTAACCATGTAACCTCAAGTTTCCAAAATATTCTATAGAAACCCCAAATAAAAAAATAATGGTGCTTTGAAATACCCAAGATAAATGTTTATGACCCAGAAATGTTTTACTGCGATGAAATGTAGGATCAATTACCTGCAACTGTCAAATTCAAGGGAATATTTTTTTCGACCTATTTTCGTATGCAACTGGATGTGACGTACTATGATTTGGTGCTATTACACCTTCAGAGCAAAATTATGAAAATAATTTTTTTCATTTTTCTGCTCTATTCTTGATCAGGAATGCTTATAGCCAAATATTTGAAAGCTAAGGATGCATAAGTACTGAAACTAGTGAAGAGCTATATGACCAAAAGGGACCTCAAAGCTCTAAGGTAACTTTGTCTGAGGGAGTTGGAACTTAAGTTTCTTTATAATTTCTTATTTTAAAAATGGGCAATTTTAGACATTTTTGTAATTTATTATGTCAGTACCGAAGCACTGACTACTGAGCTGATTATACCCTAGGGGACTAATAGTCCAACAGCAGTGGTAACAACCCAGTGCTATAAAAAATGATAATAATATTTTGTAAGTTGTGTGTGTCCGAAACACTTTCTAGTTTATATTCATCAGGAATGCCTAAAGCCACGGATGTATAAGTATTAAAACTAGTGAAGAGCTAAACTACCAAAAGGGACCTAAAAGTTATTGCCAAATCAGTCTAAAGTAGACTTTGCCTGGGGGAGTTGGAAACTTAGTTTCTTGATGATTTTTATGCCGTTCCGTTCTCTAACTTTAGATTTCCTCAACCAAATGTTATGAAACTTATACACAATGCTTATTAACACAAAATACAGATCAAGTTATAATTTTGGTGGTGTCACTTCTACTGTTCTAGAGTTATGCCCTTTAGAAATGGAAAAATTGCTGAATTTTTCATTTCCATTCTCTAAAGTTTGCCTCAACCAAATGTTATGAAACATATACATAATACTTATTTCCACAAAACACACTGTTCTTCAGTTATGTCCCTTTAAAAATTTATATGATATGCAATCGGGGGCATCATCTGTGTCCCATGGACACATTCCCCATTTATTTAGTATATATTTGAATAATTTAAGAAATGTTTGTTTTAAATCATGTCAGCACCGAAGCACTGACAACTGAGGTGGATTTAAAAACTTATTAGTCCCATATTTAAGTTCCCTTTGAAATTGATTCAGAATACTGCCCTCCTATCAAAATAGAGATTATATATGATGGTATGATACTAAACGGGAGGGATTTTGCTTGATATCATTTGATGAAGACATAATCTTTATATCAGTTTAATTGAGGTCTGGAGCTGGCATGTCAGTAACTGTGAGATTTTCTCGCTGTGTTGAAGATCCATTGGTGGCCTTGGGCTGTTTTATGCTCTTTGGTGTGGTTACCTGTGTTAAACATTACCCGTTTCCATTCTTTATTTTATATAACTGTAAAAAGAAGATTTTGTAGAAAATTTGTTATTTGATTTTGGTTTGTTAATTCATTGATAAGGTTTTGTTGCTATGTGTTCTTTTTTTCTTAAAAAATCAATCTTTTTGAACCAGATGTCTCTTATGTAGTGTATGTATATTGGTTCTCAAATATTTTACAGTTTAAGTCTATTATATGATCATAAATACTGTGAATTCATTATTATTTGTAGGATACCAATTTTTGTGGATTTCGTGGGTTAAGCTGAACCATGAATTTAAATGTTCACCTGAATTACAAATTTTCTTTAGGAATGTATGTAAAACCACGAAATCATATGTGCCTGAAAATGCAAGTTTTCCTCAATACACGAAAATTGATATCCACGAAAAATAAATGATTCCACAGTAAGTGATTGATACAAGCTCCTTGTCACCTCTAATTCTTGAAATTTTGATATATTATTCTTATTTTATCAATCTTTATTTTAGGTGTCCAGTATGGCATTTGCCTGATGTTTGTACATGGAATCCAGCCAAACCAGGAAAATGTTGTAGACAACCAACATGTCCAAAACCATATGTCATTACTGGATATCCAGATGCATAAATTTCATGAATTGTTCTTTTTAAATAAAGTTATTTGTCAACAGGAACTTTTTTATGTCCCCACTACTAGGCAAAGGGGGCATTAAGTGTTACGCTTGTCCGTCTGTACGTCAATTAGTGTCCCTTCTCTAACTTTAGTTTGCCTCAACCAAATGTTATGAAACTGATTCACAATGCTTATCACAGATCAAGTTCCAATTTGGGTGGAATCATTTTAACAGTTCTCGAGTAATGCAAGCTGGGGCATCATCTGTATCCCATGGACACATTCTCCATTTATTTTATTTTCAACTTCACTAAATTTCATTCATTTATTTGGTGAGATCACTAAGATAGCTGTGTCAGTAGAGAAATTGTTAACAGTGTGTGAAATATTGTTGTTGAATAAAAAATTATTTAAATGGTGTTTGGAATTAAATATGTAAGTGTATTTTTAAAATCTGAAATTTTCAACTAGTTAGTTGCAAGGTCAGTATGATAATATTTTATTAAGTTGATTTAGTCTATGAGATAGAAATACTCTTAGAAACATTTTTGAAGTTTCATTATATTTAATAGAAAATGAAAATACTTTAATAATGACAGATAAAGACCAGAAATACAATGTATCCCATTTCCCTAAAATCCTTTAACAATGTTCTAAGTAGAAAATAGTAAGGAAATTAGGAAAACTAGATATAATTGCTACAGTACACGTTGATTAAGAGTATCCACATTAAGATAACTTTAATGTAAAATGTATACATATAACACTGGAATATTGTTAACTTTACATTATCACATACCTGTACTAAAGATTTTTGGGAAAAGACAGACAACTGTTAAAACTCATCAAAGCTACCTGAGGCTTATAATTTGTTACACCAAACTCGGCCTGCGTCTACATAAGACTCATCAAAGATAACTGAGGCTTATAATTTGTTACACCAAACTCGGCCTGCGTCTACATAAGACTCATCAAAGATAACTGAGGCTTATAATTTGTTACACCAAACTCGGCCTGCGTCTACATAAGACTCATCAAAGATAACTGAGGCTTATAATTTGTTACACCAAACTCGGCCTGCGTCTACATAAGACTCATCAAAGATAACTGAGGCTTATAATTTGTTACACCAAACTCGTGTTGCGTCTACATAAGACTCATCAAAGATAACTGAGGCTTATAATTTGTTACACTAAACTCGTGTTGCGTCTACATAAGACTCATCGTAGATACCTGAGGGTTATAATTTTTTACACCAAACTCTGGTTGCGTCTACATAAGACTCCTCAATAGAGCTAAAATCAAAACAGTTGTAAGGCCAAAATCAGACATGATGTTGAAGAACATTGCAAGCCAAAAATTCCAAAAAGCCATGCCAAATATAGCTAAGGTCATCTATGCCTAGGAGTATAATAAAATGGAGTGTTTTGAGTAATGTAAAATGAATATTAACTTAAAATTTATGGAAATAATGACCATCTCAATGATATTTCATGTCACCACTACTTGCTGGTGATACCCTGGGAGAAGAAACATGCATTTATCAGCAGTGGCATCAATCCAGTAGTTGTAAAAACTTATCAAAAGATACTCCCTATTTCAAGCTCTACTAAGGGAAGTTCATTCACATTTTGTATAAAGATTTTAATATATAAGCACAAAAGGATAAAATTTAATTACTTATACATGGATTTAATTAGTTAAACCAATATTCTTGATTAGACGGTTTGTCTTTTTATGATACAACGAAAAGAGCGGCAAAAGAAACCCAAAGAGAAATTTAAACTCATTAGTCGAAAAAACAATCTGACAATGTCATGACAAGAATAGAAAAAACGATCAAGACAAACAACATTATATACAACACACAGAACCCCAAAGACTGAGCAACACAAAACCCACTAAAAACCAGGGGTGATCTCGGGTGCTCAGATCCTGCTCTACTTGTGGCATCCGTCGTGTTGCTGATGTAAGTACAAACCCGGTGATTAATTCGGCAGGTCACATTCGAGGAAGAGAGGACGTGATTGTGGTTACGACAATTGGAATTTTTGTCGTAATTTGTAAAAAAGATATTCCATAAGGGTCAACTAACTCTTGAGAGCATCTGTAAAATTTTTGAGGGGATGAATTAAACCTCGCCACTTGGAATTCTTGATTTATAGCTTCCTTGTGAGCAACAATTCTCTATCAAGAAAATTATGATGCGAAATGCAAGCTCTGGAATATTGTCACAACTGGGATTGATATTCTCCATACGCAGGCGCTGCTAAAATGTTGCTACATAGAAATGTAAAGTTTACAATTGTGAAGCTGAAATGATCTCTTCTGTCGTAATTTTTTTTCTAGTGAATCGATCCTCATTGTCAATTTCTAGATGTAAGGCAAGATATGAGACCGACTTTACTGTATTTGTTGTATCCTTTATTTCATGTTCAATGGGATAGATGCGTTGAACATATTCACTAATTCTTGAATTATTTAGTGAGAGTACATCATCTATATAGAGAATCTTGAAGTTAAAGGATAATGCTAGCTTCTTTTCATTCTTCCCAAGATATTTCTGAATTAAGTCGTCGGCCTGATATGAATAAAGGAACAAGTCGGCAAGAAGAGGAGCACAATTAGTTCCCTTGGGAATGCCGAAAGTTCAGGGTACATCAATATCAAATCTTTTTGAAATTGCAGAGAAAAACTTGGGAAGATTGTGCACAGCTTTTAGATGATACTTTTACCCTGAAAAAAAAAACGATTTTATTAGGGTAGATAACATCTTACTTAGAATATTTGATATTTAGAAATAGTTGTATTGTGTTCAAATATATGAATAGAACACAAAAGTTTTACACATATAGTATTTTATGTACTTTTATTCCATTTCAGATGTCCTAAATGGGAGCTTCCTGAAGTTTGTCACTGGAACCCAGCACCAGCGGGAAAATGCTGTCTTCGACCAGAATGTCCTGCACCTTATGTTATCACTGGTTACCCAGACCTTTAGATGTTTCAACTGATATATGTGACTGTCAATTTTGGAATAATTTTTATTAAAAAGTATTGTAGTCTATCATATTTTTTTTATATAAACTTTATTTTTGAAGTGTATTAGTAAATTAATCCAATTTTTTTAGTTCATCGTTGTTACAAGGTCGTTTCCGAGGTTATCACCAGTCTAGTAGTCAGCACTTTTATGTTGACTTGAAATATCATCGATATAAAAAAAGTACTGTTTATGAAATTTTTAAATATTTGAACACTAGGGTTTTTCTATCCCCAGGCATAGGTAGCCGTGGCCGTTTTTGATATAATTTTTTCAGAACTTTTGGTTTTCAACGCTGTTCAGCTTTGTACTTAAAAAAAGTGGCCATTCAACTTTTCTGATTCAACTAAATTTTTACATCAAGCAACAGTCCGTGTATGGCTATAAGAGTGCATTGTTTTTATGTGAAGCTTCATATAACTTTGGGATTTGTTTTCAATTTTACCTGCGTCGCCGAAGGCGGAATCATGTCTAGTTACCGACTCCGTCCGTCCGTCTGTCCGAAAGAATTTGTAAAAGTTTTCTTGGCTTCTATTAAAAAGAAGGATTTGATATTTGGTCTGCAGATTTGTATTGTTGAATTGTAGCGATTAAGCAATTTTTACATAGTCCGTGTAGCCACTCCCTGTTTGTCGATAGTTTTAATTTTACAGCACTCATTATACATGTTGTACAAGGAAAATTTTCTTCAGGCTTAAGGGAATTACGAAAAACGTGATAAAACAGTAATTATTGTTGTATTACACATTGCATAAAATTAACCACATTAAGAATGATAACTTTAATGTGAAATTTTCATTGTTCTAGACATAGGAAAAACAATGGTTTTTAAAGAATAAAATCTATCGTTCGGGAAAACACAAAAGGACAAATTTTAGAAAATTCCCATGTTTTTACACCATTTTCCATAAACATATAACATGTATAAGCTATGCTTGAGTAAGTTACCGTATGTGTAAAATATTCAACAATTGTTTTAATATCCCTGGTAAATGCATACCAACTTAAAAGCTGAATTTTAGAGGCAAATTTTAATTCAGTGATATGTATTGATACATTTTCATTGACGTTAAATACTACTTCTGCATCCCAGAAGTCAGCACTTTGACTTGAAATATCATTGATTCGTCCATTTTCTGTTAAAATAGTGTTGGTAAAATGTTCGAAACACTAAGTTTGTTCTGTTCCCAGACAATGATAGCCTAAGTCGTGTTTGGCACAACGTATCGTTATTTTTGGTTTTCACTGCTCTTCAACTTCGTATTTGATTTGACCGTCTAAATGTTTTGATTCAAGTGCCTACGATGAGTCTGATGTAGATAAAACGTGCTTCTGGTTTACCAAATTGTAAGCCTGGTATAATTGAAAAGATTTAACAAGGAAACAGTGAAAAGGAAGCACTTGTGGTCTCTCACTTTCAGATAAATAGACAGAAAAGGAGGGGGAAGAAGGCAAACGAACAAATACAAAACCAGAAGAGTAGAGTTCATGTAGATATGGACTTATGGACAAACAAAGATTTGTAGAACATGGAGACGTATACAGGAAACAAAATCTCTTGCAAAAAAATACTATTTCTATAACACTAAGTACAAAGGGCTGACAATGTGTACAAGTTCAACCTGTAGAACAAGATAAGGACGACATCAATGTTATACATGTACTATCTATTAATAGAGAAATGTATATTAACATGATTAAATGCAAGTAGGCATGCGATCTTTATAGAACAATGCAAATGTATAACATTTACATGAATAATTTCTAGCTCAAAAATAGAGGATACCAAGGGGTAATGAAAAACCAAATGTGGAAAAACGACAATTCCAAAAGAAAAAACACGACAAACAACCGTACTCACAAAACACTACAAAGAACACCGAAAGTTAAACAACTCGAAGCCATCCTAAGCTTAGAACAAACTCGAGGTGTTCCGGAATGGTAGTAGTTCCAGTTTCACTGATAGGACCTTTCGTAAAAATCGCTGATTCATCAGTTACAATCGGGGATGCCATTAGGAA